ACAGTTAAAAATAGCCATCAGGGTGAAGCTCAGTCCTGGGCTTTTCTTCTTGACCTGCAGCTACTGGCCGGTATTGCTGCGGGGATGGTCTGCTGTCACTTGCTGAGGGCCTGCTCTGAGCAAGGCCCTGCCTGAAGTGCTTTATGCATTCTAGAATTTAATCATCATGACCTAAGGTAACTGACATTATCCTTGTTTAAGGGCAGCTGAATAACTTATTAAGGGCTATTTAATTAGTAGTAGAGCAAAGATGTAAACCCTGTCTCCAGAGTCTAGAAGCCTTTTCATTCAGCCCTGCTGGAAAACTCTTAAAATTTCATTGTTTCAGTTAGAAATTTGGCCAACTACCCACATGTAATCACCTCCTAGAGCAATGATTAACCTTGGCTGCACGTTAGTGCCACCTGGGGAGCTTCTACGACAGCTCCTTAGATCCCATCCCTCAAGATGATTTCACCCACCTTTTAAAAAGGAACCTGGGCGCCATCTTTTCTAAGTTCCCCATGTGATCCCAGCTTACAGCCTGGAGCAGATGTGTTCATAAGCATGTGGGAAGTTCCTGTAGCCTAGTGGTTCCCAAACTTGAACCTCCACCAGAATGACCTGGAGAACGCAGTACAACGGTTTCCGATTCGGGTCTGTGGAGGGGTCTGAGTATCTACATTTCTGATTCGCAGGTGCTGCTGATGCTGGTTCGGAACACCCTTTGAGAATCACTATGTGTTCAGCACAGTTTACACGGAGAATGTGAGGTACAGAGAGCTTGGTGACCTGCTCAGTGTCAGCTACACAGCTAGTCAGGGAGGGCTGGGAGGTGTGGCTCCTGGCCAGTGCTGGCTTGCACAGCTAGAGGAGGGAAGCGGCGGGCCAGCCATTCCTCAGTGTGTGCTGATGACCCCCGCGCTAACCGTGCTTGTTAGCTGGATCTGAAAGCGGGCAGCTAGGCACTAACTATCCTTTCTCCAAACTCAAGCATAGATGGATTTAGCCCAGCCGGCCTCTGAAACCTGGATCAAACATTTTAATTCTGGGAAGGAAAAAAAAAGGGGGCTCATTTCCAAAGGACTCAAACATGACAGACGTGTACACAAAGCTTTTTGAGTTTTATTTTTTTCCCTCGGGTTTGGGAGTCATCTTAACATGCATGCATTTTAAAACAGTAACAGGGTCTCGAACTGTTCCGAGCAGACGTTTAGACAAGCACAGGGGGGTGAAAATTCCTATTTAAAAAATGGAAATTGCAGTGGGAACTCAAGAAATCACACATATGGTGGGGTGATAGTGTATCCTGCTCCCCCAGAAGTTTAAACTTCTTTCACATTTGATCACCACGGTCTGGCCTGATGCTCAGCGTGCTGGGCAGCACCAGGCCTCCCCCACGCTATAGATTCCCACCTCCTCCGGAATGGCCAAGCAAGGGGAAGGGGCTCTTCTCAAAGTTTCCTCTTCAGCCTCCAAAGGACCTCAGCACAACCTGCTGGGGAAAGCCGAGTCTCCTCTTCCCTTTGGAGGTGCTTTAAGTGGCACATCTCAGAGGAAAGCAGAGGCCACATCCCTACCCCCTGCAGATGGCTGGTAGATTTGGGGGCAGTTTGAATGTGTTTTCCCTTTGATTTCCTGTGCTCAGGCTGGACCCCTCCCCCTATTTTTGCCAGAGAAGTGAGGTCCCTACACTTGGGGGAGCCACAGGTTTAAGGCCAGAGCGCTAAGGGTTGTTTAAACACCCTGTCCCTTCCAGCCCCTGACACTTGAGTAGCTCAAATGCCCGAGTGCTAAAGTTTTTTTCTCTCCCAACATGAATTGGTAAAAGACAACTGGGGGGTGAGATTGGCTACTAAGAAAAGTCCTGGGTCTTTGGTCCACCTCCCCAGGGCAGGCCCTGGCAGACTGAAGAGGGGCAAGTCACAAGGGCAGGAGTCTAGTCCCCAGCCCTGAGCACTATCAGGGGACTGGAACAGGCAAGAGAAAAAAGTGAAGTAGGCAGAGGTGGGGGAAGAGCCGCCTGTGGTGGGAACTTAGCGCCACGAAGAACAGCCACAGAGGCGACTCGTGGCACCTGCCACAGGCCAGTAACCCCTGAGCTAGATAAGGAGATGGAGCACTGGGCTCCTGGAACTGCTGGCTGCCCAGTCTGCCCGAAAGCCCCACACCGCAGGGCACAGGAGGGGGCTGGACTGGGAGACAAAGACTCAGTGGTTCAGTAACAGGAACAGGGCCGAGGCCTTCATCTAGTGGTCTAAGCAGAGCTCTCAGAGAACGCCTCACTCTGGCTGGGAGACTAGTTTCTCAATCACAGACTTTCAGAGGAAGGGCGGAGGGAAGAAGCTGTGGCTGGTGAAGGGGCAGTGGGAGGAAATGGGGAGGAATCCTGCCCTTATCCCACCCAGCCTCACCCCTTTGGCCAGGTCCTATTCTACTTTTGTTCTTGGGAGACCCAGAATTACTCTGGGATGCCCTAAGACTGTTTAGCTTTTGTTCTTGGCTCCAAAGAGTGAGGTTGAGAGTAGTCACTTCCCCTTGGATGTCTTCCATTGCAGAGGGAATGGGGGGGGGGGGGCAGACAAACACCTGGTATCAGTTCACTTTCTCTACATTCAGACCGCAAACCAAATAGAGTATCTTCATCATTACAAAAAGAGAAAGAAAACTTGTATAAACCAAGATAAATAGCTTTTAAACATTTGAATACCTAAGGAATTAGAGGGCCAAACCCAAGGTTTTGAAGATAGCACAGAGAATGAATGACCTTTTAAAAAAAAAATCTAAAATCCACCAAACCACAGCTCAACTGTCCGACCCAATCAACAATACTGTCAGAAAAACAGAGCATTTGAAATAGAATGCTTACCTCTCAAAATGTAAACAATATACAAAAAAAACAAAAACAAAAAAAACCCACAAAAACACAAAAAATTCAATGTTAAAGAAGTTAGATACCTGGTAGCTCGTCTTTAACCATGTGATTGTTACACTTTTCCACTATGGCGACATGACCTGCAGGCCACTTGCAGGAAGTGGTGGGAGCCCGAGGCTGCGAGGCTGCTGATGCGCAGCCTTCCAAGCTCTGGGGGTGCTGGGCCTGACCAGAAGCAGATCCAAATTTTCATTCTGATTAGGAGGTGGGGAAGTCAAGTCCAGATATTTTTCCTACATAATCCCTTCCAAAATCAAATCTGTTTTTTGATTTTCTGTTTTCTCCCTGAGCCACCTGGTTCCAGTTCTTCCCCAAGTGACTCGGTGGCCTTCCTGCTGATGTTCACAGCTACTTACGGCCCCTTCCTGAGGCCACAGCAGTTGCTTGACCCCATCTGCCTCTTCCAGAAGGGTTCCGGCAGCCCTATTGGAATGCCGTCTCCATTCCTCCCTGACCTAAACGTTGCAGATGGGACAGAGACACGGAGCTGGCTCTGCTCCAGAAGCTGTGCTTGGCCAGATTGGGAGGGAGCCACAGGAAACCAATCCATTCATTCAAAATGGTTCCACAAGCTTTCTTCGCTTCGATGAGGGTTATCTACAGGTTTTACCCCCAGTTCCTGGCAAGGGGGTGAGAAGATGCAGGAATGTACCTCCCCCAAAGCAGAGCAACAGGATCATTTTCTCTCCTAGTCAGATCAGACTGTTCTGACGGCATCACAGAATGACACACAATTCACCTCTGAGGCCTGGGGAGCAGGGTCAGAGGTGGATGGAGATCCTGAAGGAACTGCAGGACACCACTCCTCCCGAGGAAGCCCATGAGTGGCAGATCTGCAACGTCTCAAGGAAAAACAGCCTCGAGGCCGGGGCCAGGTGGAAGCCCACATCCAGCCTCCAAATTGGATTTCTTGGGTCACATCCACAAGTGACCCAGAGGTCACCTCAGGCTCGGGTGCCATACTCCAAGGTGTGGGGGGGGAGGGCACCATTTCCTGTGGCCATAACTGTCCAGGTGGCAAACCACAGGTGTGGGGAGTCAAATCATCTACAGGGTGGCCCTGGGGCTTGAAGAGGAATCTCAGCAAGGAGCACCTCAGGTATGTGGAGATCTGTCCCCGACTAAAAGCTCATCAACAAGTGAGGTGCCTGGGAGAAGGTCTGAGGGAAGTAAATAGATGGAGGCACAAGACCTCATTTGACACTCATCAGCTTCTGGGGCTTTCCCAAGGGTAACAACCATTTAAACACAAGGGTCCTGTTATATCCAAAGGTGCTCTCTAGTTCCTTTTGACCCAGTGGGAGGCAGGCTTTAGAGAGAGGACCTTTGAACTCCAGGAGCTGAGAGAGCCCAGGGGCTGGGTGATGATCACAGGGTTCTCTGAGAACCAGCCGTCCGAGAGCCCAGCAGCTCCCCCAGCCCCTCACCATCCCATGAGGATGAACTCACTCCCCTCTGAGATCTTTGATTCTCATCCAAGATGCCTGATGTTGGTCTGGAGTGTTCCTTTGGGAGAAAAGCATTTACATGGAGAAATCAATCATGTAACATTTCACTTGGATCCGAGGCAGAAAGGTGGAGGAGGTTGCACACAAAACTCCATAAAATTAAAAAAAGTTAATCCGGACAAGATCAAACGCAGCCAGGCTGAGGCATCTGACCGCTTCTCCTCCGGCGTCAGAGTGCTCTGCTCTGAGAGGACCCTTGGCTGGGTCTGTGGGGTGCCTCTTTAATTGAAGGGACGTGACAGCAGGGTGGGATGGGGAGGGTGAATAGGGTGATGACATACACTGTTATAAATAGCAAACCTGGGGCAATCGAATTTTAGAAATAAAACCCAAATAAGCCCACAAAGTCATCTCTGGCCCCAAGGTATCTTAAAAGGTTGCAAGATAACAAATAGGAAACCCCCTTTTTAACCTGGGTCAACTGGGTAAAATAAAAAAGTCAAGGAGTAAGCAGGTGAGGCTACACCCTGTGAGCAGTTGTGCTAGCGCATAGCCCCTCCTCCCCAGCTCGTCTTGGAGTCACAGGCTGCAGTCTATTGCTAAAGCCCTCCCCTACCCCCATCTGCTCCCCACCCGCCCATCTAGCCCAAATACACCCTCTCCCTCTTTCCATTCCTGACCCCACATCCAGCTCTCTGGCTCTGGCTGAAGGCAGAAGGTAACTACGTCAGGATGTTGGACATGAACTCGTTGAAGCGTTTGGAGTACTGCTCTGGGTTCACAGTCGAGATCTCGGCCCCTGCCTGAAAGACACAGAGGCCGACTCAGGGTGAGCTCCTTGGCCCTCCTCAAGAGGCTGTGCCTAAGCAGGGCCTGGGTGTGAGGAACCTCTGGCCCATCTTAGGAGCCCCTAAACCAAGCAGGCCGCCTTGAGGTGTGGTTCCCACGACCCAGAATTGCCCTAAACTCACTCCCCTGATTCATAGCCTAGTGTTACACCCACTAAGTAGGGGCAAAGCAATGAGAGGTAAGAACAGGCTCTGAATCTCCCAGTTCATCAGGAAATGGTCCTCTGGGGAGCAGTGTGGGCATGTAAACAAAGCTATTACCAGAGGTCAACAAGATGCACCACATGCCCAGCAGCCCCAGGGAGAGGCGCCAGGCTGGGGCCCTGGGGGCCAGATAACTAGGGGAAAACAAGTTGGGCTGTTACCCAGCCACAGGGAGGGGCTAGTCTGTAGGTGGCAGAGAAAACAAGGCAAGAAGGGGGGCTGCTCTTCCCTTTCTCTGCTCTGGGGGTAGGGGGACAGGACTACTGCCCTAGGGGTCTGGGAGCTCCTCACCCCATGTTTCACCGTCTTGGCGGCATGTGCAGCTTTCTTCTTAGCATCGTATGGCGTGAGGATGTCAATGATGGCCATGAAATAGACCTCCTTCTTAGGGGCACCTGAAGGAGAAGGGAACAGGAAGGGAGGAAGCAGGGAAAAGAGCAGAAATCAGCTGGGCCCAGCTGAATCCAGCACCTTTCAGACCTGTCTAGCACTTTGGACCTGAGAAAATGGGTCCTTCTAGATGCTTTATTTGCTTATTTGCTCTTCAGTCATCCTGTGGGCTGACGTAACAGTGTTTATAGGGTTTTGTCCATCTCATGAATCAAAGCAGAACCAGCCTCCAACATCTCAGGACAAGGAGAGAGGTGGAGGAAGCCTGACAGTAGGACCCCAGAGCCCCTGAAGATAGTTGCTAGTCGTGATCTAGTATGGGAATCTGAAGGCAGAAAGTCGCCGAAGTCAGCAATTAATGAGGTCCACATACTCACAGGGGCATCTAGACCCCGGGCCTGAAGGGGGCCGAGGGGGGATAGGGGCGGGCAGGGAGGCACAGGCTCCTACTTACTTTCATGGCTTTTCATGGCATAGACATCAACAGAGGGATCGAATTCCCCAGGACCAAAGAAGCGGGGGCAGCTGAGGAGGTTGCCGGGACTATCTGGAGGGGTGCCGTAGGGGCAGAGCAGGTTGCCCCCCATGCCATCGTTTTCACACTCCTCCTCCTCTGCCCGCTCCTCCACCTCCATCTCCTCCTGCTCGGCTCGGTCCACATCATGGATGCCGACCAGCAGGCTGTAATCCATGATCTTCAGCTGGGCCAGGAACTAGGGGAGGAGGGGGAAGGAGAAACGGAAGGAAGAGGTTACACATAGCAGTGGCATCGGCAAAGAGGAGAAAAGGTGAGACTTTCAACTCAATCCTCTGGTTCTGAGAGACAACAGGGAATAACACATCAGGATATCTGCCCTCAGCAAGCTCCGTATTTACGAGGAAGACAGTCATTCCCCAGGGGCAAGGAGCTTGCCAGTTCAAAGCAGGCCAGGAGAGGGCCTCCCTGAGGGGAGGAGTTGAGACTGAGCCAGATGGGTGAAGAGGAATCAGGCAGGTGGAGGCAGAAGGAGCACTGCAGGAAGAGAAACAGCCCGCACAGCCGGGGATCAAGAGAGGCCATGGTGAGTTTGAGGAAAGAAATAATGCAAAGGAACACTGCGGAAGAGGCTGGAGAGGCACGCGACACAGCAGTGTCTTTCAAAGCACAAATCTCAGCCCATTACGAGTCCTAGATCCAATTTAGTGGGCAGGGATTAGCACTGTTAAGAATTATTCAATACCGGGGGCCTCCCCTGGTGGCTCAGCGGTTGAGCGCTGGGCTGCGAGGCTGCCTGCAGCCTCTGCAGCGCCGGTTCAATCCCCAGCGGCCCGCGAGGGTCCCACATGGCGAGACAGACCTCCCCTGCCACGCCTGCTGCTCCCCCCAGCAGTGTATGTCGTCAGTCTGCCAGTTCTGCTGTCCGCTCTGGCTCTGGTGAATTCTCTCGCCCTCCCACACTTCTGACTGTACCCAGTGCTTGTATAAATAAATAAATAAATCTTTTTTTTTTTTTTTAGAGGCATGTGTTTTTATTTATTTATTCGTTTGTTTTTGTTTATACAAGCACTGGGTACAGTCAGAAGCGCGGGAGGGTGAGAGAATTCACCAGAGCCAGAGCGGGGAGCAGAGCAGGCAGAAGGACCGAAGTACACTGCTGAGGGGAGCAGCGGGCAGCAGGAGAGGTCTGCGCACCATGTGGGACCCTCATCCGGTGGCCGGGGAGCAGCCCGGGAACGAACCGGCGCCTCAGAGGCTGCGGGCAGCTTCGCAACCCAGCGCTCAACCGCTGCGCCACCGGGCAGGCCCCAATAAATAAATCTTTTTAAAGAAAAGAATTATTCAATACCGGGCCTCCCCGGTGGCGCAGCAGGTTGAGCACTGCGCTGTGAAGTTGTCCACAACCTCTACAGTACGGGTTCAATTCCCAGCCGGCCAGGAAGATTCCCACATGGCGAGGCAGACCTCTCCTGTCGTGCCCGCTGCTCCCCTTACCAGTGCTTTCGATCTGTCTGCCTGTTCTGCTCCCCGCTCTGTCTCTGGTGAATCCTCTTACCCTCCCGCACACCTCGCCTATACCCCAGTTCTTGTATAAATAAAAATAAATAAATACTTAAAAAAAAAAGAATTATTCAATACCACAAAGTAAACTAGAAAATATCAGACTACATAAGATGAAGTGAGGGTGGGCTTCCCCTGGTGGCGCAAAGGGTAAACATGCAACCTCTGAAGCTGTCCCAAGCCACTGCAGCACAAGTTCAATTCCCAGCCAAGGAGCTACCCACATGGCGCAGCAGACCTCTCCTGTCTCGCCCACTGCTCCCCTCAGCAGTGTATTTCAATCTGTTCTGTTACCCACTCTGTCTCTGGTGAATCCTCTCACACACGCCCCCCACCTCTGGCCTGTATCCCAGTTCTTTTATGCATAAATAAATAAATCTTTAAAAAAAAAAAAGTGCTGCAATAAACATAAAAAAGAAAAGATGAAGGAAGTGAATAATCAGTTGAAGGCCTGAACAGAACAAAAAGGCTGACCCTTCAGCCAATAAGAGGGAAGTCCTCCTGCCTGACTGCCTCTGAGACATCAGCTCTTTTCCTGCCTTCTAATAGTGAAAAACATCAGCGCTCCTGGGTCTATAGCCTGCTAGCTGCAGGATGTGTGACTTTTCAGCCTCCATAATCATGAGTCAATCCCTTACAATAAACAACCATCTATCCATCCATCCTTCTGTCTATCTCTCTACATCCTACTGGTTTGTATTGGTTTTGTTTCTCTAGAGAATCTTAATATACCAAGTGTCCATCAACAACTGCATGGGTAAACAAACCAAGGGTTTATATATGTACCATACACACACACACACACACACACTGAATTTTATTTAGTCTTAAAAAGGAAATTCTAACATGCTACAACATGGATGAATCTTGAAGACATTATGCTAAGTGAAATAAGGTAGTCACGAAAGGCAATTATTATGATTCCGCTTATTTGAGGTTCCTAATCAGTTTCACGGAGACAAAAAATAGAATAGTGATCGCCAGGGGTTGAGGGGGAGGGCTGAGGAGTTAGTGCTTATTGCGGACAGAGTTCCAGTTGTAGGAGATTAAGAAGTCCAGGGGGACTAGAAGGGTGGTGGTGGTTGCATCACAGTGTGAATATACTTAATGTCATAGAACTATACACTTGAAAATGGTTAAGATGGTAAATTTTCTGTTATGTATACTGTACCACAATAAAAATATTTTTTTAAGGTTTGTAGGATTTGGCCTTAACAAGCAGACCCCCAATTTATTAAAATAGCAGTAGACAGCAAATTATCGAGCAGTCCAGACAGCACATGCACCACTTAGCATCTGTCCTCCCGGAGGAATCTCTCCATAGGAAGTCCCATTCCAACCAGAAGGCTGCTGAGTAAGGGGAGAATCACAGCCAGAGGAGGGTCTGGCTGGTGGATGTGAGTAGCTGACTTCCTGTCATGCTGATGGCAGGCTGCCCCTTCCCCAGGGGGACAGCAGCAGAAGTGAAGCTTGAAGGGTAATCTAAAGAAGGTGCTGCATTCCAAACTGAGTCACAGAGGTCCCATTGGCACAAACCGGGCCGCTCCCCAAATGGCATGCCCACTTGCATGCTCAGATCACATCTCCTTTGTCTATACTCCTGGAAACCAGTGAATTCAATTTTTCTTAAGGTTAAAGAGGCTCCTGCTCTGGGGACGAGGGAGCCCTACTCAACCAATGTGAAAATGAGGGTTAGTAAGTACCTCTACATCCCGTTTCAGTTTTTCCAGGAAGTTCTTTTTACTCTCCTCGCCCACATGCAGCTTCTGCCCTTCGTTGAGGAAGTCATTATCTTTGAATGTTGGCAAGTCCTTGGCCTGGGAGAACAATGGAGAGTCAGGGTGGGGAGGCCTGGTTCATTCACCCCAAGGAGTACTCACTCTGCTGGGGGTAATGGTATAGAAAAGGGAAGGGGCCTTAGCACATAGATGGTCAGTGGGCCAATCAACAGCGCAGTGTAGGAGGTGACATCTCTGGCTCCCGCCAGGCAGGGATGGATGGCAAATGGGGTGCATATGTCAAACAATGAGAACTGACTAAAGCATGACTTTCTGCCAAGCGTGGACTACCTCAAACTTGGGCAGCCACTCGCTGATTCAGGCTGGACTCAGATGGAAACTGCCAGTCCTCTAGGAGTACAAAGAGCCCAGCAAGGGCAGAGGTTAAAGGCTGGGGACCAAGGCAGATGCCAAGGATGAGGACAGGCAGGTCTGAGCAACACAGAGAATTCCATGTTGACAGACTGTTATCTGGGAACTGGGCTCAGGGCCACGGTGGAAGAAGGGACAGGATGTCTGACAGAGGGGGCTTCTGATCCAACTGACCCAGCCACACGTGACCAGCACAAGTCCCAGCTTACCTTCTCCTTGTCACTTGCTTCTCTGGCAACTGTAGACCCCTGAAAGGATAAAAGCTATCAGAAGTCCTGTTGAAGTAAATTCATTGAGTTAAAAAATGTGCACCAATCTTTGGGGAGAGCCAGCAGGGAATCCTAGAGGGGCCAGGAGGCAGCAACTTGTCCACTTCCTCTGTCACAGACCATCTTCAGAGCTCTGAGCATGTGTGGACAGGTGAGGTGCTCAGGAAACAGGACCACACCAAAGACTCAGTCCCTGCCCACAGGGAACTTTCCTTCTAACAGGGGAGACAGACATTATGCAGTGGTTACACGGTTAATTCATTCGTTAATTACAGAGGTGCTAAGTGGTACAGGGGAGGGGACAGGACACTCAAAAGTAGGCAGCACAGGACTACAGGGAGGTGGTGGTCAAAGCCTACTTCCTGGGAGAACTGATACTTGAGCTGAGCTCAGAAGGGTAAGTAGGAAGTAATTAGGTGGGAAGGCAGAGGTAGACAAAAGGGCAGGAAGAGAGGCAGGGCTGGGAGGGAGAGGATTCCAGGCAGCCTATGTGATCCTGGGGAGAGAAGTGCACAGGCACCTAGGGATGGAAAGGAAACTGCGACAGACAGGTGGAGTAGTGTGAGGTGACAGAAGTCAGGGAGCCAGGTTCAAAAACAACAGAGTCCCATGGCTCCGAGGCACAGGTATGTCTAGAAATGCACTTGGGACTGTCAGCCCTCCAGGCCTGGACAAGTGCAGAGGGTGTGCGTCAGCACAGCCTGACATGTACTGCTGCCCTTGTGCGCACATCCCACTGATGAGAGTTGAAGAACATTCATTGTTCTTGGTGCTAAATAACCTCTTGTCACTGTCGACCAGACTTTGGTCCATAGGAATCAGGCATATCATCTCTGGTTGCCTGTTCATACCAAAACACATGCACCAGCCTTCCCGATAAGTGAAAGCTGGTGATGAGGCCCCGCCCAACCACAGGGAAGAGGCAGCCATAGAGCTGGGAAACACGGAGCCTTACCTTGAGGTCATACTTGCGGTGCACAGTGAGCCGATGGCTGAACACATTCCTGGTGACCACCATGTAGGTCTCCACGCCATCCACAGTCAGGCGGTACATGCCCAGGAACTGTGGCAAAAGGGTGTTGCCATGACACTCCACTATGAACTAGGAAGAGAGGGTGGGAAGGCTAAGGAATTTACGAAGATAGCTGATTGGATAGGGCATTCTCCAGGCTAAAACACTCCCCAGGGTTCTAACTTTTATTTATTTATTTATTTTAAAAAAAGATTTATTTATTTATGCATATAAGAATGGGGGTGTAGGCCAAAGGTGCTGGGGGGGTGAGAGGATTCACCAAGACAGAGTGGGGAGCAGAACAGGTGGATCTACTGAAATACACTGCTGAGGGGAGCAGCGGGCAAGACAAGAGAGGTCTGCTGTGCCATGTGGGTCAGCTCCCTGGCCGGGGATCGAACTCATGCCACTGTGGCTGGTGATAGCTTGATAGCACTAAGACTTAACCCCTGCACCACCAGGGATGCCCTGTGTTTGGAGCTTGAAGGGAAGCTAGCTTCTCTCTGTGGCTCCTGAGAAGTGGTAAGAGGGATTTCTGGTTTGGGGGAGTTTACAGCAGGGCCTGGGGCAGGGCATGGATAAGAGCTTTTAGAGAGGGGCTTCCCCCAGGCCTCCCTGAGGTTAAAGTCTAAGCACTATCAAGCTATCACCAGCCACTGTGGCATGAGTTCAATCCCTGGCCAGGGAGCTGACCCACATGGCGCAGAAGACCTCTCCTGTCTCGCCCGCTGCTCCCCTCAGCAGTGTGTTTCAGTCAATCTGCCTGTTCTGCTCCTGACTCTGTCTCTGGTGAATCCTCTCCCCCCACCACCACCCCTCTGGCCTACACCCAGTTCTTGTATGCATAAATAAAAGTAAATCTATTTTTTTTTTTTTAAGATTTATTTATACAAGCACTGGATACAGTCAGAAGCACGGGAGGGTGAGAGAATTCACCAGAGCCAGAGCAGAACAGGCAGACTGACCAAGTACACCACTGAGGGAGCAGGAGGTGGCAGGAGAGGTCTGTGTGCGCCATGTGGAACCCCCGCCCAGCGGCCGGGGATCGAACCAGAGCTGCAGAGGCTGTGGGCAGCTTCGCAACCCAGCGCTCAACCGCTGCGCCACCGTGGAGGCCCAAAAGTAAATCTTTTTTTTAAAAAAAAGCCCCACACTGACTTAGAACAGGCACGCAGATGGTGCCCCTGCACTCCCTGATTTTCCCGTGGACAGATTTCAGAGCAGTGGAAAGCAGAAGCGGAAAAGAAACCCTGCCGCCTGCCCAGGCCTCTTTTAGAATAAACGAAGCAGGTGCCTGAGTGTGAAGACTTCCCAACTCTGACAAGAAACAGCTGTTCAAGTGGGTCTGAGTCAGTCACTGGCTTTCATTTCTCCTTTCTTCAAGTAGGCTTTCACCTCACAAAAATATGACAGCAGGGGAGGGCCAGGTGCTGAGTTCTCAAATGTCTGCCACCACCAGAGAGGACCAACCCCTCCCAGGAAGCTCCACTGGGCTCTCTTCTCCCCCTTCCAGCCCTCCTCCAATGTCCAGGCCGGGGACTCACCATACCTGGTGGTATTTCTTTAAGATGTTGTGCATCTCAGCCACATCCTCGCTTGACACAGTTTTGATGACAAAGCGCCGATCGTAAGTGGTGAGGAAGCGTGTGCCGCACCGGCCCTGGCTGTCACTGTTGATTGGGGCGCTGCGTGTCACTGAGTTCTGATGGACCAAGACAAGAGCAGGCTGGTCTCGGGAGGAGAGCAAGGACTCTGACGTTTACTCTGAGTCTTCTCATATAGGCCGGACAGCTGCTCTAAAGCAACACCACTAAGACAGAGGGCACCTCGCCCACCCTTTCTTGTAGGAAGTTCATAGCCCCCTAGAAGTCTTCCTAAATGTTCTCCCCTACTACCTGGCTCCTGACCCCCAACTGTGATGGGAAGAAGACTGGGAAATGCTTCCTTTGACTCTGATCCCAGAGCTCCCCTGCCAACCCTAACTCTGCCTCACACGTCAGGGGACTAGCTTTGATCCCGATGCTCACTTGGGCTTCACAGAAGCCACTTCACTTCTCTAGCCCTGAGCTTCCTCACCTGGAACACGGGGATGTGGACCAAGCCGATTCTCCCAGTCTCTTGGGGTGACAGTTTAGGAAATATTCCAGAAGTCTAGTATAAGGAAGCAATGGACGTGGTAGTCTCTTTTCGCTGGAAAACCTTTCCAAGAGCAGGAAGTTGACCCTCGTCCTGCTGCCTCACCCCTCTCCCTCACTCAAACTCCTGCATCTCTGTACCGGACTACAAGGCGGTTCTGGGGACGTTTCCTGGCTCTGTCTCTACTCCACCTCAAGGCCCCATTCCCCTTAGGATCAGAGAGCACTAGAAATCTCCAGGGGCCTGGCAGAGAAGGTGTGTCAACCGAAGGTATGTGTCAACCAAGCAGAGGTCAAGAGAAGACCTCTAGGGGACAAAGTAGAGGAGGAGAGCCCCAATGTTCTCCAATGTGGTGCCAAGAAAACACATATGGGATCCCTCACAGAAAAGCCTCATCTCTGAGCCCATTCCTCAGGCCCTATCTCAGGTCCTACTTACCCCTTCACCTAGTGCCTCCTTGTAAGACCCTGGTAGAGAAAGGTGCACTGCCTGCAAGGCAGAAATGAAGTCTGAAGTGGTAAGAGGCTCTCTAAATTAAAAGAGCGCCCCTCAAAATTGGGTGTCCCCAGTTCATGAATAGGCTACATGACTGAGTGCCTCACTCTCCCAGGATGACCTACAGGCCACGAGCCCAGGTGGGAAGAGGGGCCTATCCCTGCCTCACTCCCAGGCATAACTCTTGGACTCTGTGGTGCTGGTAGCCCACAAGTAGACTCCTCTCCGTTAACACCATCCTCCCGTCCCCATTTCAGTTTTGGGCACAGTCATTTGCCCACAAGGCTATCAGAGAAAAAATGCAGACACTGAGAGGATGTGGCTGGATGGTAAGGGGAAGGGAAGGCGCCACAGTGAGGAAAGAGGTCCTAGCAACCTCAGGTTGCAATAATGGCAGGAAGTTTTCAGAAAACCTCAGGCTCCGACCAGGTCATGACTGAGTTGAGGACTCTGACCTAACAGAAGGGACTTCCCAGTACCTCTCAGATGTGAACAGTGGGAGTTCCAGTCCTGGCAGCTCCTCCAATCAAATCCCCTCCCCCTCCGCCTCAGGACACATATCTTTGCATGTGTTCCCGGCTCATCCCACTTCTCATGAACTACTCTGTGAAGGGCATCCTGGGAGTGGGGTAGGAGGAATTACAGTATTCTGGAAGATTTGGACATTTCACTAGGCTATATGTTTTTTTTTCCCCCGCAGACAAATGAAAGTTAGTTATATATTTCTTAATGCTCTCAAAGTGAAGTGGAAAATCTCCCACCTTCGCTACCAGGCTGTCTGCCAAGGGAAGAAGGTCCAAGGAAGGTGCTAGGTGGGAAAGCAACAGAAACCATAGACTATGAGTCAGCCAAACTCATCCCTCATTTGGGGACTGATTCCTCCCACTAAGTCAAAGGTCTCTACGACAGTCACCCCTCGAAGGGGGCAATTGCCGGCCATGTCTATCCCTCCCTCCCAATACCAAGGCAGGGGACATGTTTAGGAGGTGACACTCATACCTGGCAAGAGGTTATACTACCCTTGAAGTCTTCCTTTTCTAATCTGTCTTATCTGCTTTAAGAGGCCTCATCTCTCGCTGGCAACAATTCTCTCTCTTAAGTCAAACTACGAAGGAGAAGTGTTCTTCAGCCTGGACTGGGAATGTCAGACTAAAATGAAGCAGCTTCCATGGACCCCTCTCCCTCCCGCTGCTCTCCCTCCCAAGGAGCAGAGCTGGGCCTTGCTCTCAATGAAGCCTGAGCCTGTAAGGTCTCATCAGAAGCACTTCTAAGGCCCTGACCCCTCCAAGCACCCACCAACTCTGGGAAGGTGACTGCCTGGGCAAGGGACACCTAGAAGAAGACACAGCCCAGGAACAGCAAGCGCTTTCTCCCCCACCTGTCCTGCCTGTGGCTTCCTGACCCCACTCCACTGCCCAACCCCTCCAATTCTGCAGACACCCCGTACCTGGTAATCCTGATCATCAATCCCAAACCTTTCTCGGAGATTTCGGAATACCATGGGGCAGTACTCCTTAAACTTAAAGCGGCTGGGGAGGTTCTCCCTAGGGAAAAGCAGAAAAAATAACTTCATGAATCTCTACTTGCTCATCTTAACACTTAATCAGAACCTCTCAAGTGTAGTCCACAGATCTGGATTTGAACAAATCACTTAAGTGCTTAAAATGTAGGTTTCTATGCCTCACAAATTCTGGAGCTGAGTGTGGAAATCTGCATTTTGAACAGAGTCCAGGTGAATTTGAGCAGGTTAAAGTTTAAAAACTTTTCAACCCTTGAATTCACTTTGTAAAAATTAATCTAGCTATAAAGTTATCACTTACGCACTCTTCCTGAGTGTATGTTACCTTTCTACCACATTTACATTACAGGGAAAACACCTGACCTGCAAGGCTGAGCACAGGTCTCACGTCACGCACACTGTACTTGCTAGAGGGGTGACCACAGGGAACTTGTGCTGTGAGATGATCTTCGGGCTGAATATGAGGAAAGGGCCCTCTCCTTGGGAGAAGTTTCTATGAACACATCCTGAAGATGGTTACATCCAGGAAGCCCCACCCTTGGCTTCCACTGGGCTGGAGGGAAAGGGAGCTTTAGATAGAAGAAGTCAGTTGACTCGATCCCATCTGTTCATGAAACCTTGATTGCTGGCTGCTGGCACCAATCTCCACGCTTCCCACTCCTTAGTCAACACCGATTCCCAGGAGGAAAGAGAATCACCTTGAATTGATGCCTCCTCCAAGTCCTCCATCATTTCAAGAGTCACCCTGCTTGCAACACTCCCTTTCAGAAGCATATCTCTCCAATGCTCCAGGATGATAGACTTCAAGGAAAGAAAAGTCAATGGCTCTGTATGAAGGTCTCATATGCCCGTCTTCTTGTGAACAGCACTACATGTTAGAAACTGGCACATCAACAGTTGTTGAAAGGACAAAAGGAATGAAGAAAGCTGGAAGAGGCTGCTTTAGGCCAAGCCCTCAAGGTGGCAGAACTTCACCAGAGATCATGGACCCTCAAGGCAGCAGTGCCAACGCCGCTGCCAGAGCCCTGACCTCTGCGACAGAACACAGCAAGCCCTTTCAGGAGATGACTCCTAGAAACTCTTCAGGTTGCCAGGGGAACCAACTAGGATGAAAGGGTTGGAAATTTCAGTTTCCCCCCTGACCTGCAGGGACAGCAGAGAGGCTGGAGGTAGAATCAATCACCAAAGGCCAATGATTTAATCTATTATGCCTTTATAATCAAGCCACCACAAAAACTCAAAAGGACAGATTCAGGAGCTTCTAGGTTGGTGAGCACATGGCGGTATGGGGAGGGTCCCCCTGAGGCGGGGGACCCTATGGGACTCTCCAATCTACAGCAGTTTGGTCAGAAACACAGGTGACAACCTGAACTTGTGTTTGGCATTGAGGGGGAGGGGGAGCAAGGGCCTCTCGTGGAACTGAGCCCTTCACCTGTGGGACCTGGTCCTAACTCCAGGTACATAGCGTCAGCACTGAACTGAACTGCAGCACACCCAGCTGGTGTCACAGAACTGCCTGAGATGTGGAAAACCCACAGAGCTGATGTCAGAAGTGAGTGAAGGATGTGTGAGAAGAGGAGAAACACAGGAGAGTTCTCCATCTCCATTGGTGGCCACTTAGCAAGCGGCAGCACTGAAGACAGACAGCTTCTAGAACAAGATGTTATTACTTACTATGGCAGAGAGAGGCCACTAAGGGATGGTTTCAAATCAAGCTTCTCCTCCGGGCTAACAGTCTGGGAATGGTGGCATGACAAAGCCCAGCTGGTGAGGTGGTGGGGACTGTGGGACAATGGAGAGTGGAACGAGGAATCAAATGCAGAAAGGAAGAGAATGTGATCAGCAAATAATTCCTGGGGGGACCCACAGTGGAATGAAAAAACTAGGTCTCCAAAGGGCTTAAAACAGACCCTAAACTGTGCCAAGTGAGAGGGCTGCTCCAACAAAATGAGACAACCTTCACAAGAAGCCACAGGGAACAAAAAAATACGAAGAGTTACTTTGGACAGCACCCTTGGGCACGTGCTCAGCCTGTTGTTCACACACCAGTTGGAGAGAAAAGAGCTTGGCTGCACCCCAGGCCAGGAACATGCCAGGCAGCTTCCTGCCTCAGACTCCGATCGAGACAGAACCACTGCTGTCAGCCTCCTACTGGATACCTCAGTTTCCGAGGAGCTCAGTTCTACCTAAACTGACCCTAGATGAATCACCCAGGGCTGAGCCACATGCCCTGAGGGACCCTGGGGGTAGGCTGCAGGAGCGTGATGACAACAGGGCGTGGGGGAGAGGACGACACTGAAAGCATTTCCCAGCCAGCTTTTCAGCTGTGATCCAGGTGTCAATGTCACTCTGCCAGGTGCTGGCTCGGCCCCAGCATGCAGGAGTTCAGAAGCTCTCTGCCTGGAGGGAAAGAACCCCCTATAAAATCTGAGCCCACTGAGCAGCAACTTACTTATTGAAGAGATGATTATCCACCTTGATCTTGCTGTAGGCTTTGAAGTCATCTGGCATTAGCATGACAGGGACAGGGACATTGCTCAGCTCATTAATCTGCAAAGCAAGGGGGAAGTCAGGTTCTCAGCCAGGAGGCCACCAGCCTCTAAGAGACAACGCAGTACAGAGTGGGGACCCCTGCATCACCAAAAACATGTCCGTGATTCCCTCCTTGTCTTCATTTCTGCTCTTCTCTTCAAGTAAGTTCCCAAGCTCCTCTCTACCTATTAAAGTTCTCCCCACCCGATAAGGTATGTCCTCCATAAAGCTTTTCTGTCTAGACCAAAAACGTTCTTTCTCAGCTTGGAATTCCCGAAGCACTGTTTGTATACTGCTTTTGGCCACCTCACACCTCCCCTCACATTGCAGTTAATGTTTATAAACCTCACACGCGTGCTAGACTGTAAGCCAGGCGAGACCACATCACTCATCTTTGTAAGCAAAGATCATCTAACTGACCTTTGGGGACTCCTTGGTGCTTAGCACCATGATTTGCCTATAGCAGGTCCTATATAAATATGTGTCAAATGCAATAATAAATGGATTAAAAGATAAATGTTACCCAACCTACGTGGGTATTAACTGACACTTTTGAAATCTTTACAAAAATGACGGGTCACTCCAAAAATCAACCTGAGGCAGGAAAAAAAGCTGGATGGGTTTGTGTGGGTGTGTAACTCATCTACAAAGCAAAGCATTACATTTAAATTTAAAGTGACATCAGGTCACTGGCTCACTCCTAACTCTCCTGATTAAAGCAGGGCCAGCTACTGCCATGTCCTGTCTTATGATGAACTGGGGGAAATGGAGTAGGGTCCCTCACCCCCCAGGGCAAACAAACCTTCTGGTTGTCTTTCATCCCCCTTCAGGGAGCTAGAGGGTGGACAGGGACCTAATTTCCCACTGGAACAGAGCAGAAGGGGCAGATCCTGCCCTTCCCACCTCCAGCTTAGCCAATTAGTGGTCTAATTAGCCACAGATATCCTCTCCCATCACAACGGAGTATTTGACATCTGACCCTCAACCCAGTTGCCACTAATGCACTCAGAATTTGCAGAAGAAACCTTAGTTCTGACTTAATGGGAGGTGGGGAGGGGCAGCACAGCCTTGTGCTACCCAGATACCTTCTTTGCAAATCCTATTATCTCAATGAGGCCCCATGTGGCAGTAGGGGAATAACCCAGAGTCATTAGGACTCCTCCAGGAGCATAAATGGGGGGAAATGGCATTTAATTTGATGCCCCTTTTTATGTTCCAAACCTTTTTTATTTAGAAATGTCAGAAAATGAAGGAAGTACAAGTTAATGCAGTAACTGGGCTAGGGAACCTGGAGTAGTGAAAAATCGTTACTTGTGGGGAAATTAAGGCAGACCCAGGCGTGTATGGGGAGTATAGGGTAGTACTACAAGTTGGCAGCAGGGTAGAGGCTCTAACCTGCTGGCACAAACTGTCAAAGACACAACAGTACATGCTGTATGATTCCTTCACATGAAATTCCAGGGCAGGACTCCACAGTAAGAGAATTCCAGTTAGAGGCTACCTGGGTTGGACTAGAAAGGGCTGACTGTAAAGGAACATGAGAAGTGTGAATCAGGGTAAAAAAAAAAAATTCTCTGTGTTGTTTGGGGTGATTATTATATGGCTATACACATTTACTGAAACTCAAACTATGCACTTAAAACTCCCAGCATACCCAGGTCTGTACAGCCTGCCATTGACTAAACACACACACAGCCCTGCCAGCTCCAATTCCAAGGTGTGCTCACCAGAGAACCTGATTTTTAAGTGTCTGCCTGTGGAGGAAACCACTCCACTTCCTTGTTTTTCTGCCAACAGAAACAATTCATGGTAGTTGTTCTACTTCCTTTTTCCTTGCATTTTAAGCCTGGCTCTGACAGTTAAGTCAGAAGTTCATGGCTCTTAAGTGATCCCATCTTTCTCGCTCATACTTCCATGCTAGAAAGAGCATAGCACTGGCTCAAAAAGTATGATTTTACACCAAAATGTTACAGCGTGTATTCCTAATTGATCCTGCGTACATCCAAAATCCAGGCCCAGTGCCAAGGCCAGCACTTGATGTTAGGAAAATGAAAACTAAAGCACTTGCTTGAGATGGGTCAACTAGCCCTTGCCAGGGTGAATGATCCCAACAGGAATGTAGGGTAAGGAAAAATGTCAGGCTTTTCTGCCCTCCCGCCATCAGGATAGATGATGGATCCTTGCAGTCCTGAATGCATGCCTCATGGCGGGCACCTGGAGTAGGGTGTGGGCATAGGTAGATGGGATTCACCTGGGCTAAGACTGTGCTTTTAAGGGCGGCATCACGGGGACACCAAGAGAAGCCAAAAGAAGAAGCCAAGAACGAATGGAAGCTGAGAGAAGAAGAAGAGAAGCCGAGAGAAGCAGCAGCAGAAGCTGAAAGAGAAGCCGAGAGAAGGCTGGAGAGCCCAGATAGTGAGGATTTGCTGGGGGCTAGGAGGACTGCCAGCCTCCTGGCCCCCCAGCACCCCTGCCTGCCATATGCCTGGTGAACCCCAATAAAAAACCTGCAAAACCACTGAGAACTCTGACTCCTCCTTTACCCAGTCTGCATGGGATCAGAAAACCTGCACTATGGTCCATTCCTGCCACTACAAGGAGTATTCAGGAATGCTCTATTCATTATTTTTCTGTGTGACTCTAGTGCAGCTTAGAGTAAGTTAGTCAGTTTAGTTCTCATTTCACACCTATTCTCGACTATATAAACCCAACTGCAGGAAATTTCTGAGATGTACTGACAAACAACCCATGCATCTCAACTCACAGACTCACCCCTCATTTCCACTGGGCCACATGTAGATGATTCACTCTAGGGATTAGCTGCACAATTTTTTTTTTTTTAGTTGTGCTAAATTTTATATCCCCAGAGACTTCTATTCAATTTCAGTTGAACAAGCACTTACGAAAATACCTACTACATGCTTCATTCATTTCATGTTAGGGAGGAGGGGTTGTATGGGGGCCGGGGTGTGCATTGTGCACACAAAATAAGTAGGGAGTTATCATCTTATGAGGAAGATGAGACAAACCCAAGAAGAAGTGAAACTTGAAATTGAGCAGGGTACCAGTAAGAACGCGGACAGAGACACAGGGAACAGCAGACGGTCAGAGGGGAGGGTGAGGCTGATGTGGTCAGCTGGACTGCCAGCCCTCACACATCAGGCTTAGAAACAAGGCACCTAAAGCCTCTCCTGGTATTGCCAAGAGCACTTGACCCTGGAAAGATCATATTACAACCCTTCTTAAAAACCTTCCATGGCTCCTCACCCAGCTCAGGGTAAAGCTTTAACTCCTTAGCCTGGCATTCAAGGCCTTTCCCAATCTGGCTCAGGCTCTGCCAAACATATATTGAGCTTACTTCTGAATGTACTGAGGGCCTTTTAATATGCCCACACTATGCCAGAAGTTGGGGACTGGTTTAGCTGGGAACACAGATAACATAATATAATATAATATAATATAATGAGTGCTGCAGATTTATGAATAAAGGGAGATGGACAGATTAAGAAATGATTTGGAATGGGAGTGAGAGCATTGGTCACTAGAAGGAGTTACAGAGAAATATATCTGGAAAGGCCTAGGATGTGGTTCTCAAAAGAAAGGGGGAGGGGGAATCCCAGGTGACAGAAACAGTCAGGACCAAGCCTCAGAGTTGTGGAAGTGTAATGCCCATTTTAGGGATGTTATGTGTGGATGGAGGAGGGGAGGGAGGCCTAGAGGCTGGCAGGGTAGGCTAGGAGGATAAGGAGTGGAGGGAGATAGCCTAGCATGTTATGTATATGAATAATTAACAGCTTGTTTACCTCTGCGCGGGTCGGCAGCACTTGTTCGATTCACTGAATGCCTATAAGTGACCAATACTTTGTTACTATATATATCTCATATTCATTCTGTTCAATGCTAGTATTTTTAATACTTACTAGCAACATAAAGTGTTAACATGCTATTGTAACAAAAGGGTTGGTTCAAGTACCTCCCTCCAGTCAGGCAATGTGTGCTGATTCAAGACTGATCCCAGGTCTGTCTGGTGCCTAAACCTGGGCTCTTGTACTGACTGGGCTGTGCTGCCCTCATGGACAGATACCTTGACTAAGGTGCTGTTTTTCACTCCTTGCCTCTGTCCTAATATTCTGCACGGAAAGCATTATGTTCATTTTATAGAAAAGGAAAAGGAAGAGCAGAAAGAAAAACTGCTGCTCAAAGCCAAACTATTACTAAGAGGCAGAGCCTAGATTTGAATTTAGGCTTGTGCACTACAAGATAAATTTGGACTTGACTATGCAGGCAATAGGACGTCCTCTCAGGTTCAAGCCTAGGAATTCATATCATCAGATGGGTGATACAGAAAGGGAATTCTAGAATCAAAATCAAGCAAACATTGGATAGGGCAAAATAAGCCATAGACCATTTATGGAACCTTTACAATAGTTCAGGTGACAGACTGCGGCAGCAACAACAGAAAAAGGGATAAAGTTAAGCACCCTCTGAGATCTGGCTCAATGATACTTTCTCTGTGAGTGCTTCCCTGTCTTCCCTGGGTTGAATTAATTACTCATTCTTCTGTGCATCTTCATCTCCTAAAGATCACATTCACTCAGATAATCATTTGTTTACATTTCGGTATCTCCTCAGACTGTGAATGCCTAGAAGGAAGAGACTATCTTCCCCATGTCACTATCGCTAACACAGTGACTGGGCATCAGGAGCTGCACAATCAAAGGGAAGGCGTGGGGGCCTGGCGGGTGGACTAACACTAGGGTGAGCAAAGCCAGCAAAGCTGGCATGGCCAGAGGCTGATGGACTGGAGGAGGGGAAAGAAGATTACGGTTAGTTAGGAGGATGTGACCAAATTGTAATCTTAAGTGCAAGGGAGAGAAGAAACATTATGAAGTAGACAAAGGGGAGTGGTGAAAGGTTTTATAGCAGAAAGGTGGTGACAGAAGCAATGTTTCAGGAAGATGTGCCTTTCCTTTACAATCTAGCACACTTATGGGTCAACTTCTTTCACCTTCAGTCACAGTGCATTTGTGCAATGCAAACTCAATCAAACATCACATAAACACAAATGATATTAGTAAGTCTGTTGTACCTTAAATTCATCATATAAGTGGTTTCTGGATTATCCACACGATTAACTCCATGAGCCATCAGCATAAACAGTGAGGTTAAACAGGCTGAGTGAGAAACAACTTAGTAGCGGAGAGGCACTCCATGCTGACCCGACTGGAGGTGAAAATTCAGTCCTAGTTCTAGTCTGGTGAACTTCTCATTCCAGAAGCCTCTACTTCCCTGTGTGACCTTCAGAGGAACTGTTACCCAGGAGGCATGGGCTGGACATGCAGGTTTCCTGACATGTTGTGGGCTTCCATGGGTGGTTCAGAAATGGGTGGGCCAGCACTGACAATCCCCTGTAGCTGCCAGCGTTAGAAGATACCCCATGTTAGGAAACACACTCCCAACACCCTGAAGGTCCAAGCAAGACCCCAAACTCCAGCGAGGAAAAGAGAAAGACAAAAACTATGGGGGCCCAAATCCACCCCTGGGTTCAGTCCTCCTCTTTACACCTTGGTTTTTCTTCTCCTGCTGGAATCCCACTGTTCTCTGTGAGGGGGAAAGGCTTGTAGAAAGGCAAATTCATCCAATGGCCTCATTAGAGCCAAATATTTACTAAATATTTGTAAAGTATTGATGCAGGATAAAAGGTCAGGTTAGGGAGGTTCTAGGTCAGCAGTAAGCAAAAAAAAAAAAAAAAAAATTTAAAAAATGATTGCACTCAACAGGGGTAGAATGTGAGAGAGAGCTGAGCAATCCTAAGAACGAATCTGTTCCTTATGCCATATACAAAAATTAATTCAAAATGGATAATAGGGCCTCCCTGGTTGTGCAGAGATAAAGGTTCAATGCTATCAAGCTATTGCCAGCCACTGCAGCATGAGTTTGATCCCCGGTAGGGAGCTGACCCACATGGCACAGCAGACCTCTCCTGCCTTGCCCACTGCTCCCCTCAGCAGTGTATTTCAGTAGATCTGCCTGTTCTGCTCCCCATTCTGTCTCTGATGAATCCTCTCTCACACACACACCCCCCACCTCTTGTCTACACTCCAGTTCTTGCATAAATAAACAAATAAATCTTTAAAAAATGGATTATCGATCTAAATGTAAGAGCTAAAACTATAAGAGAAGTATAGGAGCAAATCTTTAAGATCTTGGGTTAGGAAAAGCCTTCTTACATAGAACACCAAAAGCATAAGCAACCAAAGAAAACAGATAAGCTGGACTTTACCAAACTTAAAAACTTGAGGTCCAAAAGATACCATCAACAGAGTGAAAAGACCACACAGAAATGAGATAAAATATCTGTAAATCATGTATCTGACAAGGGACATAAATCTAGAATACACAAAGAACTCTTACAACTCACTAACAAGACAACCTAACTTTAAAATGGGGAAAGTTTTTTTTTTAATGGGCAAAGGATATTAATAGATATTTCTTTTTTTTTTTTTTTTTTGTGGGACCCTCGCCACAGGCCAGGGATCGAACTGATACTGCAAAGGCAGCCTCACAACCCAGCGCTCAACCGATGCGCCACCAGGGGAGGCCCTTAATAAATATTTCTCCAATGAAAATACATAAATGGTCATTAAGCACATGAAAAGATATTCAACATCACACTACCAAGGAAACGCAAATGGAAATGCAAATCCAAAACACAATGAGATACCACTTCACGCCCACTAGGATGGCTATAACAGAAAGACAGACAATAACAATAATTGACAAGGATGTAGAGAAGTTTGGGTCCTCAATACAATGCTGAAGGAAAAGTGAAAGGATGGGGGCCTCCCTGGTGGTGCAAGGGGTTAAGACACAACCTATGAAGCTGTCTGCAGCCTCTGCAGCACAAGTTCGATCCCCTGGCCTGCCAGGGAGCAACCCAGATGGCTCAGCAACCTCTCCTGGCTCACCCGCTGCTCCCCTCAGCAGTGTATTTCAGTCAATCTGCCTGTTCTGTCCCCCACTCTGTCTCTGGTGAATCCTCTCACCCCTGCATCTCTGGCCTGTACCCCAGTTCTACTATGCATAAATAAATCTTAAAAAAAAAAAAGTAAAAGGATGCAGTTGCTCTGAAGAAGAGTCTGAGTTTCCCAAACACTTAAACATCGTTACCATCAGCTGCACCTACGCCTCTGGTCTCCTGGGTGAGGCTTCACAAACGCCTGGCTCCTAAAATGGCGAAGAGGTCATGAAGCAGGTCCACCTCCTGCGTCCTACACACCGCCCTGAGGCCATATCCTCCCTACCTCCAGAGCCTCTGAACAGCAGTCCGCCTACTAAACCAATGGTTTTCTATCTTTACTAGCTCTCCACTGATAGATCCAAAGTCTTCTGACTTTTCTCCCGATTTCCACAGGGTCTCCCTCCATGAGAAGGGTTGCTTCTCTTGCCCACAAGAGGAGTTCTTTGCGACAAGACTAAGGTCCTAGAGTTCGCTTTTTCCACCAGAAGTAATCAACCATCTCACAAGAAAGTCAGTGGTGTTTACTATAGATAAAGACATAGCCATTCCTCATATCTGATGTACCATCAGTCAGACCACCAGCTAAATGCCCAAAATGGGTGAGAAACTACAGAATGAAAGAAAAGGTGTATGTGAAACCCTGGGTCACAAAACATTATGGTAACAGGCTTCTGAAGGCAACCTTTCCAAAATGAGTGGCAAAAGCCATGCGATCCTGACCCCCTGGAGAATTGCAAGGTTTTATATTTTTTTTTCTGGAGACCTCGTTGCAGAGCAAGATGATGCAATTAAAGTTGGAACTAACTGCCCTCCAAAGCTTGGCTTATCCAGGGCCATGGAGCACAGTATATTTCCCCTAAGGAGTTCACTCATTATGCCCAGAGGTGTGGGTCTTGCTTAAAGTCAATGCCTTTCCAGCTAGCCCTCAACAAACTTTCTTAAAGTTAGTCAAGAAAGGTGGTAACCTAGTTAGTCCAAGAGGACAGGAATCACAGACACCCAGCCATCTGCCATTCAGAGGTTTCTATCTGAAGCCCACATCTGACCAAACTCACTGACTATCAGAAAACCAGGCATCAGCACTCCCAAGAACTCGCATGCACGGACACACACAGCTGAGTATACATTCAGGCTTCCTAACAAGATGGTAATTCCCACCAATCCTGGCACTTGGCTGAGAGCTAGGACAACGAAGAGGAGTCCAAGAAAACAGGACCTGCCACCGAAGCACCACCACTGGCCAACACAGTCCTGGTGATGGACAGCGAGCAGATCTTCTGCTGTGCCCACAGGTGAGCTAACCTCTACCCAGAGCCTCCATTTCTTCATGAAATAAGGGACACAAATTCCCTTCCAGTTAGTTGTAATATTCCTGACTCTCAGACCTCTACCAGTTCACTACACAGACAGGATGCTTTCTAGTGAGAAACAAACTGCAGAACAAAATTAGAGATTGACATCCAGGCAGGGACACAGGGTTCTCATTTTTATGACCCAGTTTCCCATGCAACGTGGTCAGATGACCCCTGAGGCTGCAGGAAGTAGGAGGAAAAAACTCTGCTGACCATGGTCCAGAGGTCTTGACATGAAACCAGAGGTACTCCCTACCCTAGTCAGTAACTGCTCACCTAGTGAGGCCACTGAAAACAGCAACCCATCCACGACCAAGACACCAACAGAGCCCTCACCATCCACATGTGCTTTTCTGTGGACTGTGGTTCATCAACCTCTAGGGAGAGGCTCCTCTACTAAAGTTAAGCACAATGTCTTACTGGGCCTGGGTCCCTTCGTCATTCGGTCTTGTGGGCAAGTTCAAGTGCTTAGAAAGTTAAGGAGGCTAAAGAACTGAAATCCACAGGATACTCAAGGTATTAACTTCATCTCCCTCATTCCAAAGTTGTATTCGGTAGAGTTGGTGTTTCAGGTGCTTTTACTTTTCTCTGCTCATTCCCAATGTAGGGACTCACCATGAAATGATCAGAGACGGCAAGGCGCAAGCGGCTGGAAGACCCTAAACCAACAGCACATAAAGTGTTCCAGCCAAAACACTGTGTTAGGCTCAACTGCCTAACAGGAAGACTGGACAATCTCGAAGTCTATCTCGAAGTGCCCCAAAGATCAGGGAAGCCCTCTCTCATCCGAATCACCATCCATTATCATGCCCTTCATGCTCATACAACAGAAAGCTCAATAAATAAGAAATCAAGGTCTTCCATAGGCGAATACAGGAAGACACATTATTTCTACCACGAAGAGCCCTCCTAATAATCAGGCCTCACCTTCTCTCAAATGGTTACATTCTCTCTCCTCCCTAACCCCGGGAGGAGTCCCCCCCAAAGTGTGTGTGCTTCAAGAAGCCTGGGTTTCTCCAGTTGATACATCTTGGTTAAGATGAAAAAAAAGGAAACCTAGGGAGGGTTTCCACGGCCAGGGGTAAGGAGGTCTGGAGGCTGGGACTCTGAGCTGCCACATCAACCAAATGACCAGAAACAGGAGTATGCGGGCGGGTCAGGGCTGCTTGCCCTGTCGACTGGACTGCGAGCTGGCAGCTCACTAAAGAACAAGAGGGGAAACGCATGCAATAAACGGGATGAGGTGAGAAGAGAGCGAGAGGGGCTGGAAGCGATTCCACCGCACCAGGCCTTGCCTCTGCGCTCCGGGGTCAGCTCCAAGCAGGCATGCCCGACACAGGAAGCCAGAGGGGCTGGAGGGAAGGGGAGGCGGCGACGGCATACCGCCGAGACGCCAGGCCGCGCGTGGCGCGCGGGGAGTGCACAGACGGCCCGGACGGCGTGCAAGGGTGGGGTGGGCGTGCAAGCGGCCGGGCGAGCGGTGGCGAGCGTCGCCCGCAGGGTCCGCGGGGCGAGGGCCGGGACCGCGGGGGGCGTGGGAGCGCGCGCGGCCGCGCTCGAGGGGCGCGCGCGGGGGAGCTGGTTACCGTGTGGTTCACCCCCCACATCAGGACGCTGAGGATCGGCTCGCTGGCCCGGAATAGCTTCACTTTCTGGCACACGAAATGCTTCTTCTTGGTCTTGGTCTTGCTGGCGCTGAGCGGCGCCACCGCCACCGCCGTGGTGCTGGTGCAGTTGGACGACATGCCCGGGGCGGCGGCGGCGGCGAGAGGGGGGGCGGCCGAGACGGCGCACAAGCCAGCGGCCCCAGGCCTCCCCCGGACGGATCCCCACCCCCGCTCCCTCACCGCGCCATGGTCGCGCCCGTCCCGTTACCTCCCCACCCCGCCCGGGTGGTTTCGTCCGCCCCACGCTCCGCCCCCCCGGCCCGCCCCGCCCCGGGGAGCCGGCCGGCGGCACCGCCCCGCCGCCTCCAGGCCCGCTCGTCCCCGTCTGGGGGGCTCGGCCCGTCCCGGGGAGGCAGCGGCCGCCCCGCCCGCCCTCCCCCCCGGGCTGACAGAAGGCGGCTCGACCTCCGCGCGCCTCAGAGCCCCGCGCGAGCGGGAAGGGAGGAGGCCGGCAGGTCTCGCTGCCTATCGCGGGAGGGTCTCCCTGTCGGGGCCCCCCCCAGGCAGGGTTTGGCTTTTCCCCTCAGCCTGACGTGCCAAGATGGCGGCGGCCCCACAGCTCCGGAGGGGAGGTGGGGCGGGAAGCCGAGGAGGAAGGGACGTACCATCCGCCACCCCGGGGGAGAGAGGAGGAACGCAGCAAGGGGAAAAGGAAGTCCTGCCGGGAAAACCGAGGAACGCCCCCTCGCTCCACCCGAGCGTGGATCTTCCCACTCCCTCGGGCCCCGGGCGCGCTCCACCCGCGGGGCACGCCCCCTTCCCCCCAGGCCAATGAGAGGAGCAAGCCTGGAGCCTCGGGTTTTATGAATGGGTCCTACACCCACCCCCCTGCCGCCGGCCTCCCGCGGAGGGTCGAGCTGAGAGGTCGCCCGCCTCTTAAGGCACCCACCCTACAGCAGAGTCATAATCGCCTATTCGCTGGTTTACTTTGTAAAATCTTTGAGTAAACTGTACCCACTATTACATGATTCCTCTGGGACGAAGGATCTCCCTCTATTCAACACAACTATGGATCAATATTGGTCTGTATGGCAACTCCTAAATTCCTTACTCGGCACGTGGTAGCTCTTTAAACAGTTACAAAAATAAATGTAACCTTTATTACTAAGTAATAAAACGAAAGACATAATTAACCTTTGCATAGGGAATCGGGATGAGGTGATGAAATGAATAACAAGTGTTACTTTCTAGGGAAGGACTGGGCATTATCGTGCCTGACATCCTAAGTGCTCACAAATAAAAATCCAAATTCATTTTAAGAAGATTTAGAAGAAGCAGAGCAAGGAACTAATCCAGCCAATGAGTGTGAGGGGAGGATAGGGAAGGGGGTGTCAAGAGTGCCTAGTTGCTGCTAAGAGTCAAATGAGGGCTTCTGGGGAAAGAACAGAGAAGGGGAAGGAATAGACAGAAAATTGATCCCAGGAGTTTTTGCGTTTTTTTAATACCTGACCAAAAAATAGTAGCAAACAATTCCTGGAAATCTAGAATTATAATGTGATTACTACATGATAAAAGGGCAGCCAAGAAATAAATAGCTTCTGTTTATTTTAAGAGCTAGGGAGCATAATGACTCTTAAAATCATTTGACTCCACCACTACGCTGCCCACATTGGAGACTAAGCCATATAAAAGGGGAGCTACTCTGAATCCTATCAATACACAAAGGTCCCTCCTAAGCTAGCTGGATTCACTTGCCCTGCCTTACTGTTACTCCATAACAAGATACAATCTGGCTTCCTTACATAGTAGTCTTTACCAATTAAGATAGTTTCACAAAGCTAACTTTTTTTAAAAAGCATGTAAAAATTACACATTTGTATATATACACACACTTTTACAGCTTTTACTTTTACAGCTCAAAGGATAGTCCAAATAGTTCAACAGTTCATTTAGGGCTTGTTTGCATTTTTTCTAGATTCCCTGTCACTCCCTTGGCTCTACCCTAACCTGACATCATTCTGTCACATATCTACCGAATATATGTTCATTTACCCAAGCAAACACTATCTGGGTGACTCTGGAGAGAGCTGTTTCTGCAAGGTGTGGTCTATACAGAGGAGCTGGGTAAGTCTGTTCACCTGATGGGAGGGAAATAACAGAATAAGCATAACAACCACAGCAGCAGCCTTCCAGAGCAGGATGCGAGCTCGCATCTAGAGGGTCTAGTGCCCACTCTTTGAAAAACAGGTCAAGACCCACTGTGCACCCAGAAAAAAATTACTGAGATTCCCATAAAGCAAGTCACACTGTGTCTCAAAAGAAGTCAGCTGCTTCAGGAATCAAGAGAGTCACTTTGAACAGTGGTGCTTTGACATCTGTGGAAGAAGTCATATGAACTCTTATAAAGAGAATGTTTAAGGGGTCAGCAGCCTCCCTGGAAAATTCAGGAAAACACAAGAGAGGGGATGGTTTTCATCTTTTCATGAAGTTCTTTTCCAGAGCTACTGAGGTCCTCTGCAGAGAGTAGATGTTCCGCTTCACTCGATCCTCCAGAGAGGACTTAGACGCGCTCTCCAGCTTCATGCGGCTAGGAGAGAAGACATAAGTAACAACACTCATCAACTGGCAACTATCTGGCAGGCTGCTGCAGCCATAAAGCAGCTGTAGAAACACAAGCATTTGAAGCCCTCAGAGATAACTTTCAAGTGACTATCTAGAACTGAATTTTCAAACCAATGTCCATAAGGAAAAATGATCTGTTTTGGAAATAAGTCAAAGCCTCATTGGAAATAGGCTTCCTGGACTATGAGTTCTTATTTAAAAGGAAGGCCAAGGGGGTTCAATGAAAATACCATTCCCTTCTCCTCCCTGCAAATCAGAATCATCCCACTGTCTGGCCAGATGCAGGGAGTTATAACAAAGGTGGTATGGGGGTGGAGCTTCCTGTCTCTGCACAGAAAGGAACACAGAGAATACAATGAATCCAGTTGCTACTGCCTCCTTGGGACCACCCCATGAACACAATGACGCAGAAGGATGTACTCACTGGATAAACTTCCCATCCCGGGAGTCCAGCTTTTCCAGCCTCTGCTCCCGTTCTTCATCCTTAGCATGCCGCTTAAGGGTGTTCAGTCTCTCTTCTTCCCGCCACTTGGCATTTTCCATCATCTCTTGCCGCTTTCGCTCTAATTCCTCTGATGAGAGTTTTCTGTAGAACACCAAAGTCATCTTATTAATCTACTTCCTCCCAGCAAAAGCCAGAAACACCACCGGATGTTACTCTGTGAGAAACTGTTTTATGGGAGAAAGCCAAGTTCTCCAGTCCACTGCTGTCTTTCCGTGGAAATGCCCAGCTAAGTGATAAGTTTGGTGTGCGTTTTCCTTCCTTCCTCACACCATGGTCAAGTGGTTTTATCCAAATTTCAAAAACTTTTAGAGAAGAACCCATATTCTCACTCTATAATCTCTGGAGTGATTATTCTGTAACATTAAATATGAAATAAACTGAGAATTTATCAGGAGCCTAAATATACAGCAATTACATTCCTATTATACAACAACTTTAAGACAGAGAACCAAGGTATTTACTAAGTCACTGATACCACCTACCCACTAGAGATTCTTAGAAATTCATGGGTATACCATGAGTATTAGGTCTAAACTAGAAGCTAGAAGTCACAAGAATTCAACTCAACCTCAGAAAGTAATAGGTGGGTCTACTTTTCAAATTAGTTGCAAATTAGTTAGAGCAAGAACAGGTAATGAACCAGTTTAAGCACTAGTAAACAAAGTCAGATGTCCAAATCTACTGCTTCTCAAATGAGTGTGCACAGATCCCCCTTTAAAAGCAAAAATATAAGGGAGTGGGAGAGGAACAAACTTAAGAACTTAAGACACTTAAACTTGACAGTTATCTATAATGAAATGACAGGCTCCCTTTCAAAAATTCCACTATACAAAATTTGTAAAACCTCAAAGAGAATGGGGAGAAGATAACACTGGATAAGAGATGTCAAAAACCGTTGGAAGATCAAAGTGGAGGGAATGATAACTGCCTTAAACAGATTAGAAGAAACTAAATCCTAAGCCTGACATTGATCAGAAGCAAGCAGATTCACACTGCCAGGAAAGGCTCAGGAAGTGCAGGCACCAAGCACTTTGGAGAACTGCAGTGAGGCAAAGGGTGAAAAGTAAGGGATTACTTTAAAGGACTAATCACTCCTGTGTAAGGAGCAATTAAGACATATCCATCCATACACCAAGCTTGGAGAAGCTGTGACTGCCATCCCAAACATTTTCAGGAGACCATTCAGAGAGTGGCTCCTCTGGTGATTTCTGAAGATAAGATGCAGAGGCATCAGGCATGGCAGAGGAAGCTGGCTGGGCTACCAGGGCAAACCAGCAATAAAGCTGAAGTCCACAGACTTAACACTGAGACTCTCAGCCCCCACTGGGATCTGTGTCTCCCAGAAGGCCAGGAGCCAGACTATAGCACTTGGTCAGTCAACCAGAGGATACTTCTCCAGAGCAATCTAATAGGCCCTGACAAGAGAACCAAAGATAATGATCTAAGATTGTTCCTAGCTAAAAACCAGTTGAAATCCAGTTTCCCACCAGTAGACAAGCTCTGCCCATACATATGCACAAAATCCATACATTAAAGATTCTGGGCTTTTATTCCTGGGAGAGAGAGGTCTTGGGAACTTGAGCTCATTTGAAATCACAAAACTCAACAAAACATAAAAGGGAGATGAGAGAAGCGGACAAGATAAATTCAAGTGATGGCAGATGGTAAGAGACTGAAACACAAAGCAAGATCTGGAAAAGCAGAGTCATGTGCTGACCAGGAACCTTAAAATATATGAAAAAGCACACAGCTCATGAGCATCCACGCCAGAGAGGAGCAGGAATCACAGCGCAGCTGACGCACCGACCCAGTGTCACCAGTAAAACATGAAGTTGTAAGTAATATTCTCTGGGAAGGCAGAGAACTATGCTTTGGAAAGCTGCCAGCCAAAATAATTAAACCTTTTAAAAAAAGATTCTGTTTCCTGGAAACGCAGAGATGAAGAATTCAGAGTAAAAAGGAATCTTAGGGTCCACCACCTCTCTTCTAACAACACAGTGAAAAAAAAGAGGTGGTTACAGATTGCCAGTGGTTCTCAGCAGTGGCTGCACCAGGAGTCACTGGGAGCTTAAAAGTACTAATGTCTGGGCCCACCCCCAGAGATTATGTTCTAACAGGGCTGGAGATAGCTGGGTAATGGGGAACATACCGAGGGGTAGCTGGGTAATGCGAAGTTTTTCATTTAAGCTTCCCAAGTGATTCTAATGTGCAGCCACTTTGCTTGGTCAGGAAAAGGATGTTCATAAAAGTCACTCATCTCCTGTAAACTTCTACTAAGCAACCAAAATCCTGAGGGACAGCCTTTCATGGGCACAGGCAACTCCCCTCAGGTCCCGCAGGTGCACTCCCAATTCTATCTGACCACCCCACAACCAACTCAAACAGAGTCCACCTGACAATGGGTGTCTGCCTCAGAGAGAACATCCTGCCTTTCAGCTGATGCATCAGGAAAGGAACACTCTCTTAAGAAAAGCTTCTCTGTGGAATCTCTCTGGGAAGTATCAGGCTGACAGATGTTGAGAGTATTTTTAATCAAATTGTTCATTAAATGAAAACGATTTACTTTGTCCTCTCGATGTACCTCATTTTGGACATGATAAATAAAAGGTGAGAGATTCTCCACCTGCCCTGGCTTGAACCCCTCCAGGGCTCAGGCAGCCTGGGCTCTTGACTCACCTGGTATACCCAGGAGCATGCCGCCTTTGGTAAACCTCTTTTTTAGGCGATGGGCTCTTAGTTCGGTCTCTGTCTCTCCTTGTTACCTTAGAATTGTGCCTGTAACAGACACAGGGGGCAGAGACGTTTAGTATATCCCTCAAACAGAAGACCAGTTAACAGTTTTAGAATTATATCCCACATTGGGCCTCCCCTGGTGGCGCAGCGGTTGAGCACTGGGCTGTGAGGCTGCCTGCAGCCTCTGCAGTGCCGGTTCCCGGCCACCAGCGAGGGTCCCACATGGCACAACAGACCTCTCCTGTCTCGCCCGCTGCTCCCCTCCACAGTGTATTTCCTCAGTCTGCCTGTCCTGTTCCCTGCTCTGGCGAATTCTCTCACCCTCCCGTGCTTCTGACTGTGCCCAGTGCTTGTATAAATTAAAAAAAAAAAAAAAAAAAAAAGAATTATATACCACATTGAGAGGAAAGAGGGCAGAAGTGGAAGAAAAACGAAGGCATAAGGACACCAAGATTTCAAGATTTGATATGAAATTCATTCCAAGACTCCTCATATATTAAAAAGGAGTTCCAGGGTAAGCTTCACTTTGAGGTAGGTGGAGGAAAATGATGTGATGGCAGTAACAAAGCAAAGACAGACAAAAGCAAGTACCTGCTCTGACCAGCTCCACACTCACAGGTTTGAGTGAATTCCCACACTCACTGAATTCCACATGAATTCCCACACTCACTGTTTGCTTGGCCTTGGGGAGTGTGACCTTCTGCCCAGGGAACGCGACCTCCTGTCCCGAGACCCTGCTTCTCTGGTACTCTTCTTGCTGGCATGTCTGGGAGGTGAGTGGGAGGAGCTTCTGGATCTGGAATGGTTCTTCAACCTGTGTACTCCCTTTTGTTGAGCCGTCAGAGGACCCTGCAGTCTTTGGCTATGGTCAGAGTCCCTGATCTGTACCATCAAGGAAAGGGAGAAAAGCTGTTCAGAGGAAAATCCAGAAATTCAGGAAAATACTATGAAGCCGGGGCCTCCCTGGTGGAGCAGGCAGTTGAGCACAGCGCTGTGAAGCTGTCCACAGCCTCTGCAGTGCCAGCTCAATCCCCGCCAGCCTCGGAGCAACCCACATGGTGAGCAGACCTTTCCTGTCTTGCCCACTGCTCCCTTCAGCAGTGTATTTCGTCAGTCTGCCTGTTCTATTCCCCGCTCTGTTTCTGGTGAATCCTCTCACCCTCCTGCACATCTGGCCTATACCCCGGTTCTTGTATAAATAAAATAAATCTTAAAAAAAAAAAAAAGAAAAATATTATGAGGCAGAAGGAGCCCAGTGAGGATACCAATCCCATTGGATCACAGAGAACCAAACTTAGGAAAGTTATCTCAGTTACCCCCTAAAGGAATGAGCTCCCCTCCACCCTCCCAGCTGGTTGGCTCTTCATTTACAGTCTAAGGAGGAGAAGAAGCAGCTCATAGAGGACATGACCGAGGGTTAAAAGCACCAAGGGGAAGATAGGGGGACATACATTTGCCAAGTATACTTAAAATGTATACTTAAAATGCATCCACTTCCTAAAAATCACCTACAGAGGGATGAGCAGAAAGCCTAAATACCCCACTGGTGGTTTGGCCTCTCTGCTCAGAGGGCCTTCTGCCATGGTCAGAAGCTCAGAGATAAGGAATGGGCCTGTTCCCCAGCAGCCCCAGTCTTTGTCACCCAAACTCTTCTTCCCACATGATGCTTGATTGGCTGCTAAAAATGTTCTCTATTCAAAAGGCTGTCAGGTTGACATATTCCATTTCCCACAGTCTCTCCTTTTGAGAAGCCTCTATCTTACCTGTAAGCCATATCCAGGGACTTTGGACAAAACAGGACAAGAATTTGCCATCTTCTTTTGAGATCTAAGAGGTTAAAACACACAATCATTGACATGGAAAATGCCTGACAGTCCATGTTAAATCTCTTATGAGGAAATGTGCTTCCTGCTTCAAATGTGGCCTTCCCCACCTCCCAGCCACTACTTGGGAGTGTGTTTCTCTATTTGGACTGTCTTTGCTGGAAGAAGGCATCAGCAGAGTCATGTTTTTCCCGTGAAAATTCGTGGGCCTAGCTTTGCAGCCCCAACGCCTGAACACATTCTCCTCTCACCTCGTGCTGCTATTCCAGGGACTAATAGTGAGTCAGCAGCAACAGCGCCGACTGCTCCCACAGAGAAGACACACAGAATGGGCCCAGGTGGGCCCAATAATCCATTAAAAAAAAAAAAAGTCTACAGAAAACCCACTTCAGTCTTGGAGGAATCACAAGCTAAAATGAAAGTCACGGCTAGAATGTGTGACCTAAGACCTATGACGCCACGGTCCACTCTCTCAGGAGTCATGCTAAGATCTCCAAGGAACTCCAGTGCTAGATGGCAGGCTGTGAGCACAGAGCCCATATCCAAGGGTTCATCACCACTGAAACCCCAGTACCTGGCAGTGCCTGGCTGGTGCTAGGTTAATACCTGTGGAGTGATTGAATGAGTGAATCAATGATGAGGGAGGCCCAGCCCAACATCCTCACCTCCCCCGGCTACGCTCATCCTCGCTGCTGCACCGATCGCTACTTGAGCTTCTGTGCTTGTGTTTCTTGTGCTTCTTTTTCTTCTCCTTCTTTTTCTTTTTCTCCTTTTTTTCCAGACTCATTTGCAACTAGAAAATGCCCAGAACATAATCAAGCAAGATTACTGAGACCCCTGTCAGTCTCTCTGAGGGGACTAAGACAAGTACCAATTACCTAACTCCATGCCCCTAGGTCTATGGGGGTCCAGGACATTGTCAGAGGTTCCCCATCAACAAGAGTGGGGGGAGGGGGTCTTCACTGTGGCTATACACAAACACCCCCTACACTACTGAACAGAAGCGCTGGTGGGGGCCTCCCTGGTGGCACAGGCTGTTGAGCGCAGCGCTGTGAAGCCGTTAGCAGCCTCTGCAGTGAGGGTTCAATCCCAGCCGGCCGCAGAGAAACTGACATGGCACAGCAGACATCTCCTGTCTTGCCCGCTGCTCCCCGCAGCAGTGTATTTCAGTCAGTCTGCCTGTTCTGTTTCCTGCTTTGTCTCTGGTGGATCCTCTCACCCTCCCGCACATCTGGCCTGTACTCCAGTTCTTGTATAAATAAATCTTTAAAAAAAAAAAAAAGCGCTGGTGGACGGGAATAGGAATTTGTTTTTTTAATGGTCCCCAGAACCACCGCCTAGTATTTTCATTCTAGGTCAAAAGAACTCCAACTATGCTGAAAGCAAACAGAGGACACTGCAAAATTAATCTCTTGTTTTCCCTTCCAAGTGACCCCAGAAACAATCATATATATCATGTGAATGATGAGTGGGCCTCATGCCCCCGATCTCCTAAACACGCTGTCTCATCATAATCTGTCCATATGTCTGTCCACAGACATAGACCTTACCCTCTTTTTCTGGAAAAATGGTATCACATGGTATATTAATCAAAAGACATGAAAGAGGAAATCAAGTTTAATTAAGCTGGATAAACTAAGATTGCTAAAATCACCAGAGAAGGTCTCTAAGAAACAACAATTTTAAAGGCCATTCTGTTTTCCTTCTCATAAGAGTAAATGGAGAGGGCCTCCCAGGTGGCGCAGCGGTTGAGCGCTGGGTTGCGAAGCTGCCCGCAGCCTCTGCAGCGCAGGTTCGATCCCCAGCTGCTCCCCAGCCACCGGAGGAGGGTCCCACATGGCGCACAGACCTCTCCTGCCGCCCGCTGCTCCCCTCAGCAGTGTACTTCGGTCCTTCTGCCTGCTCTGCTCCCTGCTCTGACTCTGGTGAATTCTCTCACCCTCCCGTGCTTCTGACTGTACCCAGTGCTTGTATAAATAAATATATGTATCTTTAAAAAAAAAAAAAAAGTAAATAGAGAGACATCCTCATCGTGAGTAGTTAAAAGATACTCTTGGTGTTTATTTGAGATAGCACTTACCAATTCTTTGATTTTCTTCATTTTCACAGGATTATTCAATACCTCTCTTTTTTTCTCCTCTTCTTTCTTCCTACAGAAAGAGAAGAAAGTACAAAAATCATGACCATTTCTTTTGGAAAGGAGAGTAAGTCATTCAGTCTACTCTCCACAATTCTATGTAGCAATTGTTATCGCAGAACAGATAGGCTGGACAGGATCTATCTTGAAGTCTACATAATGGTCTGGAAGCTAGAAATCATCCCCAAATCTGCACAAGGGATTGAACACTGTGGTAAAGTCCACACCAGTTCCCTATGGTGCAAGGAAGTGAGTGAGGGCGTCTAATTGTCATTAGGCTTCATGTCCAGGGCTTTCCAACCAGTGAAGGACATGGGTGTCATCCAGTGAATGAAGTGGTTGCTTTGTAACTACCAGCTGCAACGTATCAGTCCTACTGCCACTGTTTAGCATGACAAGCTCCTGGGAAACAGAGAATGGATTCCTCCTTTCAAGATGCTTTACTCTCATATATTGTTCATAGAAGAGTAAACTAGCCAAACTTCTTGGATGACAATTTGGCAAAACTTAAGACAATCTGCACATACTCTTTAATCTTACAAATTCTTCCTTCAGAACATGTTACTGTAAGGTAATAACCAAGGAAGGTCACTACAAAATTGTTCTTATTACAATGAAAATTTGGAAACAGGTTAGGGACCAAATAGGAGACCAACATTCACAGCATCATTCACAATGGCCAAAAGGTGGAACTTACCCAAATGTCCATTGACAGATGAAGGAATAAACAAAATGTGGTATATATGCACAATGGAATATTATTCAGTTTGGAAGGAAGGAAATGCTGATATCTGCTACAACATGGATGAGCCTTGAGAATGTTATGCTAAGTGATGTCAGCCAATCACAGTACGATTTCACTTATATCAGGTTCCTAGAGTTGTCAAACTCATAGAAATGGGTCAAGGGGCCTCCCTGGTGGCACAGGAGTTAGGTCTGAGTGTTATGGAGCTATCACTGCTGCGTCCTGAGTTCAATCCCCAGCCAGGGAGCTAACCTACACAGTGCAGCAGACCTCTTCTGTCTCACCCAGTGCTCCCCTCAGCAGTGTATTTCAGTCAGTCTGCCTATTCTATTCCCCACTCTGTCTCTGGTGACTCCTCTCACCCCCCTGCACCTCTGGCCTGTACCCCAGCTCTTGCATGCATAAATAAATAAATCTTTAAAAAAATTAAAAAAAGAAATGGAATGTCAAATGGTGGGGTTCAGGGGGGAGGGAAAATGAAGAGCTGTTGTTTAATGGTTATAGAGTTTTAGTTTTGCAAGATGAAAAACCTCTGGAGGTTAGTTGAACAACAATGTACATATACTTATTACTAAACAGTACATCTGAAATGGTTAAGCCAGTACATTTTAAGTTATGTGTCTTACCACAACTTTTAAAAGAAGAAAATTCAACATAGGCTACAACAGGGATGAAACTTGAAGACATTATGCTGCCTGAAATAAGCCAGTCACTAAAAACAAATACGATGTGACTCCGCTAATCGGAAGTAATTGGAATAGCCAAACTCTCTGAGACGGAAAGTTGAATGGAGGTTGCCAGGGCTTGGGGGTAGGGAGTAAGAAGGCGTCACTGCCGCATGAGTCTAGGGTTTCCGTCCAAGATTATGAAAAAGTTCTGAAGATACACATGGTGGCGAGGGCCACAGCAAAATGTGAAGGTATTAAAGCCCCTGAACTACACAATTAAAAATGGCTGAGATGGTCAATTTTGTGTTATTATATTTTACCACTCTTTAAGAAGCTAACAAACAAAAAGCTAACAAAATGGGAGCAAATATTTACATATACATAGCTAGTCCTAACTTTAAAAGAATTTTCAAAAGAAGAAATGTAAATAACAAATGAGCATTTTTCAATGTTCAACCTTTCACATTTTAAATAAAATAATGCAAATTAGATAAAAAAGACAAAACAAAAGCCACAGACAGATCTCTTTTAGCACCCAAAATGCAGTTCCACTTTGATTTATTACATATTAGGGCTTCCCTTTAAAAGGATTCTGCTATCGGAAAAAAAAAAAGGATGAAGGTCTGTTCATTCACTGAGACATCTCTACATATAACTCCACATTTCTAAGAAACTACCAGACTCTCTCACTTGCTTCCACCTCCTGTTTTCATTTTAGGACCAAAGGTAAATGAATACACCTGATCTGACCCAGCGCATCTGTCGATCTCTTCCCACAAGGCCTAGATCAGGCACCCTTCATGGAGCCCTCCCCTGCATTTGGAAGTCCAAATGCAGACAGATCCTTTCACACGGCAGACAAAAAACAAGGGAAAGGAACTATGAAGTGAAAGAATCAAGGGCCTTAGCAACAGCTATCGCATCTCTGTAACTAAGCCCCCTCCCATTAGTACCTGATGATGAAGAGAGGGTCCTCCCGGATTTTGCTGGCCATGTCAAGAAGGGAATTGGCACCCGATGGAGCAAAGATAGAGCCTGGGAGGAGTCCTGTCTCAGAAGAACAGCCTGCCTCCTTCTCCTCCATCTTCTCAAAAACATATTTGTCGATGGGGCGCCCCAGCAAGTACTCGTCCCGGTTCACCATCCCGCCAGGGCCCTGGTACATCCAGTCCAATTTCTCTTCTTTTTTCCTAGTTCAAGGGAAAAAAAACATAACAAAAGAAAATGTATGCTTTTGCAGACCTACACAGAGAAGCCAAACACAAGGGTCACTGGAGGATGGTGAGCCTTTAATTGCTTGAAAGACACCACGGCTGTGGTTCCCATCATAGAGATCCCACCCCAGACTTGCACAATTCACCAGGGCACAGCTCCTCCTCATGCTCCTCCACCTTGACTCCAGCAGTGTGAGTGAGACCAGACAAGCTGAGTGGAGTCTGACCCCAGTGGCTCACAATCAATTCTTCATTTGTGTTTCTCAAACCTATAGTTTTAATAGGAAAAAATAATTCTAAAGGGTTATGACCTTCTATTATTGCTTAAGTTAGTCTTATTTAAAATATTCATGATGAGGGCCTCCCCGGTGGCGCAGCAGTTGAGCGCTGGGTTGCGAAGCTGCCTGCAGCCTCTGCAGCGCCGGTTCGATCCCCGGCCGCCGGGCGAGGGTCCCACATGGCGCGCAGACCTCTCCTGCAGCCCACTGCTCCATTCAGCAGTGTACTTCGTCATTCTGCCTGTTCTACTCTCCGCTCTGGCTCTGGTGAATTCTCTCACTCTCCTGCACCTCTGACTGTACCCAGTGCTTGTATAAATAAATCAATCTTTGGGCCTCCCCGGTGGCGCAGCGGTTGAGTGCTGGGTTGCGAAGCTGCCCGCAGCCTCTGCAGCGCTGGTTCGTTCCCCGGCTGCTCCTCAGCCACCGGAGGAGGGTCCCACATGGTGCACAGACCTCTCCTGCCGCCCGCTGCTCCCCTCAGCAGTGTACTTCGGTCCTTCTGCCTGCTCTGCTCCCCGCTCTGGCTCTGGTGAATTCTCTCACCCTCCCGCGCTTCTGACTGTACCCACTGCTTGCATAAATAAATAAATGAATCTTAAAAAAAAAAAAAAAGAAAAGAAAAAAAAGAAGTCTACTCCCTGAAGACTTCAATTTAAAATAAATAAATGAATCTTTTAAATAAATAAATGAAATAATAAAATATCCACGATGATACTAGGAAAATATTTATGCTAATGGATGGTATATATAATCTTAAAAACACAAACTAAAACCAAAAAAGCCATTGAATTGAGGACCTCCCCAGTGGCGCAGGCGGTTGAGCGCTGCACTTGGAAGCTGTCCAAGGCCTCTGCAGTGTGGGTTCAATCCCAACCGGCCATGGAGATTCCCACATGGCGCAGCAGACCTCTCCTGTCTCACCCACTGCTCCCCTCAGCAGTGTATTTCGTCAGTCTGCCTGTTATGTTCCCCGCTCAGTCTCTGATGAATCCTCTCACTCTCCCTCGCATCTGGCCTGTACCCCGGTTCTTGTATAAATAAATCTTTTAAGAAAAAACATTGAATTGAATGTTATAGATAATACTGTTTTATGAAACTGCTTTGTTGCTTGCAGTGTGAATGTGCTGGTGGCTGCTTGACCACACGCTCTGTGGAACTCAGGTTTTTTGTTGTGTGAGGATTCAGTTTTGTCACTATTTTATTCTCTCAGAACCACAGGGAAGTGTTTGGCATAATATTGTGATGTAGTCTGGCTTAAAGCATTAATTTACTTATTGAGTTATCTCTGGTCTTTCCCATTTTCCTCTCAAATGTAGTATGCCTGGTGCTCATGGGACAATGATCCTCAAAATAGTACAGACACTCTTCATGTCACTGAGATTGTTCTTGGTGATGGAATGATCCAGAATGAGCTTATTTCCAATTGTTCTCAAAATATAAGCATAATACACAAACTTTGTAACAAGACTAGAGAAGCCCTGAGCAGAGTCATGCCCTAAGTTTTTCCCCATAATTTGCTTGAGATGTGTGCATAGTCTCTCTCCGTGGTGAGCTCCCTGCCAGCAAGCACCACTTCTTCCTGGTACCACCTGGGGTGCTATGTTCTGCCCACGCACGGGGCTGTAGCTTAAGGACTGTAGCTGTAAGAATAAATCCAAGACCATAGCCATTAAAAGCAGGCCAACTACAAAGTTGAGAAGCAGCTTTGTAGTTTGGGGAATTCTGTCTGCCACAACCGACAGCAGTACAGTTCAAGTTCAAGGGAAGGAGGACCCCTGGAGCTCCATTACAAGTGCTGCTTTAACAGGAGCCACAATGGCAGTGAGAAAGGAAGCAGTGGCTATGGCTATTGGCCGTCCTGGGTGGCATTCTCTAAGGTTAACCAGAGGAACTGGAATCCTGTTAACAAGATGTGCCTCTGTGCAGTTCTAGGTTTGCATTGCATGTAGACCTAGGTTTGCTGGGGTCCCCTCCCAGTTTCCTTCAACCCACTTACCACCTCCATCTTTTGGAGACTATTGACAATATTAATTGGACTTCCTTCCCAGGATTTCTTTAACAGAATGAGCTATAGTTCAAGAAGGATTTTAGAAGACCGAGATAAAGTCTATTTTTAAACCATAGATGGGACAACTATGGTCAAATCGGCTATGAAGAGACATTTAGCACTGTTTTCTATTTAAAAGAAGATAGGGAGGCCCCCCTGGTGGTGCAGGGGTTAAAGTCTCAGCACTATCAAGCTATCACCAGCCACTACAGCATGAGTTCAATCCCCAGCCAGGGAACTAACCTACAAGGTGCAGCAGACCTCTCCTGTCTTGCCCACTGCTCCGCTCAGCAGTGTCCTGTCATCTCCCTGTCCTGCTCCCCACTCTGTCTCTGGTGAATCCTCTCATCCCCCTCCACCTCTGGCCTATACCCCAACTCTTGTATGCATAAATAAAAATAAATCTTAAAAAAATAAATAGGGCCTCCCTGATGGCGCAAGGGATTAAGACACAACCTATAAAGCTATCACCAGCCACTGTAGCATGAGTCAATCTCCAGCCACGGAGCTACCCACATGGCGCAGCAGACCTGTCCTGACTCACCCGCTGCTCCCTCAGCAGTGTATTTCAGTCAATCTGCCTGTTCTGTTCCCCACTCTGTCTCTGAAAGAAGGCCTTCCGCTCAGCCTTCTTCCATACCTCTGGTCTGTACTCCAGTTCTTGTATACGTATATAAATAAATCTTTTAAAAAAAATAAATAAATAAATAGAAGAATATGGGGGAGAGGATGTATGAAAAGATAACAGGTGATCCCCAGAATATTTTACTCACCACTGATAGTCCTGCTCTGAGTTCCTTAAAACTTTAAGGCCTATGGCCTTTTGCAATCAGTTATTCTCTCCACCTTCAGATTTTCTTATTGTTTGAATAACAGGATACCGAAAACCAGGCAAAAAAATCCCCAAGAAAATGACTGTCTTGTTTCACTATTATTTGTCCTTCAGTTCTTCATCTTCTAAGCACTTATTACACACACACACACACACACACACACACACACACACACACCTGAATTCGATCCCCAGCCAGGGAGCTGACCCATATGGTACAGCAGACCTCTCCTGTCTCACCCACTGCTTGCCTCAGCAGTGTATTTCAGTCAGTCTGCCTATTCTGCTCCCCACTCTGTCTCTGGTGAATCCTCTCACCCCCACCCCCACACATACACACCTCTAGCCTATATCCCAGTTCTTGGATGCATAAATAAAAAAAAAATCTTTTAAAAAAATTAAAAATAAGACATAATGGTGCTCACTTCGGCAGCACATATACTAAAAAAAATAAATAAATAAGACATAATGGTTAAGAGCACTAGCTCTGGTATCAGGTAACATGCATTTGAAGACTGGCTCTGAAGCCTGACAACTTCTCTGAGACTTGGTGTCCTTACCTGTAAAATGGGGATAAATCAGTACTTACCTCACAGGGTTGCTGGAAATTAAATAAGTCAATGAATTAAGAATCCAAGACACAGGGGAGGGACAAAAAACACTCACTGGTCTCTTTATTACCTATGTTGGTGTTTGTCTCTCCCCCACCAGGTTTTTTAAAACTCCTTGAGAGCAGGGATCACAGTTTACTCACCTGTGAGTTCTAAACAGTTGCCTAATGTGTTCAGTCTTTGACAATGAATGGGCAATGGACCTTGAGCTAGGCAGCACTTTTTAAAAGAAAAGCAGGTATTAGTGACAGAGGGATTTTAAAAGGAGATGTCAAAGGTGACAGGGATGATGCCTGTGCATTCTTAACACTAGCAAGCACAGAGAATGTGGGGCTAGTTATTCGTTCACTTGTCAGCATTTACACAGCATACTTCCTGTGTGCCAGACTAATGAGTAAGGCCAGAAGGATGAAAAAAAATTCAGGCAGCCAAGCTGCTCACAGGCTACTGGACAAGGCACACCTGTCAACAAATGATGAAACCGTGTGGATGTGAATTAGTCTTCTGTTGAGATGACTCTGGGACACTCAAAGTAGGCAGATGAATGTACAGTGATAGGAGAGTGGAAGGAGTAGGTTAGTAGGACTTGAGGATTCAAAGATTCTTAAAGATTTGAGAGAGACCAGAGGGAGAGCAGTGAGCCACGGAGACTATAAACAGTAAAGAGATGAAAGAGAAGAAGCAAAGTAAGTATAGAAAAGAGAAGAGATAATATGAAGAGGTAGGAAGACCAGGCTATAGGCTAAGGAGCAAAATGTTTCCATGGCAGGACAACTAGATTAAATACAGAAAAAAGGATATGAAAAAAGAATACAGAAGCTCCTATAAAGTAGTACTTTCATGGCGCTAGCTAATCTTAAAAGAACTCAAATAGGGGGCCTCCCCGGTGGCACAGCGGTTGAGCGCTGGGTTGCAAAGCTGCCCGCAGCCTCTGCAGCGCAGGTTCGATCCCCAGCCAGGTTCGATCCCCAGCTGCTCCCCGGCCACCAGAGGAGGGTCCCACATGGCGCACAGACCTCTCCTGCCGCCCGCTGCTCCCCTCAGCAGCGTACTTCGGTCCCTCTGCCTGCTCTGCTCCTCACTCTGGCTCTGGTGAATTCTCTCACCCTCCCGCGCTTCTGACTGTACCCAGTGTTGTATAAATAAATAAATAAACAAACAAACAAACAAATAAATAAATAAATCTTAAAAAAAAAAAAAAAAAAAACCTCAAATAGGGCCTCCCTGGTGGTGCAAGGGGTTAAGATGCAACCTATGAGGGCCTCCCCTGGTGGTGCAGTGGTTGAGCGCTGGGCTGCAAAGCTGCCTGCAGCCTCTGCAGTACCGGTTCGATCCCTGGCCCCCCGCGAGGGTCCCATATGGCACACACACCTCTCCTGCCGCGCCCATTGCTCCCCTCAGCAGTGTATTTCAGTCAGTCTGTCTATTCTGCTCCCTGCTCTGGTTCTGGTGAATTCTCTCACCCTCCTATGCTTCTGACTGTACCCAGTGCTTGTATGAATAAATAAATAAATCTTTAAAAAAAAAAAAAAAAGACACAACTATCCGCAGCCACTGCAGCACTTGTTCGATCCCTGGCCAGCCAGGGAGCTACCCACATGGTGCAGCAGACCTCTCCTGACTTGCCCGCTGCTCCCCTCAGCAGTGTATTTCAGTCAATCAACCTGTTCTGCCACGTGCACTAGGAATGATAGTATGACAGTACAGATTTCTCATTTGAGTCTATCTATGGTTTGTTTTGTTTTTTTTTTAATTTTTTTTTTTTAATAGAGGCATGTTTTATTTATTTATTTGTTTGTTTGTTTGTTTGTTTGTTTGTTTGTTTTGTTTATACATGCACTGGGTACAGTCAGAAGCGCGGGAGGGTGAGAGAATTCACCAGAGCCAGAGCGGGGAGCAGAGCAGGCAGAAGGACTAAAGTACACTGCTGAGGGGAGCAGCGGGCGGCAGGAGAGGTCTGCGTGCCATGTGGGACCCTCCTCCAGTGGCCGGGGAGCAGCTGGGGATCGAACCGGCGCTGCAGAGGCCGCGGGCAGCTTCGCAACCCAGTGCTCAACCGCTGCGCCACCGGGAAGGCCCTGAGTCTATCTATGGTTTTTATTCAATTCTGATTCAGAACATACTGCATTTTTCATATTATTTATTTTTCTCAAAACATATTTACCCCCACCTCCTTTTACCAGATGGGTAGGGTTATTACGACCTGCTATTCCTCTCCTATATTACACAAGAGGAAACCGAAGTAGGGTAAAATTAAGTGGGACTGTTCCACCGCTTTCTTCTATGGGAATTCAATGCCCCTAAAATGAGGACATAAAACAGGACAGGGGGCACCACACATGCTGAGAGGCAGGATAAGGGCAATCTTCCTCAGTCACAGTTCTGTTAGTCACCTGCCTACACTTGACCGTAAGGAATCAGGTATTCTCACTCCCCGGTTCTAAGGAAGTAACCAAGGCACTCAAACTTGCTCCTAGACACATGGCTAGGCTAGGGGGTACAAAGCCAGCCCTAAACTCCTAGGTCAGGCTGACTCTGAAACCAAGCTTGCAATGAGTTTCTATGCAGCAACTGGATGATGCACCACCAGGCCGGTCCTGCAATTACCTACACAGCAGGACCCACCCTCCCAACCCCAGTCCACTGCACCCTCAGCTCCTCACTTACTTGACAGCCCCGACATCCTCTGCATAACGCTGCATCTCTTCCCGGGCCCTCTCCTCCCGCAGCTCCCGCTGAAGTTCCTCAATCTTCTTCCGCTCCGCCTCATGCTTTTGCTCAGCTTTCCACACTTTCTCCACATTGCGGAGAGTCTGTGGGTGCCAGCTCTTCTTCAGATTCTGTGGTAAGTGAAAGGAAGGAAAAAACAATTCCGGGAGTAAGAGAATGGTGAGTTATATCTTGCCTGGCCTGGCCTCACTCCCCACTCACGCCATATTCATGCCAAGGCAGGCATGTAAGACCAAGACATCTTTAATAATGGCAAAGGAGGCACCCAACACTCTCCCACACATCTGGAAGGGTTCTGAAGATTTATTTTATTTATTTATACACACAAGAACTGGAGTCTAGGCCAGAGGTGCAGGGGGTGAGAGGATTCACCAGACAAGAGTGGGGAGCAGAACAGGTGGATCTACTGAAATACACTGCTGAGGGGAGCAGCAGGCAAAACAGAAGAGGTCTACTGTGCCTTGTGGGTTAGTGCCCTGGCCGGGGAAGGAACTCACACCTAAACAGCTGGCGATAGCTTGATAGCGCTGAGACTTTAACCCCTGTGCCACCAAGGAGACCCATCAGAGGGGTTTTGTTCAAGTATATAAAGCTTCAAGTTAGAACAGGCCCTTCAAACACCTCTAATCAGAAATGCACGTGAATCTGACTTTCATTAGCTATACCTGAGTGGGGTTGTGGATAACAATACAGGAGAACAGAGCTTGAGTGCCTTTGGCACTGGATATTCATCTTATGAACTCAACTGTCTTTTCCTGAGTCACTTAACCTGTTACATATGTGTGGTTCCCAACCCCACCTCGCACCTTCCAATCTTCCTTCTCAAGAATCTCTCTTTGGTTTTGATCTCCCCTCACCCTCAAGGAATCCTTCTTTTCTCCCTCCTCCCCATGAGTCACTGCTTTGGCTCAGCTTCCCAATCAGGGAAGGCTTCCTGGAGGAAGTGACATCTAATTATAAATGAGTTTGGTATGGCTGGAGACAGTCAGGGTTCTCAAGATGAAGCCAACTAAGAAAGAAACAGATTAGGGTCTTATAAACCACATTAAGGAGTTGAACTTTATCCCGCTGACAGTGGGAAACACTGAATAGTCACATGCAGGTAAGAGACCTAACAAGCTATCCTGTGGAGAATGGATCAGAGAGCACCAAGATTGGAGACGGAAGTCCTGCAGACCAGTTAAGAATGAAAGGTAGGGGCCTCCCTGGTGGTGCAAGGGGTTAAGTCTCAGCACTATGAAGCTATCCACAGCCATTGCAATGCCAGTTTGAGCCCCAGCCAGGGAGCTGACCCACATGGTGCAGCAGACCTCTCCTGTCTTGCCCACTGCTCCCCTCAGCAGTGTATTTCAGTCAATCCGCCTGTTCTGCTCCCCACTCTATGTCTGATGAATCCTCTCACCCCCTTCCACCTCTGGCCTGTACCCCACTTCTAGTATGCATAAATAAATAAATCTTAAAAAAAAAAAAAAAGAATGAGAGGCAGTTCCACAAGGTACCTGACGTGTGAAAGATATTAAAATGAAGGCTCCCTTTCTTCCTTTTCTCTGTCACTCCTGGTCCTCCATTTCCCATCTTCAGGTTATTCAATCTATTCATCCTTCCTTCCTTTCACTTGCCCCAACCCCCTCACTTTATTCTACTGGTCACTCCTCTCCCTCTTTAATACAGATGATTTTGCCTCCCAGAAAACATATGACAATGTCTGGAGACATTTTGGGGTGTCACAAATGGGGGAGGAGAGTTCTACAGGTATCTAGCGGCCAGAGGCCAAAGATGCTGCTAAATATCCTACAATGCACAGAACATCCCTCTACCCACAGATAAAAAAATTAACCCCAAAATAATAGCGAAGTTGAAAAACTTTGGACTAGAGCTCTCTATTCCTAGACAGAGTTACCTAAAGAATACATTAAGTTAAACCACGCTTAGTGGCACATTTTTGACTCCCATTCTAACTGGTAATACAGACAAACTAATACTTCTATTGGACAGATGCCTAAACTGATCTATTTTCTTATTCCATTAGTTATACTTTTGAGAGGTTAGTATTTTCTAATCTTGTATTATCCTTTTATGGGTACATTTGTCCTATTTAAAATCTTAGCCTCCTACAAATGAACAATATAGTTTTTGTTTGTTTACTGTTCAGAGGTGGTTGGAATTTTGTTTTGTTTTGTTTATATTAATCATGCCATGAATTCCTAAGGTATAGGTTCCAGGAGCACATGCTTCTTTCAGTTGTTCTCACTAAGTGTGCTTCTCTGGGTGGGGCAGGCTGGCACTTCAGATGAATCCAAGTACCTTTCTCCTTGGTTGCCCTCTTTTTCTGGTCATTTTCCCTCACATGTATCTTGGCTCTTAGAGGGCTTAATATGCAATACCAACATTAATTTTCCTGACAAGAATCTTGCCCTTGCTTGTTTTTACCTATCCTCATTGCACAGTGAGTAACACCATAAACTGTTTCCATTTTGCCATGGTGACATTTATGAGGCATTCCTTTTTGAACAGTGATTATTCTCTTGAAGTCCATAAGATCACCTTTCTGGTAGATTTCCAAGTATGTGGCCATAGGAACAACTCCATGTTTTCTAAAAGGTCTAGAGAACATATAGCAGGTGCTCTCCTCTTTCCCTTTATGTCGGTTTTGGTTTTTTGTTTTTGTTTTTGTTTTTTTTTTTTGCATAAAAACACTGGAAGAAGGTGGTTCTGGCCAAATTGCTGAACTGTACAGCTTAAGAGAAATTGCCACATAATTTATATTCAGTGCTATGAGTTTAGAAAAAAGCTGTCACTACAGATCAGAATGCAGCATTGAAGGAGGAGTGGAAGGCACAAAGGTGAACATGAAGAAGATGCCCTCAAGTTTAAAATAAATCGCAGACATGGCTCAGGGGAGAACAGAATGGTCCACAAACCAGCCCAGGACATGACTGAACTCTAGCTGAGGAAAGGAGATATGTCCCAAAACCAGTTATAAAAACAAAACCTATGGGACAGTCTTTCGCATCTGTTTCCATTTCCTAGCTATAGTTCCAACCACTTCCTCCGTCCCAGCCTTTGCATAATTTCCAAACGACAGGGCCCCCACCAAGAAACTCAACACTGCCTGCCACTGTCGGCGACACACTTGGCACACCTTCCGAAGTCTCGGCCCGTGCCCCCGTGACCTACTGATCTGTCCCCTCTCCAAGGCTATGGACTCCTTCTCCCGAAAGCAGGGTTGCGCCGACGCGGTTACCACCCACAACCTCCACCCCCACCCCAGTTTCAGTCCCCAGCCTTAAAGTCTCCGGCCTCCGCCTCTCCCGCCCAGGCCTCCTTCACTTACCAGGTCGCCGCCCCCCATGGTGCTGGGGACGTTTCCTCACGGCGAGGCCCCGGAACTCCTAGACCGAGAAGTCACGTCGTGAAACAGTCCAGGGGCGACCTCCCCAGATGTGGTCTGCGGCAACCGGCTGCCGTTTCCACTGTCTTATCCAGAACCCACTTCCGGGCGGGCGTCCTGTTACAGTGTCGGTGTCGCGGAACGATGACGTTACACGCGCTGTTGCGCTGTGCGGCCGCAGCGTCACGTGCAGATTCGCCGTCGGGGCTTGATGTCGCGCTGTCTGTAGTCTCTTTCGGACCCCCCGCCCCCCCCCCCCCTCCTCCCCGTAGGCCGGCCTCTCACCAGATTTTCCAGCGTGTGTGTTAAAACGCTAAGGCTGGTTTGGATTCCTTTTGCCGCGGGCCTCGCCGGCGCTCCTGTTGTCATGGCAACGCACCGCGGCGTCCCCAAGGCGCTCCACTCTACTGGGCGTTTCCCCCGCGGGCTCCAGCGCCTGCCAGCCTCGGCCACTACACCGCCGTGGACACCCGGACACGCGGGTTTTTCGGTCTGCCGTTTTTTCAGACCCGCACTCTCCTCAGCCTCGATTCTTGGTCAGCCCCTCACTCCAGACTTATTTTACGGAGATTAAATAGTAAAGAGCGAACCAAAACTCTGTTCCCCACTTACCTGCAAATTAAGACTGTCAGCTTCCCCAGTTCCTTTTCTATGCTTACTATGGAAGACGCACACCTCATTTCTAAAGCCCCACGACTCACCAACTGTGGATCCATCCTTCACATTCGGTATTCCTCCGTTTCTCTCTGTCCTTTATCCCCCCTCAATACTCAGTATTACCTGTTTGTCATCAAATTTAATTTTGGGGTTTCTAAAAAGATTTATTTATTTATGCATACAAGAACTGGGTGTAAGCCAGAGATGCTGGGGGTGAGAGGATTCACCAGAGACAGAGCGTGGAGCTGACAGGCAGATTTACCGAAATACACTGCTGAGGGGAGCAGCCAGCTAGACAAGAGAGGTCTGCTGCACCATGTGGATTGGCTTCCTGGCCGGGATGGAACTCATGCTGCAGTGGCAGGTGCTGGCTTGATGGTGCTGAAACTTAACCTCTTGTGCCACCAGGGAGGCCCCATTGATATTTTTGTATTATCATTCCATTTGGCTACACATTCACCTCAACACCTTGAATGTAAAGGAGTATGAAATATTCCTTTGTCACATACAATTCCCATTTGTATCTGAGTCTATTTCTGGATTCTCCATTCCATACCATTAATCTATCCTTGTTCTACTACCAAACTGCCCTAATTATGACTTTGTTTAATGACCAGTAAGCCTGCTTCTACCTCATGACACTTTTTCTGAAATTCCTTGGCTCTTCTTACACTTTTATTTTTCCAAGTGAACTTTAAAGTCAACTTGTCCAGTTCCAGAAACAGTCCTGTTTGTTTTTATTAAATTTATAGCTTAGGGGGCCTCCCTGGTGGCACAAAGGATTAAGATGCAGCACAAGTTCGATCCTGGCCAAGGGAGGTGACCCACATAAAGCAGTAGACCTTTCCTGACTTCCCCTCTGCTCCCCTCAACAGTGCATTTCAGTGGATCTGCTCCACTCTGTCTCTGGTGAATCCTCTCACCCCCAACACCTCTGGCCTGTATCCCAGTTCTTGTATGCATAAATAAATAAATCTTAAAAAAAATAAATTTATAGCTTAGAAGAATTGTTATAGCACTTGTCACTCTATTATAATTGCCTGTGTACTTGTCTGTATCCACAACGCTAGAGCCCTTAGTTTACCTTTATGTCCCTTATGCCTGCCACAGTTTTGTTAAATTGTTCTCTAGTTTTATTATTTTTCAGCTTTCGCAAAACATGGACTATAACTCATTTTGAGATTTTTCAGTGCATTTCACAGCAAAAATGAACAAAGGAATCATTAAAATGATTGAGCATAAGCATAACCTTCCTGTCTTCATATTTTCCCATGTTTTCTTTTCACAGCTTTATGGCTATGATCCTTCTCGAATTTTTAAAAAAGATTTATTTATTTATGCATACAAGAACTGGGATACAGGCCAGAGGTGCGTGGGTGAGAGGATTTACCAGAGACAAGATAGGGAACAGAACAAGTAGACTGACTAAAACACACTGCTGAGGAGAGCAGCAGGCGAGACAGGAGAGGTCTGCTGCACCATGTGGGTTGCTCCCTGGCTGGCAGGGGATCAAAATCATGCTGCAGATGCTGCAGATAGCTTCACGGTGCTGTGCTTAACCCTTTGTGCCACCAGAGAGGCCCATCTCTTAAATATTTAGATAAAATAAAGATTTTCAGACCTGCAAAGATGCAAACATTCTATCTCCCATATGTTTCTTGTGAAGTTCTTAGGGGTTATTCTCTACTATAAGCAGGAGGAAACCAAGAAAAAGGAGGATATTGCCCAGGAAACAATCCTAAACAGAGGAGATGAATTCCCCAGGCACCAGCTGGTGGAGGGTCTAAACAGCAGGAAGAGGGATGGAGGGTGTCTAGAGGACTGCCTTGGAGAATTTGTTTGGATACATTTGGGCCAGGTGAATAGCTGTACTGTTAAGCTGGTGAAAAACTTGAAAACAGTTATCAACAGGGCCTCCCTGGTGGTATAGGGGTTAAGTCTCAGCACTACCACCCCTATGGCCTGAGTTTTATGCCTGATCCTAGACTAGGGAGCAGACCCACATGGCACAGCAGACCTCTCCTGTCTTGCCCGGCTGCGCCCTTTAACAGTGTATTTCAGGGCCTCCCCGGTGGCACAGTGGGTTGAGTGCCATGCTGTGAAGCTGTCCGCAGCCTCTTCAGCATGGGTTTGATTCCCGGTCCACCAGGGAGAAACCCACATGGCGCGGCAGACCTTTCCTGTTTCACCCGCTCCTCCCCTCAGCAGTCTCTTCGGTCTGTCTGCCTGTTCTGCTCCCCGTTCTGTCTCTGGTGAATTCTCTCACCCTCCCGCACCTCTGACTGTACCCCAGTTCTTGTATAAATAAATCTTAAAAAAAAACAAAAACAGTGTATTTCAGTAGATCTGCCTGTACTGCACCCCACCCTGTCTCTAGTGAATCCTCTCACCCCAATACCTCTGACCTGTACCCCAACACCTCTGACCTGTAACCCAATTCTTGTATACATAAATAAATAAATCTTTTATTTTTAAAGAAGTTAAATCTGGAAAAAGTGAATAGTATTTTTAAAAGGTATTTCTTTGTGAGCTACAAACATTTGGCTCTTCCTCTGAGGGCTGTGTATGAATGTACCAACTTCCACCTGATTGAAAACTGTGGAGTGGGAGTCTCTTTCATCTTTTATTTATTTTTTTAAAGAATTATTTATTTTTGCATACAAGAGCTGGGGTACAGGCCAGAGATGGGGGGGGGTGAGAGGATTTACCAGAGACAGAGTGGGAAACAGGACAGACTGACTGAAATAAACTGCTAAGGAGAGCAGCGGCGGAGACAGGAGAGGTCTGCTGCACCATGTGGGTTGCTCCCTGGCTGGCTGGGGATTGAACTCGTGCTGCAGAGGCTGCGGATTGCTTCATAGTGCTGTGCTCAACCCCTTGTACCACCAGGGAGGCCCATCTTTCATCTTTTAATTCAGAGCAGCCATACATATGTATTTCAGTCGATCCACCTGTTCTGCTTCTCACTCCAGTGAATCTTCTCACCACCTCTGGCCTATATCCCAATTCTTGTATACATAAATCTTTTTTTTTTTTTTTTCAAAAACTCTTGTTTCTAACATTACACTTACAATTTCATCAGAACTTGTCAGCCTAAAGTGAGTTCTCTAGGACTCTCTCCTTGGCAATTACATAGCGAGTAGGCACCCTGTAACTGGGAATGTATGTGGAGGTGTTCATCTAACTTCCATTAACAATGGTGAAAAATGAGGACAGGAAGGGGGCACCCGGATTTGAACCGGGGACCTCTTGATCTGCAGTCAAATGCTCTACCCCTGAGCTATACCCCCACAACCTATTAGACTGTTCTTCCTTGTCCACTTATGGTGACTCAATACAATCAAGTTCCACCCACACCAGAACTCTGGCAAGCTTCATGTTCTAAAGCCCCACCTACTTTTGTATCCATCATCTGCTTTGGCTTTTCTCCTGACCTGGAATAAACTGGGTGGGAGCATTTGAAAAATGACATCCTGGAAACTTGTTGAAAAGGAAACTGATACAGCATTAATAATGTGCCCACAGAGTATCAGCATCCTTGAGCTAAAAAGCACTCCTAGATATCACCTTGTTCATCTCCCACTTCTTGAACTGAGTGTGAGATGTAGGAAGATGTCAGTTCTTTTGGATGGGAAGACTATTAGGAAAATCAGAAAATAATTCCACGATGAATGCCAATCCCTGGGTTCACTGCCTGCTTCCTTCTTGATGGAAACAGTAGCCACTTCTGACCTGGGGCCCGGCGTTGAGAGCCAGGTAGTGTGGTTCCCTTCCTTACCACACCTGCAGGGGAGAACTGAGACCTCACCTTTCAACTGGGCACTGATTGGCCAGGGCACTGTCTGACTAGCCCTTTCTCCTCTCACCTCCTCCAGTGTTGAGAAACTAGCTTGCCCCCTCCCCCAACCTCAGGAAGAAACAAATACTTGGATACACAAATAAAAATCTTTTTTTTTAATAGAATAACTTTGTGAGTTCATTTAAACATGTCTTATGAATTCAGGTTGAGGGGTGTGAAAGGAAGATATGCTGCTAGAAGAGAGGGAACTGGGTAACCTCTCCAAAGACAGATGGGCGCAGGCGGAGAGCTGGGGTATTCCGGCGATAGCCAAACCGACCGTTGAACCCCTTGACAGCTTTCAGATCAGCATTGTACTGGTCATGCCCGCTCACCTGATGGACGGAATGCCCTTGGGTGTGGAGAGAGAGGCCTGAGCCTGCATTCAAACCCCTTGCTTCCCCACTCGCATAGGGCCGGTATAGAATGCCAAGTCAGTTATAGTCACTATGCTGCCCCATGTCCCCACTGAACTTGCAATCCTCACTTGTCTTGAGCCGCTAGACTGAGAAGCTGGGAGTTAGTGAGGTCAGGAGACAGATGACTTCCTAAAAACCAAACCTCAAACCAGGAATAGCATGCAGGAGGAGCATGAATGGTCTATTCTGGAACAAGGAGGATCAGAAACTTCTAGGTTTGGCTGAACTTGCCTAGTCCCCAGGGGAACCGAGAAATTTTCACCCTTGCCTCTGACCTGGAGAAAATGGGTGAGCTCAATTTATTCAAATGATGACAAGGGTCATGTGGCTAGAGAATGGTCAAAGGGTGATGGAGTTGGGTGGAAGGGAGGGTTCAATTCTTCAACCCTTCCTTTCCTGTTGCTACTAAATCGGGCCTGGGAAATGAGCCAGACACAGCCTTCCCTGGGAGCAGTGAGAGGAACAACTAAGAGTGGACTTTCTTTCAATCTCAACTCAGCCCTGTTAGCAAATCACTTTAACTCTCCAAACCTCAGCTTCCCCAGCTATACCACGGGGCCAGCACCTGCTATACAGTATCTAAACATGGCAGCACTGTGACATTATCTGTTTCTGCAAGAGAAGCAAGATACGGTTCCTGGACTTCCACCCCCACAACCCAGCTTGGCCATAGCCCAGTGTTTTTCTCTGAACTCCGAGAGCACGCCAGCTTCCTAGGTGGGTCCAGAGTGAGGCTGGAAAGCCAGGTGGCACTTGCCTGCCCCTGCCCAGTTTCTCCTGTTGAGGTATCTCTGGCCTTGTCCGAAGATGTGGAAATAATCCACTATCCAGCCGTCCCTTCCTGTACCGCAGTGATCCTGGGTGAGGGAGAAAATACAGAACATTGTGAACCTTCTTTCTGGGTGTGGAGAGTGCAAATTCCCGAGGCTTGTGGTGGGGAGAAGAAGTCATAGCCAGGGGCAACTGGACAGTAAATATAAATTTGACCTATTGCTTTCAGGGAGAGGCAGCTTCGTTTGGTAGTTTAGAACTCAGCCTCAGGACAGACTGGTTCCAGATCCAGCTCTGCCACTAACAAGCTGCATGGGGCCTCCCCGGTGGCGCAGCGGTTGAGCGCTGGGTTGCGAAGCTGCCCGTGGCCTCTGCGGCGCCGGTTCGATCCCCGGCTGCTCCTCGGCCACTGGAGGAGGGTCCCACATGGCACGCAGACCTCTCCTGCCGCCCGCTGCTCCCCTCAGCAGTGTACTTCGGTCCTTCTGCCTGTTCTGCTCCCCGCTCTGGTGAATTCTCTCACCCTCCCGTGCTTCTGACTATACCCAGTGCATGTATAAACAAAACAAACAAACAAATAAATAAATAAATAAAACATGCCTCTATAAAAAAAAAAAAAAAAAAAAAAAAAAAAAACCAAGCTGCATGAATTCTTCCCATGACAGACTCCTTCCTCCCTCCCTCCCTCCCTCCTTTCTTTTTAAAGATTTATTTATTTATGCATAAAAGAACTGGGGTGCAGGCCAGAGGTGCTGGGGGTGAGAGGATTCACCAGAGACAGAGTGAAGAGCAGAACAGGCAGATCTACTGAAATACACCGCTGTGGGGCCTCCCTGGTGGTGCAGGGGTTAAAGACAGCACTATCATGGCAGCAGACCTCTCCTGCCTCTCCCGCTGCTCCCCTCAGCAGTGTGTTTCGGTCATTCCTCCTGTTCTGTTCCCCACTCTGTCTCTGGTGAGTCCTCTTACCCCTTCTATTCCCCCCCCCTCACCCCCGCACCTCTGTCCTACGTACCAGCTCTTCTACGCAAAAACAAAAAAACCCGGAGAAGCAGCAAATGCGCTTATTCACAAACTTAGGGGAGGAAAATGACTCTGTAAGCTCGCACTCAGCACCTGTCACCCTCTTCTTCCAACTCGGGGGTTTCATTAAGAAAACTGAGAAAGTGGGAGTGGAGGTGGAGGGCGGGGAGAGGGTCCTCCCTGCTGGCGAGGGAGCCGGAAAGAGATGCGGGATTTGGGAGCCAGGCGCCAGGAGGCGGAGACTGCAGGTCCTCCGCCGCCTCCCGTACCTGCTCAGTTTTCCGCAGCAGCGGCGGAACCACGTGGCTCCGGAAGTACCGGTGGGCGTGGTAGTCCTGCTGCGCGTTGTAGGGCGGAATCGCTGACCAGAGCTTAGGCCTCAGGTGCTCATAGTTGCGGGCCATGGTGCTCACGGCCACCCCATCCAAGATGAAGCCCTTCTCCAGCCGTGAGTGACAATCGCACAGGTACGCCATCCCAACCGCTGCTGCTTCTGAGGGCCTCCCGGGTGAGAATGGAGGGCCCCAGGCGGGGGCTCCCTGCGCATTATTACGTGGAATCTAGGCGCAAACCTTATTGTCCCCTTTGACCTGGGAGGTCCTTAGGTTGGCGGGGAAAATTGCTAGTACTGCCCTGAGGTGAGGTGACCAGGTGGAGAGTGATGATGAAAGGCCTAGGAGGTTGAAGGGGCTCCTGAAGGCGGGCAGTGTGCGTGCCCAGCTTCTGCTTTTAAGAAGCTAAATGGGGGAAAAAAAAAAAAAAGAAGCTAAATGGGTTCTCTATTCCTGGTATTATATACACTTCTTCAACTCAGTTCCGCTGAAGTTTCTCTGCACCCAGAATGGAACAGAGAATTCATAAAGCATCTACTTCCAACTCTCAATGTTACAGAACTGGTAGCTGAAACTCAGGAACACTCTAAAATCCCCACATCCATTTAGCAGCAGGGTCAGAACTAGCATCAAGTCTCCTGACTTTCACGTTTAAAGCACTTACTTCCTGACCCTTTTTTCATGAACTGCAGTAGTATTCTCTTGTATATATTTTTTTTTTGGAAAAAGAAATCAGTAAGTTGACGTATTTTTCAACTTCTGGCTAATTTTACGTATATACAGGGGACAGCAATGTGAACGTTTTTCTCTGGTTGGTGTGACTAAGGTGATTTCTATTTTCTTCTTTGTACCTTTTATTCCTCAAATTTGGCTTGAATAAATCCTTATGTAGAAGCTTCACTTACTCAAACTCTTCTGCTCCTCACACAACTCTTAAGATGCTATTATCTGGGCCTCTTAGGTGGCCCAAAGGGTTAGTTTGATCCCCAGTCAGGGAGCAACCCACAAGGCCCAGTGACCTCTCTTGCCCGCTGCACCCCTCAGCAGGGTGTTTCAGTCAACCTGTTCTGCTCCCCATTGTCTCTGGTGAATCCTCTCACCCCCCTGCACCTCTGGCCCTTACCCCCAGTTCTTGTATGCATAAATAAATCTTAAAAAAAAAATGCTATTATCCTCATTTTACAAATGAGATAGGTTCAGGGAGAGATTTGCTTTTATATTCACTATTAACACAATTACATAGACATGTTAATTAGAAAAAGATTACATTATTCCTACACATAAAAATCACTAGCCCTGACAATTCAATACTTCCTATATTTAATCTTTCTACACTGTAACTTCTGAAATTGCAGGAAATTACTCCATAGCTTGAGTCCACTTTATTCAATCTTTTGTTTTTTTAAATTTTTTTTATAGAGACATGTTTTATTTGTTTTTTTGTTTTTGTTTATACATACACTGGGTACAGTCAGAAGCGTGGGAGGGTGAGAGAATTCATCAGAGCCAGAGCAGGGAGCAGAGCAGGCAGAAGGACCGAAGTACACTGCTGAGGGGAGCAGCAGGCGGCAGGAGAGGTCTGCACGCCATGTGGGACCCTCCTCCGGCAACCCAGCGCTCAACTGCTGCGCCACCGGGGAGACCCCACTCTATTCAATCTTTTGCCTGGAAAGAACAGGGAAGATAGAAACGGTGCAGTTGCAGAAAAACCAAAGTGTCTCCCATCTTCTAGCCACACCATTTTAGGCCATGATGGGTAGTTGCCCTAACCAGGATAGCCAATTTCCCATTGTTTTCAAGTGTATTAACCTGCTCTCACTATACACAACTCTATTATAATCTTGAACACACAGGTTTCTCCCTGGCACTCGGACTTATAAAAGATCACACACACGGTAAAGACATCTTAAAAGGTGAGGCGGGGTATGCATTCTTTCTTGACCAAAGTCCTGTCCACCAGCTTCAGTGCTGAGGACCCCTGTACAAGTTGCTCTAACAAACTTTGTAGTGAATGTGCCTTTATTCTTGGGACTCAAATTATCTCCGTTTGGGGAAACATTCATTCTCATAGCAGCCGGACTTGAAGCAGGAAAATTGTTTTGTAATCAGAGAAAAAAAGGATTCATTTTAGGGGGCCTTCCTGGTAGCACAGGGGTTCGTCTCAGTGCTTTCAAGCCATTGCCAGCCACTGCTGCATGAGTTAGATCCCCGGGCAGGGAGCTAACCCACTTGGCTCAGCAGACCTTTTATCTCGCCTGCTGCTCCCCTCAGCAGTGTATTTCAATCTGCCTGTTTCGTTCCCCACTGTCTCTGGTGAATCCTCTCAATCCCTGCACCTCTGGCATACACCTCAGTTCTTGGATGCATAAATAAAAATCTTAAAAATTCATTTAAACTAATGGGCTAGGGGGGCCTCCCTGGTGGCGCAAAGGGTTAAGAACCGCACTATGAAGCAATCCGCAGCCTGAGTTCGATCCCCGGCCAGGGAGCAACCCACATGGCTCAGCAGACCTCTCCTAACTCGCCCGCTGTTCCCCTCAGCAGTATATTTCAGTCAGTCTGCCTGTTCAGTTCCCCACTGTGTCTCTGGTGAATCCTCTCACCCCCTGCATCTCTGGCCTGTACCCCAGTTCTTGTATGCATAAATAAATCTTTAAAAAAATAAAATAAAGGGCTAGGGACTTGATGTCACATTAAATTTTACTAGGTTGGATGGGTAGGGGAAGATAACAGGTCTGTACTGATTTATGAATTTATTACTCCCCAAATCAAGAATGGCTCAGCCTACACAGACCACTGGTTCTCAGTCTTGAATACACTTTGTTTTAGATTATGGCCTGGACACATTAAACTCCTCAGGTTGAGAACTGCTCTTTATATGGGTTCTATTTCATCCAGATCTTGGACAAAAAGATAATCAACTCACCAAGTGACTGTGCTGGAGTCGTACACACTCATCATCAGCCTTGCACTAGACCCAAATTACAGTATTTTCAAGGCCTTCCGGGTGGCACGAGGGGTTAAGTAAGTCTCAGCACTATCAAGCTACTGCCAGCCACCACATGAGTTCCATCTGAGCCAGGCAGATAACCCATAGGGTGAAGCAGACGGCTCCAGTCTTGCCTGCTACTCTCCTCGCCAAGTGTATTTCAGTGGATCTGCCTGTTCTGCTCCTGTCTCTGGTGAGTATTCTCACTGCCCCCCACCCCAGCACCTCTGGCCTACACCCCACTTCTTGTGTGCATAAACACATAAAAATAAAACAAAACAAAAAAAAAAACTACAGTATTTCAGATACTAGGTATATAAGCCTACTCCAGTTAATCCTATACACTTAGAGAAGTCCAAGGACTACCTTTTTCTCTAAGCATATGCCCACATGCACTGAGTTTTATGTTACAAAGGTGCAAGGTTAGCTGGTGTCAAAGAGTGACATGTAGAATGAGCAGGAAGGTAAACACTGGGGGCAATTAATTCTTTTAATGACTTCTTTTTTTACAAATAGGCCTAAGAATCATGCAATGCTGCCAGCATTGGATGCAATCCTAGGCCATAAGTCTGCACATTCTTTTGCAACTGGTCCAGTGATGGCAGAACCTGTATTTAAAATAAGAAAAAAAAAAAAAGAGGGAACAGTTAAGAGTATCCTTCTGCTAAAAGTCTTATACCCAAGATTTAAATTATTCAATTTCAAAGACCCAGGGAACCATGTGGATTTATTTACCTTTCATCTCGCCTTTGTTGTTTACTATTACCCCAGCATTATCTTCAAAATAAAGAAATACACCGTCTTTTCTCCGATAGGATTTTCGTTGTCGAATTACCACTGCTGGATGTACTAAGAGGGAAAGAGACAGCAACCATTAACCTGACAAGACCCAGGACAGGATTATAATCACCATTACCTTTTCATTTCCTAAAAGCAGGTCTAACTCTGTATTCTTCATGCTAAGAACATTTTATACTGTCCACCAAACAGGTGGGTGCTGTGCAGTTTCTAGAATTGTTTAGATCACAGACTGGGGATCAAACACTCCACAGAAAGAAAGAGGAGTAAGCACTGCTGAAATTAAATACATTTTACAAATATTAACTCATTCGAAACTTACCAAATGAAACCTGTAACTACTAATGTGCTTATACAAATACACACACCCCTTGAGTATGTCCAGAATCGTAGCTGTACACTCTACCTAATCTGAAATGCCCAACTGTAGGATGTTCTTTTAATAAAAGGAGAAAACAAAAAAATACCCTAAATATACACACATGCACAGAACAGAATCATTTTAATTGTTTATATTTATATGTAGGAATATCATCTATGAAGCAAAAGTGGATCATGGAATGTTACACAGGATGTTTACAAACTAAATTTTTTTTACTTAGAAGCCAGGAAAGATGAAAATATAAAATACTAACAATGAATATTCTCTTGGAGGCTTAAGGTAATTGAAACTGTACTTGCATTTATTGTATAATGAACTTTATCTTTTTGAGGAACCGTTTTCTAGGGTAACACGTAATTTAAAAAAAAAAAAAAAATCTACCCACATGAATAGGACACTTATCCAGACCTTAAAAACATCTACTATGGGGGCCTCCCCGGTGGCGCAGCGGTTGAGCGCTGGGTTGCGAAGCTGCCCGCGGCCTCTGCGGCGCCGGTTCAATCCCCAGCTGCTCCCCGGCCATGGGAGAAGGGTCCCACATGGCGCGCAGACCTCTCTTGCCGCCCGCTGCTCCCCTCAGCAGTGTACTTCGGTCCTTCTGCCTGTTCTGTTCCCTGCTCTGGCTCTGATGAATTCTCTCACCCTCCCGCGCTTCTGACTGTACCCAGTGCATGTATAAACAAACACAAACAAACAAATAAAATAATAAAGAAAGAAATAAAACATGCCTCTATAAAAAAAAAAAAACATCTACTATGGACTGGAATATTTGAAAGAACTTTCAAATCTTGACTGGTACTAAGCTTGGAGATGTTGAACCTTCTGGAGTTCAAGTTTTTCTGTTAAAACAGGGATAAAAATTTCATTTCTGGGCCTCCCCGGTGGCGCAGTGGTTGAGCGCTGAGCTGCGAAGCTGCCCACAGCCTCTGCAGCGGTGGTTTGATCCCCAGCCGCTGGCAAAGATCCCACATGGCGTGCAGATCTCTCCTGCCGCACCCACTGCTCCCCTCAGCAGTGTACTTCGTCAGTCTGTCTGTTCTGTTCCCCGCTCTGGTGAATTCTCTCATCCTCCCGCGCTTCTGACTGTACCCAGTGCTTGTATAAATAAATATTTTAAAAAATGTTTCATATCAGGGTCTCCCCTGGTGGCGCAAGCGGTTGAGCGCTGCGCTGTGAAGCTGCCCGCAGCCTCTCCTGCCTGTTTGATCCCAGCTGGTCGGCGAGGGTCCCACATGCCACGGCAGACCTCTCCTGTCTCGCCCACTGCTCCCCTCAGCAGTGTATTTTGTCAGTCTGCCTGCACTGTTCCCTGCTCTGTCTCTGGTGAGTTCTCTCATCCTCCTGCGTATCTGGCAGGTTCTTATATAAATAAATACATCTTTAAAAAAAAATTCCTCACTCAAAGTCAGACCCTGAAAATAAAGGATTTTTCTGATGGGGCTTCTGGCTATCCTTGAGATAAGTACCATCTAAGTAGGCAGTCTCTGATGAAGTTTTTAACAATGGGATACACACTCAATGACAAGTTAAATTTTCAGAAGAATTTCTGTGCATTGCACTTAAGTCTAAAGTGAAGGGATGTATTCGTTTAGCAGAAATAAGGAACAATGTTGATATAATAAAGTTGGAAAGTAACAACTTTTAAAAAACATGAAGCATTAATGAATTAAGTGTTCTCTGATCTGTCCCATGACTGAGAAGGAGCATGATCTGCTTCTGTCTCACCCATGGTGATGGTTGTTTGCTCTGCCCTTCCCTGACAGCTTCCTAGGCCACAGGACAGACCTAGCAAGAGTTCCAAGAGGAAAGATAGCACAGCTGCAGGTTCCAGCATAAACATCATGCTACTTATTCCTTGCCTACCAATTCCGCAAGTGGTTAAGGTATAAAAAGATTTCTGGGGCCTCCCCTGGTGGCTCAGCGGTTAAGCGCTGGGCTGCAAGGCTGCCTGCAGCCCCTGCAGTGCTGGTTTGATCCCCGGCCGTCGGCGAGGGTCCCACATGGCTCGACAGCCCTCTCCTGCCGCGCCCGCTGCTCCCCTCAGCACTGTATTTTGTCAGTCTACCTGTTCTGTTCCCTGCTCTAGTGAATTCTCTCACCCTCCCATGCTTCTGACTGTACCCAGTGCTTATATAAATAAATCTTTAAAAAAATTTCTGAAAAGGACAAATAAAACCTTAAAAAGAAATACAGGCATATAAGGAGTAACTAAGATACTTGGCCATGACCCATCACATCTGCATTGTATATCAAGAGATGGCTAGGACTTTGCAGGAAGAACAAGACATCCCAGGGCAGGTAAAATAAACAGGCAGAAAAGTTTATGACCTGAAAAATTAAACCACAGGAATATCTCCTGCCTGTCTGTGACTGTGGAGGTGCCTCCTCTTCTTCTCCTTTTCCTAATAAACCTGTCCTCTTAAAATGTAAAAAATTAAGTCAGACTGGGCATCACAAGTGTTCTGAAGGCTTCCCCTTTTTAATTCATACCCCTTAGCCAACAAAACTACAATGAACAGCTGTTTTATATTCTATCAGATTTTGAAGTAATCATGCCAAACTTTTGAAAAACACGGCTCAATTACAAAGAGAATACCATCTATTAATCTGTATGGGAAAAGTGCTAGACAGCAGGCCAGATACTCTATATTTAGCTTATGACCTGAATCTCACAACTACATCGAGAAGTTATGGACCATTCTTCTCTTTCCAATTAGTAGTTCCAGAAAAGAGAAACTGGTCTGTGATGATGTTAAAAGTTATGATTTCACCTGGTTGAGCTCAAAACACACACACACCCCATATTTACTAAATACCACCATGAGCATTCCTTTTAAGGAATTTAAGTAGGAGATAACCACAAACAACACACACACAAATTACCACCTTGGTTAAGGGTTATGGGAAACAGAGGTGTAAACAACGAAGTAGAAGATGGCTGGATTAGAGTCTAGGATCTGAGGTACAAAGTAAGTAGCATAATTTGAGTGAAAATTAAGAATGAAAAGGTGCAGAGACTAGGGAAGGAACCATGAAGACTAAATTCCAGAAAGACAGGGCTTTTGTTTTCATAGGTGTAGGTATATGTGATGTTCTTTATCTGCTGGACTGAGCTGGGAAGTGGCAGGATTAGGACAGCCTCCACCAGAAGCTAAAGAACTTAAACAGGGAATGGACAAGATTTACATTTTCAAACACTGGTCCTGGCTGTGGTAGGGCAAATACATTAGGGAGTAAGGGAGAAAAAAAAAAAAAAAAAAACAGTTAAGACCACGGCCATTAAGAGAGCAGGAGCTTTAACTGCAGATGCTTCTCACACTGCCTCTCAATAGAAACTAAGCCTGAAGAGGCCTTGAGAACAGTAAAACTATTCCATTTTCCAACACAGGGAGATAGACATTAACTGCTGAGGAGGATTTGGTCTCCACTCACCCTTCTTTCTGAGCTCTGGTTTGCCTTTCTTAACTGTGGCCATCACCATGTCGCCCACACCAGCAGCAGGGAGTCTGTTCAGCCGTCCCTTTATCCCTTTCACAGAGATGATGTAGAGATTCTTGGCGCCTTTAAATAGATGTGAATAAGACAGCTCATTTTTGAGGGCCTATTAGGCAAGTGGCCACAGGTGCAACATGCAACTCCACACTTTCAAAGCCTCTCCTTCCATTCATACTCCCAAGCAGTGAGTCCAAGGTGGACACCGTGTTACACCACCGATTGAAGCAAGACAACACAAGATGCTGCTACTTCACCCAAAAGCGGTGTTTTTTACTCTGCCCTTTCTTGACGGCTCAGTGGGTCATTAGTAAAAGGCCTACTGAGTGCTTTTAAAAGGGGGGGTGTGGGCGGGGTGCAGTCCAAGGCCTCACCTGTGTTGTCAGCACAGTTGATCACGGCTCCCACCGGAAGACCCAACGAAATGCGGAATTTCGCACCAGAGGACCCACCACGTCCTGCAGGTTAAGAAGGTAAGTTAAACAGCAGCGGTCACTGTCCAGTCTTGGTTCGGCGTTCCAGAAAATCTCAAATTCATCAGCACGTTTTGGGAGATTACTACCTACAGATCCTCCAAAACTCCACATATTCCCTCCCCACACCACGGGTCACTCAGTTTTTACTGCAAATACTCGATCCCTCACTCCCATCACCCTTCCACTGAGATTAAGGAACCTGGACGACTCGCTCCAACTTTCACAACACGTAGCTCTTCCTGCAGGGCGGGGGACCACACAGGTCGCCCACTCCGGCGTCTAAGTCAGTTCAACTTCAACCCCATTACTGCAGCCGTCGGCACGGAGCGACCACGCGTAGTTAGGCCTAGAATCGGGTCCGGATACTGCCAGCTCGGCGCTCCAAGGGTTCCCCCTCCCCCTGCCACTTCAGACGCCCTTTCGCCGTTCTCGAGGTGCCGCGGGTCTTCCTCTCCCGCCCAGAGGAGAAGAAAGAACCCCAGTTCCCCAAGGCCGCCGCGCCCGGCGAGGCCAGGAGCCACCACGCGACAGATGGTGAAGGATTCCACCACAGCCAAAACCTTACCTCGCTTCGACATCTTGAACGCCGGAAAGGGACAGAAAGGAAGTAGACACAAAGCACGCTGGGATACGAACGCTGACGCCCCGCCCTCTTCGTCACGTGATCAGGGGCTAGCACAGCCCGCCACTTCCCCATGGCGCAGCTTTTACGTAATCAATTGAGGACATCAGCTGGGAGTCTTGCTGCAAAGTTAGCGATGGCGGGGTTGGGGGCTTGGGAAGCGAACGAGTTTCAGAGGCTTCTTTATGAATTGGGGGCACAAAAAAGTGGTTAATTTACCCAGTGTCGTCTTTTGAGGACTCAGTATGTACCAGGGTCTTCTCCGGACAAGATATTCAGAAATATGTGCGGCGTTTAACAGGAATTTGCCAGGGCTTGGGGGTCCGAAGGAGGGCGGGCTCTGAACATTTCATTGGAATGTGATACGTGACATCGAGCGCTACAGGTCACGCCGCCCATGCTGTGCTGTAACCATACCCAGCTTGTTTTATTACGAACCTCTTTCACAGCTTCAACATGTCCCATATTTCTGACTGCTTTCCGTTAGTTGATAACATTCATTCATATATTTGAGAGCCTACTGTGTGCCAGATCCTGTTCTGGACATACATTAGACTCCCTCAGGGGACAAATGAAGAATGACATTGCCATCAATCAAGATGGGGAAAGCTATGAGAGAAACTGATTTGATGGGGAATATAGGGTTTCAATTTTGTACATATTGAGTTATATGTCTATTAGACAACCCAATGAGATTCAGTTAACAAGTCAGACTTTAACCTGGAATTTGGGAGTTGTTACCATGTGATATATTTAAACCTTATGATAATGGATAAGATGACCAAAGAAATTAGGGTAGATAAAGAAGACTAGGGACTGAACTCTGGGGCACTTCACTGTTAGAAGCCCGTGGCCTCCTGGTGGCGCAAAGGGCTAAGACCCAACCTATGAAGCTGTCTGCAGCCACTGCAGCACAAGTTGAATCCCCCGGCCAGGGAGAAATCCACATGGCGCAGCAGACCTCTCCTGACTCACCCACTGCTCCGCTCAGCAGTGTATTTCAGTCATTCGTCCTGTTCTTTCACCCCCCATATCTCTAGCCTGTACCCCAGCTCTTGTATGCGTAAATAAATAAATCATTAAAAAAAAGAAGCCGGTAACTATATATTTACAAATCTCTCTTTTCACTCTTTTAAAATGCCTTCACTTGATCTGGCCAGCTTCTGCAGCTACCAATTTTTCTTTTTCACTTCTTAAACAAATTCTGCATTTCTGAACATATATTTTCCTTGCCAGATTAGTCTGTCTTGATAAATGAAACTGCCATCCATCCGAGACATTTTCAGTTCCCTTTCAGTTGACCTTTACATATCTCTCAAATTTATCCACTGAAATACACAGATGAGGGGAGCAGTGGGCAAGACAGGAGAGGTCTGCTCTGTCAGGTGGGCTAGCTTCCTGACTGGGGACCTAACTTGTGCTGCAGTGGCTGAAGTTTGCTACATAGTGCTAAGATTTGACCCTTTGCACCACCAGGGAGGCCCCAGTCTGGTCTGGCGCCGGTCATAGGACTGGTTCCCAGTACTCCTCCAGATGTGTCCTTGGGCTGGAAAATTAACTCAGAGTTGACAGGAGATAAACAATATGTGATGTAGATTTCTACTATAATATGACAGCGTCCTACCAGATCCCCACCCCTCCCTAGCACCTATCAAGAGGAGTGGCTTTTTAAATCTGGCACAGAAAAATTTTCACAAATTAAAATTTCTTAGCAAGTCACTACAAACAAATTACACACAAACACACAGAATCTTCACAAAGCCCAAGCCAGTTTTTCAACAGCAAATTGACATATGAAACAAACACACCAGAGAAACCAAAAATCACATTTGCGCTTATGGTAGCCAGTGCCATAGGGAAGCCCAATTTCCCCATGGGGCTGACTAACCACGGATGGCTCTGTCCTAAATCTTCGTGGTCGCCAAATCTGTTATAGGGCAGGGAGAGGGGCAGCCCAAACCCCGCAAACCTGCCTATTCTAAATGGGTTCTGCCATCCGCCGCATCAACACAAAACATAGGAGACTTTAATGGGAAGGAACTTTAATAAAACTAGGAAACAATACAGGAAAGGCAAAGAGTCTAGTTTCTAAATGAAGCACCCAAAGTTACCCGTCCCCTCGTGGGTAAAAGTCCATCCATATGGGATCGGCCCAGAACAAGGCCCCAAAGCCTGCTACAAGTCTAAAGCATCTTCCAGTGGGGACCCACAGCAAAGGGTCACAAACAACCGGACAAGCCCGGAAGGAAAAGAGCAAAATCAACATCAAGATAAAAGCTGCCATGGTCACCTCCCCACGGGTCTCACCCACATCTGTGTCACCCAGTCCACGACCAAAAGACAAGCGCAGTTTCTTCACGTGTCTCTAGGCTCCATGCGCCTCCTCCAGGTCTCCTTCTGGTTCCATCCTGCTTCCTTCCTTCCTCAGTCTCTTCTGCAGCTTCTCCTCTTCCTGCTCAGCTCCACCCTTCCTTGGGTGGGGCAGGGAACCTGGAACTTCCCCCTTTCCTGGGGACCACCCTGTTACAGCTTTACTTTACATCATTTTAGAAATCCCCTTTAACACCTCAATTAATAAGAGTTGAAATTTCATGTTTTCACTTTTAATTTGTTAAGATATCACACATCATGTAGCCTCTTCTGGAGAGCTCACCTGTATACAGATGAAAGAACAGGAGAGAAACAGCATGTAGCCTCTTCTGGAAAGCTCACCTGTATACAGATGAAAGAACAGGAGTGAAACAGTTAATTAATGTAGTCATTTAAATAAGTAGCTTTTTTTTCTACCAGGAAGGATCACACCTAATCATCCCTTCTCCCCAGATCACACTTTACTAATCACAGGTCACCTGGATTGAGGCAGACAACACATTGTTATATAATCCCCTTACATATTGGCAGGAGAACGTGAAATCTCTGAAACCATAGTTTTTTTTTTGCTCTATTTTGAGAAAACACCGAGGATGCTTGCCTCAGTAAATACTAACTCTATTTATGGACCGTGAGGCTTAAAAGTGAAACTCCTAGGGGGCACCCGGATTTGAACCGGGGACCTCTTGATCTGCAGTCAAATGCTCTACCCCTGAGCTATACCCCCTCTGCTGGTGGAAGGAAGATTACAACTTAATGGTAGTGAATGTAGTGTTTTCTGACCCGCCACCCATCTCGGGAATAATAATAAAAATAGTCTTGTATTTATAATTAACTGCTTCAGGTTTTCTGTTTCAAGAGAAGTTTTCAAAGGCAGTCGGGATTTAAGCGTTGGGAGAGGAAGAAGTCTCTTCAGACCCAGGTTTGAAAGTCCTGTGGGTGGGTATGTTGGGATTCCTCTCCTCCATTAACGACTGCCTTTTCTACCTCAGGCATCTTCAAGTCTAATTTCCATCCTTTCAGCCTATTACTTGAACTGCATTGAATCCCCAGTCCAGTGCTTTGCACACTAGAGGAAATAATTCCTTTGTCCTTCCTACCAGATGTGGCCTCATTGTCTCGGTTCTCTCCAGCATCGTAAGTCACTTTCTCTCCCCTGGCTCCTTCAAACATCATCATTATTTCCTAGACTGGAAAATCCTTCCATTAGCTGTGATAGCATGTCCATTTCTCTTTCATACTACCACTCCCCCGCCCCGCCCCACTACACAGTTTTATTGTTAATTGACATGCATCATTGTAAAAATGTAAGGTGTACACCATGTTCTAGATGCCAATATTTAAGAGTCTGAGACTTCTTTCTCTCATTATCACTACTCAGCTCCACAATTCAGCTACTCTCTGCATCTGATTTCTCCACTGTGAGTTATTTTTCCCTATGCACAAATATCTTGTTTCTCCAATTTAGCCTGTTCTGTTCTTTGAGGGGAAGGATCATGTCGCATTCCTTTTCCTATCCTATAAGCCTTAGATTTTACTTGCCCTCTTAACCACAATCCTACTTAAACTCAACTATCGGATCACACCATGCCTGCAGCCAAGCAGTTGAATGTTGTTAGAGAAAGTTCACAAGTTTGTGTCACTCCACTAACCTGAAACACTTTGTTTAGTGTTCCAAATCACTGCCTGATGAGATCACTTTCTCACTCTCCAAAGTGATTGTCTCACCCATGTCCTCTGTCTCAAACTCTCTACAGATCATCTCTCTTCCTTATTCTCTTAGCTGAAAACCTTGGCTTTTCCTTTTCGCAGAAAATAAGAATCAGATGCAGATGTGGTGGTTAGAGACAAATGATCAACTGCGATGGGAAGCCTGATTTATACCATTTGCCAATTCTGTGATACAAATACCCCCATCTGCCCATTTCAGGCTACCAAAGTCAACTGACTTAAAATTCCTGAAAATTTAACCATGGATTCTCACTAGCCACTAAGAGCCAAATCCAGCACACTTCAGGAAACTACACCTCCTTCATCAACTACCATCTAAACACCGACTCCTGAAATTATATCTCCAAAATTATATCTCCCTGAACTCCCGAATTAACTGGATTTCCAACTGTGTACTGAACATCTCCTCTCAGATGTCTATTGGACACCTGAAGTTGAACATATTGTCCCCATACTATCAGGGATTGAACTCATGCTGCAGTGGCTGCAAATAGCTGCATAGGTTGCGTCTTAACTCCTTGAGCCACCAGGGAGGCCCCCATGGCTGGCTTTTTATCCATTTAGAATAAAATCCAAACTCCTTCACTTGACCTACAAAGTATCCATAGTATTAGCTGAATTGAAATGCTCTCCCCTTATCCGCCTTCCTCCAGCCACTCTGGCCCTCCTACCTGTGCTGAAGCCATTTATACTACAGAGAGTGCCTGCTTTCCACCCTGACCAAATGACTCTCTGTTTCACGTAATCCCGGCCTTAATTCTTTTTTTTTTTTAAAGATTCATTTATTTATTTATAGAAGCACTGGGAACAATCAGAAGCGTGGGAGGGTGAGAGAATTCACCAGAGCAAGAGCAGGGTGCAGAGCAGGCAGACTGACAAAGTACACTGCTGAGGGGAGCAGTGGGCACGGCAGGAGAGGTCTGCGCACCATGTGGGACCCTCGCCGGCAGCTGGGGATCCGGCCTTAATTCTAAAATAACTGCACAGTAAGGCCTTCCATGGTCATCCAACCTGAAATAGTCCCCAGTACTTCCCTGACTCACCATTTTATTTTTTACTTTAATCATTTTATCAGTACAGGGCATTTCCTTGTTAATTCATTTGCACACTTTATTTCTAGACTGTCCCCACTAGATTTTTAAACATGAGAGTGAGAACCTTTGTATCTTACCGAAAATGCGTTTTACACCTATAGTGGGACACGTCATCACCGTGCCACAAAAAGAGTGAGGATAGCCAGGGAACGCTGCTCACTGGGGATGACATTTTAGCTGGTATTTGTATTCTTTTTAGAGAATCAGGGGAAAGATTTTCTATCCTAGTGTTGTAAGAGGTTGTTCTCTTAACTTCTTAAAGAGATGGATGGGGTGGTAGACACAGAACTAATTGAGTCTAGAAAGGGCAAATTGTAAGTTTACATGTTTTCAAATACTCTGTTTTCATTTGGTCCTTTAATTTTGTGTTTTCTCATCAACAAATTCAGAATCATCTAAGAAATGTAAGAGGGAAAAGGGAATTTTGAACAAATTTCCATATGATAAATTGAATATTGATGTAAAGGAAATCTGGCAGATGCTTGCCAGTAGAGGGGGTATAGCTCAGTGGTAGAGCATTTGACTGCAGATCAAGAGGTCCCCGGTTCAAATCCGGGTGCCCCCTTCCTTAGCTGTAAGTTTTTCACAGATATTGAGGTTTAACCCAAAATCACCCCTATTGCTGACTGGTCTCTTTCTTCCTCATTTTCCACCAGCAAACATTCTCCATGTCTTAGAAACACCAAGACCTCAGAGATATGCAATGGAGAAATCTAACATATACCTCAACCCAGCAGCAAGAAGCCCTCCTGTGCTTTTTATTTTAAACTCAACAATGCATTTTATTATATATCTTAGACTTACATATTTCACATATGATTTTAAAACTTCAATTAGCAGTTCAATACAAAAAAAAAAAAAAACACATAGAAGCGGCCCTCAGGCACAGAATTTAGGAGGAGATTCCAACAAACTTTTCCCTTAGCATATTGGAATTTTTCCTTCCCACCAACCTGCCTTTTTGATTGAATTTCATTATAACAATACCTCTAGCAGGGCCTCCCTGGTGGTGCAAGGGGTTAAGCACCACGCTGTGAAGCAATCTGCAGCCTCTGCAGCACAAGTTCAATCCCAGCCGGTCAGGGCGCAACAGACCTCTCCTGTCTCGCCTGCTGCTCCCCTCAGCAATGTATTTCAGTCAGTCTGCCTCTTTTGTTCCCCACTCTGTCTCTGGTGAATCTTCTCACGCCCCGCATCTCTGGCCTGTACCCCAGCTCTTGTATGCATAAATAAATCTTTAAAAAAATAATACCTTTAGTAGGTATGATATTACTATTTGGAAAAGAGATCTAAAATAAATTTATAACCTGTTTTTTTTTTTTTTGGAAGTCTTTAAGACCTAAATGATGACTTTTCTCCTAATAGAATGCCAAGAACATCCAGTAAAAAAAAATATTGTCCATAAACTATCTGGAGCGTCAGCCTAAGAGCCACTGCCCATGATCATTTAAAGTCTTTAGGCCTCACAGGATGGGGTTATGCAGGATGGATTTCTTCTCAGTGACCCTGTAAGTACTTTCCTCAATCCAGTGGCTTGTCCATCTTCACTGCAACTTGGTCCCATACCCTTACCAAGTGGTCAACAAAAACCATCCACTCTTTCTTTCTAAAATCTCTAGTAACTCCATAAGTTTAGTAACAAAACTAAGGCATCAACTTTCTGGGGTACCAGAACTGTAATACTCCTGGGCCATTCTTCCCTGGCTACCCGAGCCTCTGCTTTACCCATAATATAAACCATTCACTTTCCACCAGGTGCCTCTACAACCATGAACCACTCTGGTTAGTGGGGTGGGCAGGCACTATAAGTAAAAAGAAACCCCACGTTACTGTAAGTGCATCCAAGTTAATGTTGAAGCAGAACAGGTTGTGGCATGTGATGGGCGGCAGCATGGCCATCCCCAGCACCCCCTTCCTAGTGACCCCTCCTGTACTCTTGTAGCTAGAAAGAAGGCACCAAACCATTAACTGCAGTTCCTCTTTGGGTGAAAATGGTGTGTCAAGGGCAGGGCAGTATGATTTTGCCTAGTTTGTGCTTGACCAGAAGACTAGAAGAACGAATTCACGTTCAGAATCCACATTTAGGGCCTCCTCGATGGCGCAGCAGGTGGAGTGCCGTGCTGTGAAGCTGCCCACAGCCTCTGCAGTGCTGGTTCCATCCCGTCTGGCCAGTGAGAATTCCACATGGCGCAGCAGACCTCTCCTGTTGCGCCCACTGCTCCCCTCAGCAGTGTATTTCTGTAGTCAGCCTGTTCTGCTCCCTGCTCTGTCTCTGGTGAATCCTCTCACCCTTCTGTACCTCTGGCCCGTACCCCAGCTCTTGTATAAAAATAAACAAATCTTAAAAAAAATCCACATTTATATGGTTTCTCAATGTTTAACAGGACATAGCACAGGTAAAAGCTAGAAGGTAAAAAGTGGACAGCTTCTTCTTTGGGCTGAGAACTTATAGTTGCTAAATTTGAGGCCTGCTGCCAGAAAAGGAGTAAAAAGCTGGCCATACCTTGGGTCTGGGCTTTCCATGGGACCGCAGGCCTGCTCAGCCTCCAAGGCCAGCCTAAAGACAGTAATGGGAACCATGGAGAAAAATGCGCTCCAGTATTCCCCTGGGGCTCCCAGGATGACACAATGAGATTCCGGGTTTAAAATATCACAGCTGCCCCCTGACCCAGGGAGCTTGCCTCACTCTTTCTTCTTTATTTTTCCTTTTTTTGGGCAAAACTTAGTTGAGGGTGACACCCTTACTCCCTTTACACTTACGTTTTTCTTCTGCTTGAGAGAGATACTGTCAGTTACACAATCAGCACACATGGGTCCTCACCTGTAGGCTATGAAACTCCGAGGCCTTGTATGATTCTGAGTACGATTCTTTGCTCAACAGTATCATCAAGGTACTGGTTGAAAATGCATATTCTCTGGGTCCCACCAGAAACCTACAGAATCAGAAACTGGTGCTTTTTTTTTTTTTTTTTAAAGATTTATTCATCTATGCATACAACAGCTGGGGTGCAGGCCAGAGGCGTGGGGGTTGAGAGGATTCACCAGAGACAGAGTCGGGAACAGAACAGGCAGACTGAATGAAATACACTGCTGAGGGGAGCAGCGGGCGAGACAGGAGAGGTCTGCTGCGCCATGTGGGTTGCTCCCTGCCCGGTTGGGGATCGAACTTGTGCTGCAGAGGCTGCAGATTGCTTTACGGTGCTGTGCTTAACCCCTTGCACCACCAGGGAGGCCCCCCCACAACTGGTGCCGTTTTAACAAGCCATCCTGGTAATTCTGAAACATACTCAAGTTTGGGAACCACAACATTAGTTTTCATCCGTTTGCATCAGGAGGTAACTTTATTTTTGTGAATGAAAATGAGCTTATGGATGTACACTGGTCATTTTAACATTCTTGAAGCTTCCACTCTACACTTGTGTCATGAGCAATAAGAAAGGGCCAACACAGCAACTCCAGGTTACCGGTAATAAAGAGAGCTGAAATTGGAGAAGGCCCTGTCTGTGGGTTTACCTCTCCCCATCCACCAGAAAAAGTGAAACTGAACCCCAGCTTGGGGGAGTCTCTCAAGTCCCTTCAGTCCAGAGCCTCAAGCTACCTGACACGCCTGAGGCTGTGCGCGGTGGGAGCAGATGTTCCACTACCTCTGGCTCAGGGAAGGGGAACGCACAGCTGTCATCTGATTTGTGCCTGTACCACGCCATCTTTTTGAAATGCATAAATCAAATCCTAAAGCTTTTCTCTAAGGGAGGGAAATGAGGAAGAGACTTTTAAATACGGTTTTTCTGAACGTAGGACTCAAGGTTAAAATGCAAACGGTGAGAAGGAGTTTACACCAGCTGAAAGGGGGAGGAAAAACCACCAAGGGGGCACCCGGATTTGAACCAGGGACCTCTTGATCTGCAGTCAAATGCTCTACCACTGAGCTATACCCCCGCGCCGTGGCTGCGACTGGAGATGGCTCTTCTGAGTACGAAGACCCTGCTGCACTGAGGTGGGAAGCAAAGGTAAGAAGGACTGAACAGGAAAGGGGGGGCTGAGGGGGGGCAAGCAGAAAGCAGAGGTTCCCGGATCCGGGAACCTCGGAGACAACTGCACGCCGAGGCGCGGGAAGGGCGGGACAAGCCGGGACTTCGAGGCCCTGAGTCCGGGAGCGAGAGCCCGGTTCCGCCCTGCAGAAGTGGCAAAAGATGGGGTGGCGTGGGGAGAGGGGGGCCGCCACCTGAGGGGCGGGGCAGGGCGTTCCCATTCGGCCCCGGGTTCATATCGTCGGGTACAAAGGAAAGTCCCCGACTCCGGTGGATCTGGTCTGGGGTTCGGGAGGGTTCCCAGCCCACTTCGACGGGTGCGAGGGCTTCGCCGGCCCCCCGCAGCCGGGTCGCCCCCGAGGCGCTGCCAGCGCGGCCCCGCCGTGCGCCCGGCCCCGCCGCGCCTCTCCCCCCCGCGCCTTTCCCCCGCAGCCCGGGCTCGGGGGCGCCGGGGCGCGGCGCCGCGGGGTGCACCCAGGCGCGCGCCCTCCGCGGGGCGGCCGTCCCCGGAGCCCGCCCCCGCGCAGCCCCGCGCAGCCCCGCGCCGCCCGGCCGCGCGCCCGGCCGCGCGCCCCCGCCGCGCAGCCCCTCCTCCCCCCGTGTTTATTAGGGGAAGGAGGGCGGAGGCGGAGGCCAGTCCCAGCTCCCGCCGCCGCCGCCCGTGCCGTTGCAGCCGCGGCCGGCGCCAGCCCGCTCGCCCGCCGGCAGAGAACGCGCGGCCTCGGGGGTCTCCGCCCCAGCCCTGCCCGGAGCCATGAACCCCAACTGCGCCCGGTGCGGCAAGATCGTGTACCCCACGGAGAAGGTGAACTGCCTGGATAAGGTGAGCCCGGGGCCGGGAGACGTGTCTGTGCAACCCCGAGCGGGGCTCCGGGCCGGGCGAGGAGCGGGGGGCCGGGTCTCTGCTGCCTCGCCCCGCGATCTCAGGGGGCGGCGGGCGGTGTCATGGGGTGCGGGGAGAGACCCCAGCCTGGAAACGTGGAGCTCCGCGGCCGGGAAGGGTCCACGCGTGGTGAGCAGCCGCTGTTGGGGACGCGTGGGCTCGGGGCGCGGGTGGAGGGGTCGAGGGAGGAGTCGGCAGCCAGGCCCCGGGATGGGGGGGTGGGGAAGGTTAGGGGTGCAGTCCCGCCCCCTAGGACCGGGGGAGTGGAAGGAGACGGCCGCTCCCTCTCCCCGCCAAGCGGAGCGCCAAGTAGGCGGAAGCGGGGCTCTGGGGTGGGGGGAGAGCCGGGGGCGGGGCAGAGGTTGGGGAGCCCGGCGAAACCGTCGGCTCCCGCAGTGGACTGCCCGGCTCCCCGGCGGGGACTGCCCCCAGCCGGCGAACGTTGCGTCTGGAGGGCTGGGCTGCGGATGAGGACCCGACCCCACCGCCAGACCCCTTTTTTTGGACGACCGGAAGCTCCCTTGGTGGTTCAGTGGTTAACAGGCTGGCAGACCCCGTCCACAGCTTCCCAGCCCCCACCCCAAATATGAAGCCAAGTCCGGACGCAGGGCTGCCCGGTCGGAACCGGGCGGGCCGGCGTTCTGGAGTAGGATGTGTGTGTGTGTGTGTGTGTGTGTGTTGGGGGGGGGGTGCTTAGCAGAGATCATCTGAAATTGTGCTCAAAAACCTAAGCCCGGCTTGAAGAACAAAGAGCTAACTTTTCAAAGCAAGTCTCCCCGATAGAGGGTGGGATTGGCTAAGTTCAGGGGAAGCTAAGAAAAGGGGGGGTATTTGGGGGGAGGGGAAAGTGGCCTTCTGGAAATTCACTGTCCCTTGGGGGTCCTTATGCGTGTACCCCCCCCCCCCATGCTGGACTAGTTCATCTGGTTGCCATTATACTTTGAGAGGGGTGGAGAGTAGGACTGGGTGTTTCCAGCAGTTTGGGTTAGGATCCGGCCCTTTTTAAAGCTCTGTGAGATCCTTGGGCAGAATCTGCCCCTCCCCTGCATCCCCTTCCCAGTCTGAGGGAGAGGCCTCTGTGATTATTACCTTTTCTCATCGTGGCTTTTATTCACCTCCAAGCGTCAAGTCCAAATATTCCTTCCTTTGCATCACACCTGGCAGCAGTGAGAGGCTTGGGATGGAAGAGGGGTGTAGGGCCCTGGGTCAAGTTCATCGCCCTCCTGAAACCAGATTTTGTTTGTGAATGGAGAGTTCTTTGGATACTTTGTGTCTCTCCCCTCCCCCTTGGACTTGGAGCTCCGTCAGTGACCTTTAGCCTCTGAGTCAGGGTGAGAGGGTGGGGTTTGAACTTGCTCTTGGAGAAAGAGGGTGTATTGGACTCCTGTTCTCTCTCCTGGGCTTGGCTGGGCAGGAGGAGAGAAGGGCCATATTGTTGGCATAAGGGATGTGGGTGCTGACCTTCCCCAGTGACTGTACCAGCCGCTTGAGGGCAGGGCCTGAGGTTGAAGGCACTGACAGAAGAGCTCTCCCTGCACACTGGGCTTTTTGCCCTTGCCCAGTGGTAGGAATTTTGGTCTCTGTGTCTTGAATCCCTGCGTCCCCTTCTCCACAGCCATGAATTGGGAAGCATGTTCACCTGTATATGAAGCAGAAGCAATCAACAGTGGAGGGTTGGCGAGCCCAGGACTTGGGAGACTTGGTTGTAGTTCCCAGGCTGCTTCCCCTGGCTGTATGAATGGCTCCAGGCCTCAGTTTCGCCTGGGTCAGATGGGTGTGATGATGTCATTTCCTTGGAGGTGGGGCAGTGCACTAAAGTGCCTGCCAAAGTGCCTGGAGGGGTTGTGGCATGGTTGCCTTTCTGGGATACTCTATCTAGCGCCACACCTGGCCCCTTTATAAAGACCTTCAGGTCCTGGTGTTGGGGGAGGGAAGGGCAGGGATCCTGCAAGGTGTCCTGTTCTTTTGCCCCAGTTGAAAAAGGGCATTCAGGTGGGGGTTGCCCTGGGAAGTGGGAGATGGTGAGTTCTCCCTTTTTTTAGAGCGCTCCCTCCAGGAGATGGCCTTGGGGAAACCTTGCCTTCCTGCACTGAGCAGGAGGCCTGGAATATCCAGGTTTTGTCCTTATTTCTCCCAACCCCCTCCAGGAGGTAAAGACAGGCACCTCAACTGGGGAACTGGTGCCCAGAGGACTGAGACCTGGGAGAGGGGAACATTCAGTCCCACAGGCATGGTTGCTAACCAACTTTCCAAGGCTTCCCATTTACAATAGGACAGAGTCAGATAGACTTACCCATTTCGCTGTAGTTTCCCTATGCACGGAGCACACAATGTCACCTAAAGCATGTGTTTGTCCTTGGTGTTAACCTTTTTCTCCTCCCTGAGCCTTATCTCCCAAAGTCTTAGGTGGGTAAAGGCCATGTTACCTCTGATAGATAGCTACCCTGCCCCCAACCTGCAGTTCCCAGTGTGCTCTGCACGCTGAATAAATATATAATGCTCATGGTGGTGTTTGAGGAAGGAGGTTGAGATTTGCTTTCCAGGAAGATTTCTGGGATGGGGGGGCAATTAGGATGACCTTATTTGTTCATTCATTCAACAACTGTTTATTGAGGATCTACTTAGTGTCTTGCACTTTGAAGGACTGCCACAGGGCCTTTGCCAAGGAGAGGTTGCATCACCCACTTCCCCACTCACCACTCCCGTCTCTCCTATGTCCTCTGTATTTGGAGAGAGGTGGAAAGTTTTGTCCCAGACCCTGTTGGGAAGCATTTGTATTTGGGGGCCTGCATTGTTAAGCATCTTGCTACATCCCTCTCCCCTGACTTGTTTTTTGGGGTGTGTGAAAACAGGTGGAGACATCTGGAAGGGGTAGAGGATTGGCGAGTAGCTAATTCTGGAATATTCCCCATTAGGAGAGCTCTGCCTTTGGTTGTCTGTCTGTCTGTCTGTCTGTCTGTCTCTCTCTCTCACACACACACAGAGCAGCAGCAAGATAGAAGGAGGCTGGACACAATCCTTGCCATGATGTTCCATTTTCCTGGCCACACAATTGAGTATGTCCACGATCACCTTTTTATACTAGTACTAGTACTACTTAACGCAAGGTGCCAGGCTCAGTCTTCACAGGGCTTGATAAAACAGATGTGATTGCCCTTGTAAATTCAGAACCCCATGAACTCAGTCAGGCCACACAGCTCTTTCCCCTCACCCCCAAGCTGGAAGTGAAATCCAAAGTTCTTTGTACTCAGCTCTTCTATGCTTTAAAAAGTCCTCTTCAGGGCCTCCCCGGTGGCGCAGCGGTTGAGCGCTGGGTTGCGAAGCTGCCTGCAACCTCTGCAGCCGGTTCAATCCCCGGCTGCTCCCCGGCCACCTGAGGAGGGTCCCACATGGCGCGCAGACCTCTCCTGCCGCCAGCTCTGCCTGCTCTACTCCCCGCTCTGGCTCTGGTGAATTCTCTCACCCTCCCGCGCTTCTGACTGTACCCAGTGCATGTATAAACCAAAACAAACAAACAAATAATAAATAAATAAATAAGACATGCCTCTAGAAAATTAAAAAAAAAAAAAAAAAAAAAAATAAAAAGTCCTCTTCATTACCCCAGGGGGCTCCCACCCCTTCCTGGCCCTGTCCTGAGAAATGCTCAGGGCCTGGGGCCTTGCAGGGCCTGGGGCACTAGGAATAATAGTGGAATTCCCCTGGAATTCAGGAACCGGTAGCCAAGGTCAACACCTGTAAGCAGCGAGCCAGGTGTCTGGCAGAGCTGAGTTGGTGACCTGGCCAGGGTGGAGCTGGTATTGCCCCTGGCACGGGGAGAAACTGTAACCCGGGGCTATAGGAAGGAAGGGAAAGACCGCTCATACTCTTAACCCTGAGTCACGGCCACCCCAGGCAGCCTGGATGCAGAAGGTAGGATGCCAGGCTGCAGCGACAGTGACCTGAAGCTCCGCATGCCCTCATCGGAGCTGGGAGCAGCCCTTCCCCCACTGCCATGGTGAATGTGAAGAGAGAGTTACTTGCCCAGCAGCGGAAGTGCCATGGATCTGGCCCCCTGCTGCGCCAGCCTCCGCTTGCCTTTCTGTGGAGTGGGTGTTCTGTGCAGTGCGTTGCAATTTGGAACTGCAGGCAAGGGAACTTGGGAGATGGGCTGAGAGGATGCTGATGGCACCAGAGGTCTTTTTGTGTGTGTCACCAGGAAGACCATGAACTTCACGGCACCAGAAGGATTCGCCGGGGGCACTTGCACACCTGTCGGTGAACTTTGCTCCCTGAATCCTGAGTCCCGGGGATGTGTCTTTGAATCTTTCTTGGGGCTTCTGAGGAAAGGGAGACTCTTGCCCTGGCTTCTGGTTCAGGGGGGAGGCAGACGCAAGGTCGTTGTGGGTTGTATTGACTTCCTTCACCAGACCCTATTGAGACAGAAATGGGGTTTCTTTCACTGTGGGGCCCCTGACCCCGTCTTGCTGAGTGATTCCCCACATTCTACTCCTCTGACCTCAGCTTTCCTGCCTCAAGGAGGACAGACACAGTGGCCTGCTCCTGGATTTTCATGAACCTGGGAACCCTGTTCCAGAGAGTGGAGGGAAGGGGCATGATGCAGGCAGAGCTACCAGGTTAGGCCCAGAGCCCACCTCTGCTCAGACCGCTCTGCTTCTCCATGGAGCACGCTGTCAGCTCTGTTTACAGACGTAGAGATTTGAGTTTTCAGGAATGACCCTGCAGGCTCCTCAGTGTGCTGTCTGCAGCGTTCTGCTGCTCAGCCCCTGTAAGGGGACAGATGTCCCCGCCCCAGGCCTAGAGCAAGGGCCTCAGGGTGGCAGGAGAGCTGCTGATGGGAATAGGTACCATTCCATTTCCTCCAAATGGCAGCCTGGAGGGTTTTTGTGGGACCCCTGGATTAGGCATTGGCCCTGGACTTTCACCCTGTCAGTCTGTACTCTGCCCTCCTTCCCAAGAGGCGTGGTGGCTTCACATGGGGGAGCTGGCCAACTTCTAGGGTAGGGGTGTCTGTCTCTCTCCTTTTGTCTCCCCCAAGAGGTGACTTTGGAGGTCCCCAGTCCTAGGACAGTGCGTATTCCGCGCGCCTGTGTGTGTGTGTGTGAAAGTGGGTCATGGTCTGGATTCCAGAGAATGTTTTTCCTGGCAGGCCCTGCGGGGGTGGTGGAGGCAGGGGCCCAGGCAGGGGCATGTGGCTGAGCAGGCAGAGGCCAGCAGACTGGGTGGTGACAGGACTGCTGGGGCACTCTGCCAGCGCCTCCCAGGCACTGTGGGAGGGAGAGGGGCTGCCGCTTTTGGGGGCCGGTGGGGCCAGGGACTCTAATTTTCCTGTGGGTGTATTTATTGGGGCTTTGCACGGGAGGAGTCTGGGCTGGGCTCTGGGCTAGGCCCGGGTTGGGGTGGGGGCCAAACTTAGTTGGGGGCCATCCCTTTGCTTCCAGAGTTCCATCGGGCTTTCTTCCCCAAAGAGTGGGTCTATTGCTCCTGATACTGTTCAGCCAGTGGAGAGTCCTTCAGGCCTCCTGGGCTGGGAAAGGGTCCTGTCAGAAGGCAGTGGCCTCCTGGACCCTGGTTGAAGTGGTCCAGGTGGGGAGATGGTATCCCAAATTCAGCTGTCTCTTTTCCTGTGCCCTCCTCCAAAGTGTCTCAGAAGCACCCCTTCCATCCATCAAGTTATTGATTAGCTATTCATTTACAAATCTATAAACTTTGAGAGGTACAGCTTCACCCCTAATATGTGTACGTGCTTCACAGACTCACCTCCAAAGTTCCAGTGCCACTCCCCTATTACCTTTTCCCCTTCTGTCCCCTCTCTGTCCCCAGGAAATACATTTTGAAAAGTCCCACCTGGGGGAATTCCTTGAGGGAGGGCTCAGAATCAGCAGTGGCTGGACACCTTCCCTGGCTTCTGCCCTCCTTCCTTAAGGGTTCGGGAACCCCTCCTGCAACTGCTCAGAGACGGGGCAGAGACAGGTCAGCCAGGCAGCCTGGATTCTAGGGGCCTGGAAAGCAGATAGTGGGCGCTGGTGCTAGGGTCTTCTGCCTGGACTAGGGTGCTAGGGTCTTCTGCCTGCTAGTTGACTGCCTGAGCATCCGCATTTCTTAGGATGGGGATGCTTTGCTGCATCGTTCCCCTTCCATCATCACCTTCTACTCTCGCTCCCTTTCTGGGCTTTGCAGGAGTCTCACCTTGTCGTTCACACTCATCTATCTCTGGTTGGCACAGCGGAGCCCTCCCTGCTCCCCAGCACACACAAGCTCCCGTGGGTGCTCCAGAGTCCCGTGGCTGAGGTTTATAGCCGTGGCGCCTGCCTCTAACATTTGGGTACCTGGAGGTACCGGGTGCTGTGCCAAGGGCTCATTTAATCCTCAACAGTCCCAAGAGGGGCAAGTATCATTGTGCTCCTTAGGGGGACCAACTGTAGGGTGCTCTCCTAGCCTTACCCTGTAGGGAGAGTAGAAAAGGTGTAATCAGAGTTTGGGGCCCCGCCCCTGGGGGTCTTATAGACAGTAGAGGGTACCAGAGCTGGAGCATCAACTGGGGCTCCTGTGGGGCTTGAGGGCCTGCTGTGGGAGCCAGGAGCATCTGAGTTCTGCAGTGGGGTGTATGGGGGCTGGGCCATCTTCTCTGGGCCCTGTCAAGGCTGAGCCCCTCAGAGTTCAGCAGCTGCTTCTTAGCAACCCTGGTGAAGCTTTGCATAAGCAATGAGGCTTCTCCAGCTGAAGGCTGAGGAGTGGCCTAGGAGGTGCAGCCAACCTTCTGGAGGCTCCTGCTGTCACTGTAACTCACTCAGCTTCCTGTCTGCCCTTCTCCCCTTCTGACAGTTCAAATGGCTGGCTAGTGGGATGTGGGGAAGGGGAGGGGGTGTCAGCAGCAGCAGAACCCGTGACCTGAGATGTCCCCTGCTCACCCGGGGTGACTCTGTTCTCCGCATGGTTATGGGCCCGGGTCAGTCCCTGGGATGGAGCACCCCTTCCTGAAGCCCTGGTGTCTGACAGGTGTCCTCTCTGCCTCTGCCCCTAGTTCTGGCATAAAGCATGCTTCCACTGTGAGACCTGCAAGATGACACTCAACATGAAGAACTACAAGGGCTACGAGAAGAAGCCCTACTGCAACGCGTAAGTCCTGCTTTGGATGGAGGACCGGGAGGGCCCCGGGCTCCCCCCAGTTCATCCTTCCTTTCTGTAACCACCCTAAGGCGACATTGCCGCGCAGTCCGCAGCCTGCGTGTTGGTGCTCATCACCCAGCCCGCAGTGAGCTAAGGAAGGAGGTGCTGTTGTTCCCATCTTACAGAAAAGGAAACTGAGGCTTGGAAAGGGAAGGGGTTTTCCCAAGATTGCATGGCTAGTGGGGGGCCAGTTCAAACCCAGCATCTGGGTGCTAAAGCAGGCATGTTCTTTCCAGGTTCTCACATTGTAGCCTGATGGCAGGGAGGGGACCAGTGTGTTCTTTTTCTAGAACAAGTGACCAGCCCTGTTTCTGCCATTTGTGTTCTCTGTCCACTGAGCCCCCAGCAGCTGACTGTTTCCTCTCACCTGCCCCGCAGAGTGTCCAGGCTCTAGGTTTTGGGGGCTTCTGGTGGCAGCCCATCTAGTGTTCATGTCTTGAGAAGTGGGGGCAACATGAAGGGCTCGTCTCTCCCCTGCCTGGTGAGGACATATTGTGTCTCTCTTGCAGTTAGCTTGGGCTCTGTTCCTTCCTTGCTGGGACCTGCAGCCTGGCCTGCTGCGAGAAGGTGGAGAGATGGGGAGTCCCCATCCCAGAAGGATACCCCCATCCCTTCCTACCCCACTCACCCCACCCACCCCACACCACCTGGTTCCAGAAAATACACCACCTTCCACTCTCCAGCTGACCTTGTGTACAGCAAGGCCCACTCATGCTGGCCACCCTGCTGGGGGGGGACTTGGAAGGTCAAGTCACTTCAAGGAGGGGGCAACATCAATATTCAAAGATTCAGGATCTGACTGAAGTCCAGGGTTTTTTGTTGAATCCTCAGTCAGGAGGCTCTTTGCAGCTGAAGTATGCCCAGGAGGGGGGGCTTTGGGACTCAACTCGAAGGGGTTAGGGACTTAACCCCCTTTGAAAGGCTGTCTCTCCAGTACTTTACCCCATTTCCTGCCAATACTGCAGCCTCATCCCCTTGGGGGTTTGATCATGCATTAGGCATTTATTGCCTGCCGGTTGTTGTATGCCAGCCTGTGCCAGGTGCTGGGAAGATAGATTTCTGATAAAATCTCATGCCCAAGAAGCAGCAGGAATGCTGTCCCCGGGAGGGTTGGGCTGCCTCGGTAGGATTGTCACACTCTGTCCGGACTCCTCCTCCAGTTGCCCCTTCTCTTTTATTAGCTTCCACTGGTCCTCTTCCCCCTCCAACCCCTCCCCCTCCCCCCCAAGGGAAATGGGACATTCTTTGAATTCTTAAGGGCTCACACAAGCCCTGATTCTCTGCCTTCCTCCCTGCTTTGGGGAGTGGGGTGGGGTTCAGCAAAGCCAGTAGCTAGGGCAGTTAACCCCTTCATTCCTGGACCACAGGCTGGATTCTGGGCACCCAGACTCCTTGGGGGAGCAGCTTCTAAGCCTCCACCTTCCAGGCAGAAGTCTGGCTGAGCCCTGGAGCCTGGTGGGTGGTGGGGATTGAAGCTTTGTGTCTAGCACCAAAATTCCAGCTTAGTTTCCTTGCCTTCTTTTGGGGAGGTTGCAACAAGTAGGGTTGAGGAGTTGCTGCAGTTGTTGAGGGGAAGGCAGAAGATGAATCACCCCTTTCTGGGTGCTGCTTCCAACCCCTTGAGGTTGGGAGAGTTTGCCCCCCTATACCCTCCCATGAAGGTCTCTCTCCTGGCCCCTAGCTGAAGAAGCAGGCCGGCCTCGCCTTTCCCCCCTAGCCTCTGCCATGGCCAATAGCCCTTTGGCCCAGCTGGCATGTTACCTGGGAGGAGTCTGGGTGAGTGGGGACGTGTGGCCTCAGCTCTGCTGCACTCCAGCAGCTGTAGTAGCACCTTGCCCATGGCGCTCACACTCTCTCAGCCAGCATCCGCTGAGTAGTGGCCTGTGCCAGCCAGCCAGGCGTGGAGGTTCCAGAGCAAACCCGATGCAGACCCTGCCTACAAGGATTGCCCTACTGGCCAGTCTGAGCCTCAGTTTCTCGTGCTTCCAAATTCCCATCCGGGGACAGTGGACCCTAGGCCAGGAATTTACTGAACACCTGCAGGCACTGTGCTGAGTATCTGCTCTCATTCCTTCCTGTTCTCTTCCCGCCTTGGCCCCATCCTCCGCGAGAATTCAGGTCCCCAAATCCTGGGGTTTCCAGGGTGGAACTGTCCCCCTACTTCCAGCTGGGCCTTGCTTTATGGCCCTTAGGCCTGGTTTCCTTCTCAGCAGTACCTCCTGCTCAGGACCCACAGGGTCAGGTGACCGCTCCTGGCACTTTGCCAGGGACTTGGGTCCCTCCAGTGAACAAGTATGTGTGAGGCCTCTACATCCTGCCCACCTGACCAGTCCCTTAGCCAAAATCTTGGGGTGGCATGGGTAGGGGAGTGGGAGTGGAGTGTGTGGCATGTGTTCAGGATTGGAAGGGGGTGGTTAAGCTCAAAGGGGCATCCTCAGTGGCCAAATGTGGTCAGCCTCAAAGTAGCCCCCTAGATCCTTAAACTGAGATGTTAGGGCCTCAAGGAATCTCAGGGATCCCTTTGCTTGCTAACACCCCCATTTTATAGATGAGGAAACTGAGACCTAGTGCTTCCATGCCTTGTCCACCTATGAGCTAAAAAGCAGACTCATTGGGCCTCCCCTGTGGTGCAGCGGTTGAGCACTGGGTTGTGAAGCTGCCCGCAGCTGCGGCACCGGTTCGATCCCCGGCTGTTGCCCGGCCACCGAGGAGGGTCCCACATGGCGTGCAGACCTGTCCTGCCGCCCACTGCTCCCCTCAGCAGTGTACTTCGGTCCTTCTGCCTGCTCTGCTCCCTGCTCTGGCTCTGGTGAATTCTCTCACCCTCCCGTGCTTCTGACTATACCCAGTGCCTGTATAAATAAAAATAAATAAATCTTGAAAAAAAAAAGGCAGACTCATTGCTCTTTATAGCCATCGGGGGCAGGTGCCAGCTTTGATTTTCCTGTTGCCTGCACGCCCGAGGCCTGGTAAGTTCTTCTTCGTGTCTAGCCTCTATCTCTTTGACCGCTTGTTCTTCCCTCTGACCAGACAATGCCTCCTTGTTGCTTCCTATCCCCCCATTTTAGCCGCTGAGGCTGGGGGGCTGGTGAGAAACTGGGTTAACAGGGAGCCCCCCGCCTGTCCCTGGGCAGTGTTCCCAGCAGGGGAGTCAGAGGCAGGATGTAGGGGCTGGTGTGGGGTTTTTTTCCCCTTTTGGTAAAACCAAAGGCTCCTTGTTGCTTTTGTTGATGTATTTTTGTTCCTCTGTGAACAAAAAGCTGTGGTTTTTGAAGGGGTCCAAGGCTGGAAGGGGCGAGGTTGCATGTGGAAAGGGGGAGCTGGGCTTTCAGGCTCTCTGGTCTGTTCTTGTTCTGCTCCTGGCACACAGCTCCCACAGGGCTGGGGCGGGGAGCAGTGCTGACAAGCCGTCCCGTCACAGCCAGGCCTTAGTGGAGATGTGCAGCGCCTCTGCGTCCACCCTGACCCTGTGGTCCCTCCAGGCTGGAAGGTGACCCTGGGACCCTCAGCCAGATGCCCCTTCTGCTGCAGTCTCACAGGTCATTGGACTCCTACTTTAGAAAAATTTGAAGGAGACACCTGACTTGGTGCCTGTGAGGCAGGTGTCTTTCATAATGGCCATGCTTGGAAACAGTTGGGTTCGAAGGGTGACATGCTTTGTTCTTGACCGGCGGCAATAAACGCAAGTTTCCCTGGGCTCTGAGCTGGGAGGTGGGGCTGGGGCAAAGAAGAGGCAACCCGAGCAGGCAGCTGTGCAGGAGGGGGAGTGCATTGGTCAGGGTCTCTGTCCTTGATGTGGAGCTTTTCGGTTTATCAGTAGAATGGACACAGTGATAACCCCTGCCTTCTAGCCCAAAGCCTTTGGCAGATTCCAAGAGAATGTGCTCAGGAAGTCACTGTGCATCTGTAGCTGCTGCCAGCAGCTGCCTGATTGCCCGCCGGGTCCCTGTCTTTGTGCGGGTGGTAGCTAGGTCCTTTCCCCTGGCCCCCGGCTTCCTGTCCCTGCATGCTCTGTCTTCCCCACAGCAGCTGATATTACTGCTGAAGGGTGGGGAGGGGCATCCTTGGAGGGTCCAGTGCTTGGAATGATTAACAAGGGGCAGAGCACAGACTGTTGGAAGGGACAAAGAACAGCTGTCCTCAGCTTCAGGCCAGGGCTGGGGTGTCCTGATCTCTCCACCGCGCCCTTGTTGCCTTGCCTGGCCCAGTTTGATCGGGCTGCGCTGGGTCACTAAGTGGGATGGGTGGTGCACCCATTGGCACACATGCCTCCATCTGTCTGGGGTCCCAGTGTAAAGGGTGAGGGACAGAGAAAGGGAGTAAAGGGATAAAATTCCCCGCAATTGTTTCTGGAAGGAGGTCACATCTGCTGGAGCCCTCTTGGAAGGCAGTCATGTTGGTGGGGGAAGGGCGCAGCCCTGATGTTCCTGCTAAAATCAAACCCAAGCCTGCCCGCCTTACCTCAGCTGTGTGCAAGGCTCCTGCAGACAGTCTCCTGGTTTTGCCCTCACGGGCTCCTCCGCAGTTGAGGATGTCCCTGCTGTCTCTGTCTCCTCCCCACCCCCACAGACTTCCCCTCTCTGTCTGCTGCTTTGGCGCTCTCCTGCCTGGAGCTGAGGATGAGGTTGCCATGGGAACCTGAAGCGCTGTGAGCAGGGAAGGGAAAGGCAGGGTTGTCTCACTAGGGTTGGGGGATGTGGGCTATGGAGAGGGGACAGGGTTGACCCATAGGGAGGACTGCAGCCTACCTTCCTCCGGGCTGGGGGTTCAGGGGCCAGGGTAAGAGTGGGGACTCTGGAGCTCTTTAATCTAATTAACCTGATGCAGGATTAATGTCCTCCTCCCCTGCCAGATTAAGCCAAGTTCTAGGCTGTACCCCCCAGCTGATGGGATTAGTATTCTGACTGTGGGGAGCTGAGATCTGGGGTAACGATGGCTACAAAGAGAGGATGAAATACCCTCCAACCTGAACTTGCAGCATGTCGGGGGGCTTCCGAGATCCTCCTGGTGGCATGCAGAGAGGGCTGTGACGGTGCTGTTGCACGAGGGCCTGCGGCCTGTGTCTGGGAGGCACGCACTGCCGCGGAGGCCTGGATCTGTATGCATGGTGCATGAGGAAGAACGCGGTGTGTCGGGCCTCGGGACTGCGGCATGGGGACGTGTGCCAGGTGCACGTATCTGGTGGTCCTTGGGCCCCTGGGGGTGACACTCCATTTTAACTCTGTACATTCGGTCTGCCCCAGGTTGGCAGACTGGCTCCCCAGGATAGGTGCCAGCCATCCTTCCCCACCAAGGGCTAACCAGTGCCAGCCCCAAGAAACCAAACCTGCAGGTTCTGGGAGAGCAGCGCTGGGGGACTGCTGCTCCATCCCAGACCCGGGGCCTGAGCTGTCTCCTCTGCCTCTTGAGTCTCTGCTTACAGACACTCCTCACCATAACCGCACCACTACCCCCTCACCCCCCTACCCCCACCCCAGGATGCCTTCAAAATGCTTTGGTGGGAGGGTCAGCTTCAAAGCCTCCACTCCTAGGACCTTTAGGGCTGGGCAGTGCTGCTGGAGATCTTGCTTTGATCCTTCCTGCTGTTGTCTTTCTGATATCTGGAAACAGCCTCCCAGTTGGTCCTCCCATTCCCTGAAGCTGCTCAGGGATTTTGAATGGACTCCTCAGCTGTGGGACCCGCAGCCTCAGCCCTGCATTCTTCCTCGGACCATTTCAGGTGTCAGCTGCAAGCACCTGTGTTTGCTTTGCAGTCTCCTCCCTCCCTCCCTTTGCTGGGAGAGTTGGAGGTTGACCTGGGAGGCAGGACACTGGGGGAGGGGCACAGCTGGAACCGCCTGGGCCCAGGACATTGCAGGCTGCTCTAAGGAGAAAGGATCTGCTGGCATCACCCAGTCAGTGGCAAGGCAGAGCCCAACACTGCGCCCTTTCTACTCATGCCCCTCCTTGGTTTAGTCTTCCACACTCCTCAACCATGGTGTTCCAGAGGGAAGCCATGTGAGTGCAGGCAGTTCTCACTCAGGGCGGTGTGGGCAGCAGGAGGACGTGCCAGGTTTGGGGAGCGCACAGAGGTAGCTCCTGACCAGCTGCAGGGCGTGTCAGCCAACCGGGGTGGAACATGCCTGGGAGGAGACCGTCCTTCCCTCACCCGGGACAGCCTGGGAATCAGGAATCTGCTGGTGGTCACCATCGTGGTGGAGTGTGGTCAGCCAGGGCTAAAAATGGCCACATCCCAGACTCCTGCTTGGAGAAACCACCCCCAGTCCCTGAAATAGCCAGGGCCCGTGTTGACCTCTTGCCATGGCGCTGCCGACGCATACCCACAAACCAGACACTGGGGGCTTCCTCTCCTCTGGCTGGTTCGCTGGGGGACTTCATGATGACCAGGCAGGAAGGAGACCCACCCGGCCCAGCTTCATCGCCCATGTGACATTCACATACTCCACACATCTCTTGACTACCAGGTACTGTTCCTGGGGTGAATCATTGAGCAAGAGACCAAAGATCCCTCACTTCAGGGACACATAGAAGACAATGAACCAGTGTGATAAATAAGTCACTTATGAAGCCAGCTGAGTGCCTGGCGCCAGCACGCTATTTCCTCCCCTGGGAAATGAGAGGGTTGGCCCGGATGGGCCTGGAGGTCCCCGTAGGCTTGGCTCTGAGGGTGGCCTGGCTCCTACTCCTTCCAGGTCAGCCCTCTCTCTGGGGACAGGCCCCTGCTCTGTCTTGTGTTTGCAGTTTGTAGGTTGACTCAGATGCCGGGCCTTGGGGGGGTGTCTGGGTGCAGATCAGATGCCACCACCCTTGACCAGGGGCCACATTGTTTAAGCTTCCTGAGCCTTAGCTCTCCCATGTGTCTGAGGGGAGCAATGCCGGTGTGAGTACTGCTGGACTAAGGAATGTGAGCCCTGAGCACAGGGCAGATACCGATTGTTCGAGTGTTCATGTGTTACCTGTCACCAGTGGATGACCTCCTTTCTGGCCTCAAGCTGATCTCACCTGCCCCCCAAGGTCCAAGGACCTTGTTTGCCCTTGAAATTCTACTTTTAGATGTGTCTATATGTTCTCCCTTTCTCTGTTTCTCACCCCATACCCTATCCCCCTCCTTCTCCTTCTCACCCCATACCTTATCCCCCTCCTTCTCCAGGAAGCCCTCCTGGATATGCATGTCTCATTCCCTTTCTGTCTCTGTGTCCCCTCCTCTGCCTGACTGGTCTTCATTTCTGGTCCAAGCTGAACTTTGTCCTGACCCCATGCTCATGGTCTCCCCAGTCTGGCTGGGCCTCCCTGTGGCCCTGCATCCTCAACCTCCCTGTGTGGTAGTCTGAAAGGCCTGGGTTATCACCAATCAAGCGTGATCTGAAACCCTCAGAATGTCCCCATGGCCTCCCTTTGGCCACTTAGGCCTGATATGTCTTTTTTTTTTTTTTTAAGATTTATTTTATTTATATATGCATACAAGAGCTGGGGTATAGTCCAGAGGTGGGGGTAGTGGTGGTGAAGAGGATTCATCAGAGACAGAGTGAGGAAAAGAACAGGCAGACTGATTGAAATACACTGCTGAGGGGAGCAGCGGGCCAGACAGGAGAGGTCTGCTGCACCATGTGGGTAGCTCCCTGGCCAGGGATTGAACTCGCTCTGCAGTGGCTGCTGATAGTTTCATAGTGCTTACACTTAAGCCCTTGCACCACCGGGGAGGCCCCTGATATGTCTTCCTTGTCTAGCTCAGGTGAGTCTGAGAAATACTCATCTCCCTTCGGCCATGGGTCGGGGACACCCCGGTCCTGCTGCTGGGCAGGGCCTGCCCAGGGATTTGAGGAACTTTCCAGGAAAGGTGTCAGAGGTCTGTGAAAGCCTGGAGCTCCCTTCCTTCCCTCAGAGTGACCCCCACTCTTTTCTGTCCTGCAGACACTACCCCAAGCAGTCCTTCACCATGGTGGCTGACACCCCGGAAAACCTCCGCCTCAAGCAACAGAGCGAGCTCCAGAGTCAGGTGAGGGGCGGGGCAGCCCCCGTGGCGGTGGGGGAGGCTGTTGTAACCCCTGGGTTTGGCAACGACTCCTTCCCCCTGTGGTTACTTAGCAAGGCCAAGGTGCTGAAATCCTGGCACTTGCCCTGTCTCCCTGCCCCCCACGCCTACACACAGTTACTTCATATTTCCTGACTTTATCACAGGAGTGGGGAGAGCGTGCCCCCTTCCTACCTAAAGTGGGCTGGAGAGGTGTGGGTGTCCGATTTCTTGCTCCGGGATATTTCACATGGATCAACTTAAAGTCTGCCTCCTCCAGGAAGTTGTTTCTCTTTCCCTCCTCGCCACTCACAACCGCCCCAAAGGACGGGCCTCTCATCTTTGTTTGGCACATGCCACCCCGAGGCTGCACAGCCTGCCCTCCACAGCCGTGTCTCCAAATCTCCATCATTAGCAGGCCAGGGGTGAGGGGCCTGTCCTGCCTTCGTCTCTTTGGGCCTGATTTTTCCGAGTATCTGCTGTGGCGAGAGAGGGGGTGCCACAGAGGAATGAGCAAGGGACCCAGAACCCTGAGACCAGAGCAACCACTGTCTCTGGAGGCCTTGTGGGTGCTTCTTGGGACAAGCCTGGCTGCATCGTGGGGTGGGGTGGGGCTTACCAAAGCCCCCTTGGGAGACTTCACCCAGCGAGCAGGGTGCACAGGGCCAAGAAGATGTTACAAAGGATCCACCTGGGCCACAGAAGGGCATTGCCCCTGCCCCCCTGGGGGGTGGGATCCCACCAGCTGATGGTGATATGACTCTGGGCACCTGGCTTCCAGTCAGTCATGTGACTGGCTTGCTTTCTGTCATCAGTTCTCCCAGCAGCCCTTCGAGGAAGAAGCTATTTCCTCCTTTTTTTTTTTTAAAGATTTATTTATTTATGCATACAAGAACTGGGGTATAGGTCAGAGGTGTGGGGGGTGAGAGGATTCACCAGAGACAGAGTGGGGAGCAGAACAGGCAGATCTAATGAAATATACTGCTGAGGGGAGCGGCGGGCGAGTCAGGAGAGGTCTGCTGTGCCATGTGATTTGCTCCCTGTCCGGGGATTGAACTCTTGCTACAGTGGATTACTTCACAGTGATGACGCTTAACCCCTTGCGCCACCAGGGAGGCCCCTGTTTCCCCCTTTGTACAGATGAGGAGACCAGGCGCAGATCATGCGGCGGCAGTAGTTGACAGCAGCAGGGTGGTGTGCTCTGCGCACATTAGCTCATTCCGTTTTATGGAAGAGCAAATAGATGTGCCTTTGAATGGTGACCTGCTGGGACTCTGGCACTTGTGTTCTTTCCCCTTTTTCCACCCAGCTCCCCAGGAGAACTATCTCCACCTAGATAATAAGGACAATAGTTCCTTATACTGGGGAGAACTTTCGATGCTTAACAAGTGCTTTCAGCTCCTTCACCTCATTTATCCTTGACCTGCTGGGGCGGGCGGGGTGGGGTGGGGTGGGGTGGGGTTGGGGTGTATCAGAGGAGGGAGCCGAAGCTGAGGGAGGCAGCGGACTCTGTTCCCTGACACACACGGTAAGTCAGGTTTTCAGTCTTGGGCTCAGAGTCAGTGACCTTGACCGGGGCAGTGAGACCTGGGTCCCATGTGGCCTAGTAGGGAGTAACTGGGGAAGCTTGTTTATCCCAGGACAGCAGCCACGTCTTTGGGTGCCAGACCTATGCCTACTGAGTCGGCCAGGTGGCCCAGCTGCAGGAAAGGGGTTGAGGGTATGCTGGGCCGGGCCTACCCTGCACTGCAGAGGAGGGTGGGGCTTCACAGGGCAGGCAAACATACTAGGGCCACCTTTACACACCCCACAGCTTGAGGGGGGCAGTCAGAGACCCACCAGAGAGACCTGGAGGCCGAGGTGGAGCAGAGAACCGCAGGTCTTTGAAAACTGTGAGGAGTGTTCACACACTCAGGCAGAGGCCAGGGACACATACTCCTATTCTCAGGAGGAAAATTAAGCCTCGCTAATTCCCTAGCCTTTGTAGTGCCACAAAAGCTCAGCTGCGTCTCTTTTTGCCCCTGGAACCTGACCCCTGAGAGGCGGGGTCTGGGTGAGGAAGCGCCCCAGCTGGCCTCTGGCTCTGGAACTGGATCAGAGCAGGGAGCAGGTGGACAGTGTGGGCTCACTGCTGGCAGGAGCCACCTCTACTCCTCCTGAGGGAGGTGGGCACCATGCACAGGATCTGAAGGCTCCTCTGCTTGACCTGTGCCCCCTGCTTGCCAGGGGCCTGGCTTGCTCCTCACCTCCAGGGGGTCTGGATTTCTGTTGCTCAGCAGTCACTGTCATCAGGTCCTCACTGATAAGGTCCTAATCTCTTGCAGGTCTTGACCACATTTAAACCCCTCAGCTGCCAGATAAAGGAGAGACATTCTTGTATCTCCATCGCACAGAGGGGCACTGAGGTTTAGAGAGACCCCCGTGTGCCCACAGCACAGAGGCAGATTTCAAGCCCTTTGCTGGAAGCGATTCAGCCCGCTGTTGGCCCCAGCCCAGGCCTCAAACCGTACGACTACTGATTGTTGGGAGGCTTGTTCAAATGCAGCTTCCTAGACCTCTCGAAAGGGCTTCTGGTTGGCAGTACAGGACCCAGGAATCTGCATTTTGATTCACTTGGTGATTCTGATGAGGGCTTTTGGTCCCACAGATGGACTTGAGAGGCTTGGAGCTGGGCTGGGAGCCAGAAGGAGGCAGTCCTCGGTAGAGCATCATGAGCGTTTACCTTTTCTGCTTGAGGGGTGTCCGCCACAGGAGGTAGGGCTCTGCCCTGAGGACATCTCTGTGATCTGCAGTTGGGGTTCCTGGAGACTAGGGCAGGCAGAGGGTGGATCAAAGGGCCCTGCTGCCTTTCACAGCCTGGCTTTGTGTTCCTTCTACCACCTACTGGCTGTGTGGTCTGAGGCTGGCCGCTGCCTCCCCGGAAAAGTGGGGACAGCAAACTCCAAGAGCCTGAAGGTTGGGGGCTGGGACTGGTGCTTTGGAAGGGCTGAGTGGGCCTGCCTGGGGCTGGCGACAGGACCTAGTTCCTGTGGCCCTTGTGGGGGCAGAGCTGGCTACAGCCACCTGTGCTGGCAGGAAGAGAAATAGGGGCCTCCCCTGCCGCACCCCACCAGGTTTCTTCCCAGGCGCCTTCCTGGCCCTGCCGCCTCAGGTCTCAGCCCTCCTCTGGGGAGCTGCTTCTCCTATCTCTGGATTGGCTCCCAGAGCTGTGCTGTGGTTGTCTGGGACACCTGTCTTGTCCCCTGTGGGGGAGGTGACCACAGGGATGACCGGAAATGACCCTCTGGGTGGTCCTATCCAGCCTGGCTGAGGCTGGAACTGGCAGCTGGGTGTCTGGCAGAGTGGAGGCAGCAGCTTTGCTGTGCGTGAGTGGGGGCTCGGCTGGCGTGTCTGTGCAGCTGGGCGGGTGAGAAGTGTGAGGAGGGTCTCTTTCGTTCCTGCTCATATCACATCTGCATGGCGCTGTGCCATCCCTACCCAGCATGGGAAATGCCATGGGGGACAGGAGAGTGCAGGGGCCCCATGCTCTTATTTTGGATCCTGTGGCCAGCACGGCCGGCAGCACACCTGTCGCCTCTTACCTGAGCCAGCTGGCCCAGCGTCAAGCCCACATCTCTCGCCACTAGCCGAATGACCTTGGGCACGTAGGTGATTTAACTTCTTGGAGTTTCAGTGCCTTTGTCGGTAAAGCGAGGCTGTTTGTCTATATTCGGCGTTTGGAACAGTTCCTGGCACAGTATTAGCCCTCAATAAATTTTTGCCACTACCACTCCCCTGGAAAGGAGAGGAAGCAGAACGTGGGCTCACTGTGGCTGGGGAGTGGACACAGCGACCTTTAGATGATTGCTTCCAGCGCTGACCTTTTCCACTAGCTCGCCTCCCCATCCATGTGTCTAATAAAAAAAAAAGATTTCTTTTTTGTTCCAAGGGGGCAAGTTACAGAGTATGTGGGCCCAGCACATTTAGGCACCAGAGTAAGTAAAAATTACTGGTCACTGTATTTTGCTCAATAAAAAAACATTTTTTTTTTTTAAGTCACGAGCTTTCCTCTTCTGTCCGGCCAGCAAGGCAGTTGTTTTCTAAATTATGCTGCTTATTTGGACATTTTGTGTCTACTTTCAATTCATTCATCACTCGCCCAACAAACATTTGTTTGCAGCTACTGTTTACTAGGGTAAGGGATGAACAAGATAGGTCCAGGGTGAATAATTGATAAACCTACACATAAAAAGTAGAGTTTCCTGGTGTTGGCTATTTGGGCATGAAGGATCAGGCCCTACCCTGCCTCAAGTCCTTGAGACAGGGCCCTGGGCCAGAGCACTGAGCGGTCCCCTGACTGGGTGATGTTGGGCAGAGGGTCTCTTCCTTCAGCAGAGACACCCCCCCCATCATGTCCTGGTGAGGGGTCCCAGACCAGGGCACATACTCCTGCCTGGGTGCCAACAGGGCCCTAATGGACAGGCTGCAAGCCAAGCCCATTCTATGTCCTGGCTGCCTACACAGGACCTCCACCACTCCCTCCAGCACCCAAGGCCTCTCAGAGACCCTTCCCCACCTGGTTCTCCATAGTGAGGACCTGCAGAGGCTTAAAGACGGCACAATCGCCAGAGCTGGGAGGGGCTTTTAGAGATAGCTAAAAGCTGCCCCAGAGAGGGGGACTGGCTGGCCCAGGGACACAGCAAGTGGTGCTGAGTGTAGCCTTTACTCTGCCCCAGCCCTGCCCTCTCTGGGTGGCCTGTGCCAGGAGTGAAATGAATTATCCTTCCCTAGCAGGGAGGGAGAGGCAGTTCCCGAGCCTGGGAACTAACTGATGTCATCGCAGTGTGTCGCCATGGCGATTATTCCTCTGGATTAGGAGGCTGAGCCTTGCAAGGCCAGGAAGTAGGGGAAGAAGTGGGGCCATTTGTTCAGCACTTTAATGTTGACGAAGCACTTTCTCCCCTACCCGCACCAGCTTGGAGTGGGTCCTTTTGCAGGCCCCGGTGCGTGTCTGGGCCTTAGAGCCGCAGCTGTGACCTGCACCTTTGATTGGAGTGGATGGTATTATGATCCCCAATGTATAGGAAACTGAGGCTCGAGAGGTCAAGTCATTTGGCCAAGATCCCTTAGCAAGGGGGAGACTGAGCCTGTGTTGGTACCAGCTCCCTCTGGCTCTACCTCTCTTGGGGATAGGATGCCCCCTCCCAAACCTTAGCTGGTTCCTGTGACAAGTCTTTCACAGGCCTCTGGCCATGGATTTGGGACTTCTGCACGTTGCGATACTGCATCAGGGCTGTTTTCTGATGCTAAGTGTCTTACCTTCCTTGAGGCCCAGAGGGCTCCTCATGCCCTCCATCCCCATCCCAAACACTAAGATGCCTGCTGGGGCTTCCTGGAAGAGCTTATTGCTGGGGCAGTTCTGGCCTTCAGAGGTGTGTTGGCACCTGCATCTACATTGTGGGAAGTAGCATGTCCAGGCTTTTGTTTTTAGCCTGCATGAGAACAAAGGAGGTTCTGTAACCTTTTAGGAAGGGGAACCCCATGGATGGATGGACTAGGGCTCCAGGAGACAAACAAGTACTTTGGAGGGTGTGCAGAGGAACTGACAGGTGTGGCCATAGTGTGTGTGTGTGTGTGTGTGTGTGTGTGTGTGTGCGCGCGCGTGCGCGCACAAGTGATCGTGTGGGTCAGAGTGTGGCCGGATGGCTCCAGCCTGGGCGCTGCCTGGGCCTCCCATCCTGGAAACTCCCAAGTCCAGGGCCTGGTGTCCTGGACTGACCTGCCTCCGGACAGTGCAGCCCGTGGCGGAAATACAGGCAGCTGGTGGGCGTTGAACAGCTGGCTGCTGGGTGGACGTGATGTCACTGCAAGCTGAGGCAGTATTCTGTCCTGGGGGCATTTCCCACTTCCATTTTGTTCTTGAAAACCCCCAAGGGAGAATAAGATGTTCCTTATATTCAGTTCAGTTAGTGTTAGGGAAGTCCTGACTTGAGTTTCTCTAGTACGCCTTTTCCACGGTGTTCTTGGAAGTGGTGGGTGGTGGGGTTCCTCCTTGGAGCTCGCACCGCTGTTCTGCGGTGCTGTCTCCTCTCTGTCTCCACCCCTGGCCAGTTTCACCTGTCCCGTGGCATTGGCCACAGAAGCCGGCATGGAGCTTCCCGGAAGCCACCAGTTCTGTCTGAGGCTCATTAACGAGCCTCCTTTCTGGGTGCCCACTGTGTCCCTGGGCACAGCCGTCCCTCAGCATCCCTGTGCTTCTGGTGGGTAGGGCTGGCTCCTGCCGAGGGTGAGAGCTGGGCTGTGCAAAGACCCCTCCTTCCTTCCGTCAGGCAGGGGGCAGGCAGGGCTTGTGGCTCGGTGGCTCTGGACATTTGCTGCCGATCCATGTGACCGTGGGCCGGGGGCTTTGCCGCTCTGTGGCTCAGTTTCCTTAACTGCACTAGGGAGCTAATAATAGTATCTCGTAAGGCGTAAACGGCATAGTTCGTGTAAGGCGCTTGGCACTGTGCCTGCCACGCAGGGTGCCCCGAATACATATTAATGTGTTAATACTTTTTTGGCCAAGGCTGCTGCTTTGAGTTGGGGTGTGGGGTGGATGCCGCCACAGTGGGATTTCTGGCCAGAATCTCTTCCCGGCTGGTGGCTGCCTTGGGGGTGGCCAAGGCTGGGGCCCTCCCTGCCCGCCCTGGCTTGACTCCAGCCCTTGTCCCCGCTTGGTATTCCAGGTGCGCTACAAGGAGGAGTTTGAGAAGAACAAGGGCAAAGGCTTCAGCGTGGTGGCAGACACACCCGAGCTCCAGAGAATCAAGAAAACCCAGGACCAGATCAGTAACGTAAGTGCCCTCTAACCACCTGCTGGCCCCTCCCTGCCAGCCTGGCAGACACCAACGAGGCCGGCGCTCTGCTGCTCCTGTTCTCCAGGGCTGCCTTGCTGGTGGCTGCTTGAGCAGAGGGAAGGGAAGGGTTTGGGGGTCCCAGAGGCTTTCTCTCATTTCCTGCTCACTGCCCACATGGCATTTCTGCACTGGGGGTGTGTGCCAGGAGGGCCTGTGTGCTAAATCACCCCCACTTTCTTTGATGTTTTTGTTTTGCTTTTTTCTGCCCTGGAGATTGTGGGTTTCCGGGTCCAGACTGGCAGTTTTGTCTAAGCTCAAAGGTCAAAGTGAAAACTGGGTGGCAGAGATGGGGAGGCGTCGGCCTCTCTTGTCTGCCTCTGGGTGCTGACATTGCAGTCATTTCCGCCCGCCCTGGGCCCCTTCCCCCACCTTGGCTAGCTCTTCCTTCCTGTTTAAAAACCCCAGTCTGCTTTGCCCGCTGCCTCGCACCCCCTGTGCTGGACCTCCTGGGCTGGGGCCGGCCAGCAGTGCCTGGCTGGGTCCGGGCTTGCATGAAAGAGTGGGCGGTACATCGATGGGGCCCCATGGCACCCCTGGCCAGAGAACAGGTCTGGGTTTCCTGCTTGGCAGAACCAAAGACCAATAGCCCATGTGACTCTGAGCTTAAGGGGAGGCAGCTAAGGGGGCTTTGGGCTACGTGGGGCAAGGTGCTGCTATGAGCCACCAGCACAGCACATGGGCTGCAGGCCCACACACGGGTTCTGTGTAGCGTCCTGGGACATGGAGGGGCAGGGAGTGTCCAGCCAGCCTGGGCGATGAGGGCTTGTCCTTGAGGAACTGGGCAAGCAGCTGTCCTCACATCTGGCAGGAAGGCACTGGTGAGCTGCCCAGTGTCAGCATGGGCAGAGGGGCTGGGGATAGAGGCTATGGAGGGCGAGGATTTCAGGTGGCCCAGTTGGCACCCACCCCTGGCTCCACACCCCTCCTGGGATGCTACCTCCTTGGTGGGACACTCCTTCTGAGCTTCTGGGCCTAGTTTAGAGAGGTGCCAGCACAGTTCAGGTGGATTTCAGAAGCCAGGGCTCTTGTCAGGAGAGCCAACCCCTGCCCAAGGTGTGGCTCTCCAACATGGACTGCGACTGACCACGTAAAATAAATCGCTTGCTTAGGTAGAGAGAAAACATGGTCAGAGCTTTCGTGCAAGAGTTCTTAATTTGGAGAGCGTGCAGATATTATCTGTTCTGTTTTATTTTGTAAAGATGCGAGTTGCAGACTTAGCTAAATGGTTTCCATGAGGTTGTTGACTGTTGACCTGCAGTTTGCAATTCATGATGCCCTTGGGCCTGGGTTGGGGGGGTGACGGGGCGGGGCATGCCTCCAGGACTGTGATCCCTGGTCTCCCTTGTCCCCCTCCTCCATAGCTTGTTTTAGTTGCTTCCTTCTCTTTTTCCAGCATTCAGTCCTCTTTGTTTCCTTTTTAAGGTATTAAGATTTTGTTTTTTATAGAATACTTTAAGGTTCACAGCAAATTTCAGGCGAATGTATAGAGATTTCCCAGACACCCTTCCTCCTACTCATACACCACCTGCCCCATCACAGCCTCGCCTGCAGAGTGTACATTTCCATCCATCTACACTGACACATAATCACTCCAAGTCCAGGGTTTGTGTCAGGGCTCGCTCTTGGTGGTATAGGTTCTGTGGGTTTTGAACAAATGTGCAGTGACATGTCACCACAAGGTAGTCCCGTACAGAGTAGTTTCCCTGCCCTAAAACCCTCCTGCTCCACCTGTTCGCCCTCCCAGACCCTGGCAACCACCGATCATGTCACTGTCTCAACAGCTTTGACTTTTCCAGAATGTCATATAGTTGGAATTGCATAGTATGTCGCCTCTCTTGTTACTTCTTGATAAGCTGGGGCCTGGTTTCACACCCCAGAACTTCCTCCTGTGGTTTTTCATAGTGAAGACATTTTGTCTTTTATGGTTGACACTCGCTCCCCCTCTGCAGCCCCAACTCCCCGACACACTCATTGCTTCCAGCCTGTGGGTTTTAGATGGGAGCGGGATGGGGTGGTGGAGTGAGGACAAGTAAGCCCAGTCATCCCTGCCTCCCTCCTTCCTGGAAGGCTTCCAGAAGACTCCACATCCAGCTGATCGCACTGCTCTTCTTCCCCCCGCCTCGTTAATGGAGGTGTTCACATCTGGGCGTCCTGGTCACCGAGCACACTGCGTGCGGCCAAGACATCCACACCGGAGAGATAGCCATCTTATCGCTAACCACAGGCTGCATTTAGCTAATTGCCTTCTGCTCCGAGCTGGGGTGTGGAGATGTCTTGAAGCTGACATGGTTCTGCTTTTGCAGCTTTGGTTGGGTCCTGTGAGGTGTGACCACAAAGCTGGGACTCTTGGTTTTAGTGACTGCATTTAGAATCTTACAGGGGCCTTCACACAGCTGTGAGCATCTCTTGGGAAGGTTTGTTGAAAATGCAGATTCATAGTTCTCTTCCCTGGGCCACCCAACTCAGCATCTCAGAGAGGGCCTCAAGAACCAGCATCTTACACACATCCCCTGGGTCACTGGGCTGCTCACTGACGTCTGAGAACCATTACCTAAGAGTCTGAAAAAGCTTCATCGAGGCCTCAGTCAGAGGGCACCGGGCCTGGCTGCACCCTGAACTCCAGGAGACTCCAGACCACACTTAGAGCCATTACTAAGTTGTTTCACCTCCAGAAAGGCTTGGGAAAGATGCTGTTTAGAAGCCTCCCTTTTGTTATGTAGCTAAATTGGTGTACCTGTATGTCGCTTGCTGCTCACCTCCCAGGTGAGTGTATGAAGTGAGCACCTGTCGTATTTAACTTAATGCTAAGGACCTAGCTGGAGGATCTGACAGGCAGAGATGATGCCTAGTCAGTGAAAGAAACCGCTGGATACAATTAGATACAGAACTGTTTGATATTTACAGGATCACAGAACCATAAACTTCAGAGTTATCCTTGCTACAGACAGAAACTCTTTGCATTTCTATCAGTCAAAAATAATTAGCAGCTTATATTCTTTAAGTTAGCTGCAGTTTTTAGAGTCTGTGCCTAATCAGTAAATAGTTAAGATGAGGAAAGTTCCAGCCCCAGAGTCAAATGGCATGGAAGCAGCCTTGTTGGATAAACCTTAGCTTAATTTTATTTATAGCTCTAATTTCAACTATGCATTTCTAAACATGAGTTTTGTTTTTCCTGATTTTGAACATAGAACATGTGTTCTTTTGTGTCTTGTTTCCTTTGGGTATTGAGATTCCTAGATTGATTCATACATAGATTCATCTATGTATGTTTGCATATAGCTGTAGTTTGTTCTTGTTCATTGCTGTGTAATATTCCCTTTGGACCTTCAACCACATTTTATTGCTCCTGGTGCTCATTGGCCTTTGGATTGTTTCCCCAAGCTTTGGATGTCCTCATATTGTATAGTGGTTCAGGTTTTGATGTGAGGACTGAATTCTGGCACCACTGCTTATCTACCTCCTGAGGCTTGGCTTCCCCATTTGTAAAAGGGGGATGATAAGAATATATTGTTCTTGGACTGGTGAAAAAAGGAAATGATAATTCATGTAGGGGCACAAAATAGGCCCTCAAAAAATAGCAGATGTTCCAAAAATAGACCCTGGCTAGCGAGTTGATTCTTCCATTCAAAACCTGATGACTGTCTGTAGCCGTGATATAGAATCATGTGGGAGTATGATTTGTTTTCCACCACAATCAGAAGAGCAGAAGGTCCAGAAAACAGAACATTTGCTAGCAGAGAAAATGCGTTTTCTTTAGTGTTGGAACAAACTCTCAAGCAGTAATCCCAGAGTTCTGGCCAATAGTGGCCTGGGCCTCTCAACCCCCATGTCCCTGGATCTTGGGGCTCAGTAGAGCCTGTGTCCTTCCATGAGACCCAGGTCAGTTCTTAAGCTGGGGCTCTGCTGACATTTCTGGATGTATGATGACTCCCGTTCGGGGCCTTAGGTGGTCAGAAGTTTGCTGAGCTAGGATCAGAGATCTGCCAGGCCTTTGTAGTCTAGAAAACATTTCTTTTCCTATTGGATGTAGAAAGCTCTTTTAATGTGCCTGTTTGCTTCACATACTTAGGCAGGTCAGCAAAACAATAGCAGTGTGCTCATTTGCTGGGGGAGGGGAGAGAGAGGCGGCAGGGCCAGGCACCGCCTCTGTGTTCCCTTGCCTGGCACCCTCTTCTCTCCAAGTTACTGTGACCCTCTGACCAGCCTCCTTGCTGAGAGTGAAAGCGGATGCTATTAATATTTGTTCCAGAAGAGAAGACTTGAACTGGGACTAAGAGCAGACTTGGGTGTGGGGTCACCTGTTCCCCGTCTGCTCTCAAGAAAGAGCCCCTCTGGTTGTGACTCTGTCCTATGTTACCAACCTCAGCCCTTAGCTGGGGAAAGCTATGCTGCAGGACATCATTTAACTTGGGAGCTTTATTTTCCTATTCTGTAAAATGGAAATTATAGTGTAGCTGTCCGACTTGTATTTAGGTTGATTATTGCCAGAGCCAAGGGCAATAATATGTAAAGAGTCTTTATGAATTCAATGTGAAGAGCTGAGTAAATGAGGAGGTTATTCATGTTAATAAACAACAGGTGATGCCTGCAGCCATGGGGGCAGGATTTTGTGTTCAGGCTGCCACTACGCCATCTGCCTGCATCAGCTGGCCCTGGTTTGATAAATATTTACCCAAGAGTAGGGCCTCTTTAAGCAGCTACTTGTGGAATCACATATGTCCATGCTTGCTTTTAGCTCTAGGGTTTGGTTAGGCACTGTAGGGGCAGGAGGACACGGAGCAGGTTTTCTAATCCAGCAGACTGGGTAAAGGAGGAGAGAGTGAGTCCTGGAGCCCTCAGTGGCTTTTGTAGGCTTTTATTGGGATTTACCAGGCACACAGCAGGCAGGGGTGCTGGGGGGGCCGGGAGGCTGACAGGCCTCCCAGCCCCCAGCAAGTCTTCACTCTCTCTGGGCTCTCCGGCCTTCTCTCTGCTTCTCTCATGGTTCCCTGCTTCTATGTTTCTTCTTTGCTGGCGTCCCCGTGACACCACCCTTAAAAGCCCAGTCTTAGCCCAGGTGAATCCCATCTACCTATGCCCACACCCTACTCCAGGTGCCCGCCATCAGGCATGCATTCAGGACCACAAGGATCCATCATCTGTCCTGATGGCGGGAGGGCAGAAAAGCCTGATACTTTTTACCTTACACTACAGGCACCTAGAGCGAGTTGGGACTGTCTGGGAGTGCACAGTACCGTGGCCTCATTTACAGACAAGGAAACTGAGGCCCAGAGTGGGAGAGGCCACATGAGTAAGGGAAGGGCTCTTGATCCCCCAGGGTTGTGCCAAAGGTCACAGATAGGGGACCCACGCTGGGTCTTAGTCCCTTGGCAGGGAGGGAGCTGGCACTAGACATACCCTTTTCCCCAGGGTTCTCTGTCACCTCATCATTAGCTTAGATAGGGTCACACCTGAGAGAGAGGGGACTGTCACCCGGGGTAGCTGTACCTCTAGTCCACCTCCTGCACCCACGGGCCCCGTGACAGCCTCTGTCTGCCTCCACATTGGCGGGTCACTGGCTCCCTGGACCAAGCCTCCTTTCATTAACAGAAAGTAAACACGGGAAGCTGACCTTTCCCACCCCAGGACAAAAGTCGGAAGGGCAGTTGCCTTGTGAGCCTGGAGGCCTCAAGAGGATTGTCCCCTTTCCTTGCCCCCGCTCCACCCACCAGCAAATGGGGGCTACTAAGGGGGTGGAGGTGGGGGAGATTCATCTTTTGCCCATGTCTTAGGAATCCGTGAACAGGGCACTGGCCCTTGTGTCTGAGAACTTCACCCCTGCTTGCCCTTCCTAGTGGGAGTCGGGGGCTCCTCTGGGTTCTCAGTCTGGCCAGGGTGGGCAGCTGCCCCCTCAGGAATACACTCAGTGTGTTTCACCATTCGGGTGTGGGGCCCTGCTTGGGCATGAGGGAAGGGGCAGGGAGAAGCGGGGGCTGGTCCTGATCTGAACCCCTAAGTGAGACTCTGTGCCTCCAGACCAGACCCTTCCCGGGCCAGTCCTTCCAGCCTAGGCTGCGGGGACTGACCCACTGACCGTCACTCAGCCAGCGGCAGCACGCAGGTGCTCCCAACTGGCCGGTGCTCCCAGCTGGCCAGTGCTCCCAGCTGGCCATGGCTCAGACCTGAGCTTCTGATGCAAGCCCTGTCCCGCCAAGTGTTAACCCCTGCCCTCCATGCAAAATGAATTCCAGGGGCATGGGAGGGGCCAGGGAGTAGGCAGCAGAGAAAGTGGGAGTGGATGGCCAAAGGGGACTGCCCGGGGCCAGGGGGTGGGGGCAGGTTTTGTCCCTCTTCTTTCCCTGACCTACCGCCCCCATCCCCACCCTATTTTCCACGAGATAATCATAGGGAAGGTTCCTGGTGGACCAGGAAGTGAGAACCAGTTTCCAGTCAGGTGGCCTGAGGCCTACAGAGAATTCAGGACCTGGGCCTGCCTGAGACAGGACCAATTTCTCAGTGTCCTGCTTTCCGAGTTTCCTCTAGGGGGTGTGGGGAGCTATTCTGTCACTCTCTGTCCCACTTCCTCTTCCCCTACCCCCAGGTCAGCCCAGCTTTCCTGAACACTCAAACTGCAGGCCTTAGCACCTTCCTGAGCCGCTTCCCACCCCACGGGGGGTCTTCTAGGTGGGGTTTGGGCTGCGTGCCCCTGGAGAGTGCAGGGGAAACGCTCAGGTCTTCTCGCTTGAGCTCCTTTTCATCTTACACTTTCAAAAATTCGTGTATTTTATGTAAGTTTTACAGTATGTGTTCCTTATCTGTCCAGTAGGACTGTCATTTATAAAATAGATGTAATTTAGGAGGATCGTGCTAACGTATATTTTACTGACAGGAGTGTGCATAGCTGAGGTTAGCAAACTTTCTGTGAAGGACCAAATAGTAACTATTTTAAGTTTTGTGGGCCGTGTGGCTTCTGTCCCAGCTGCTGGGTTCAGGTGACAGCTGAGAGCAGCCACAGATGACAGGTAAATGAAGGGTGTGGCTGTGTGTCGATGAAACTTTATTTTTGGACAGTGAAATTTGGATTTCAGCAAAATTTCATGTGTCATGAAATATTCCTCTTGATTTTTCCCTGCACATGTTAAAATGTTTAGGAACCACTCTGCTCAGGACCATGAGCATGGCTGAGGGACTCAGCCAGGGGAGCTTTTGCTAAATTCAGACTCACCTGGGGAGCGTTCAATAAATTCCCCTTTTAGAACCTCGGCCCTGATTTTGCAGGATCTGTGGAAGGCCTTGGAACTTGAATTCTAGCAAGCAATTCAGTGGGGTGGAAGCAGATTTTAAGAGCAGAAGCTCTGGAAGGTCTCCAGGATCCTGATCTGTTTGACGCTACCAGCCTTTGCTGAGTGCCTGCGGTGTGTGGCTTCCCCGGGCCTCATTTTGCTCATTTTTGGAATCTGACAAGAGGAAGAGTCCATCTCTAAGAGAAGGAGCACCTTTAGGAAGCACTAAGCATTTCCTGTCCAGGGATGCTGGGTCCTCGGCAGAGCATCCCTGGACTCTGGCTCTGCAGGTGGCATCTGCAGAGGCAGAATTGATTAGGAATCAATCACTTTGCTTGTCAGTGCCTTCATTTCCTTTGTGTCTGTTAAACGGGGGCTGTCATTTATAAAATAGATGTAATTTACCTATCATCTCATAGGTGCTGACAAGATAAGTAAGCCTGGGATATAGAGCACCTAGCACTGTGTCTGACACCTAGTAGGTAATCATTAAGCAGGAGCTGCCACTACTGACCCAACAGGAAGCTGGGGAGCCCCAGTTTCTGCTGTGGACAAAAATCACAACTCACACTCACCTGATGCTTTGGTTTACATGCCCTTTTACAGCTCTCATCTCCTCACCTCCTCCAGCAATGCCTGAGGTAGACACCATTTTACAGAGGTGTTCATTGTGGCTCAGCAAGGTTAAGTAGCTTGTCCAAGAGCAGACAGTTGCTCCAACCCCAGCAGAACCTGCCTCTCTCTACCTCTTCCCTCCCAGGATTGTGAGTGGCTCTGTGGGTTTGCTGTGGGTTCTTCATTCAGGGCTTTCTGCCTCTGCAGATAAAATACCACGAGGAGTTTGAGAAGAGCCGCATGGGCCCCAGCAGCGGGGAGGGCTTGGAGCCTGAGCGCCGAGATTCCCCGGACAGCAGCAGCTACCGGCGGCCCCAGGAGCAGCAGCAACCTCACCACATCCCAACCAGTGCCCCAGGTGAGACTGCAGCCTGTGTGGGCAGAAGTCCCGAGACCAGGCCAGCTACAGGTGGGAAGATGTTGGAGAGACGCCTGTGCGCTCACATATGCTTATACATGTGCACACATCAAACCCTCAGGTCCCATCCTGAGTGCCCAGGGCATGAGTCCCGGGCAGGGCCTGTGCTAGGCCCCAACATGATGGGGGAGAAGAGCTACTGCTGCAGAAAACAGCACCCACCAACATGCACCCACAGATGTACGCCTTTGAGAAGTGGGGTTGAGCTAGTTTGTGGGCTTCATGGGGGAAGACAGGGGCTGGAGGGGCTGGGTGTGACAAGACAGTTTCTGAGCCAGTCCCGTCTGTCTTACAGTTTATCAGCAGCCCCAGCAGCAGCCGGTGGCCCAGTCCTACGGTGGTTATAAGGAACCTGCAGCCCCGGTCTCCATGCAGCGCAGCGCCCCAGGCGGGGGCGGGGTGAGTAGCCCTGGTTTGAGGAGAAACTGCAGAGTTTGGAGGTCAGAGACCAGAGGTCAGAGGTAGTTGGGCCTAGAGAAGGACTTCTGGACATAGGTCATGGATTCTCCTTGGAAAACCCCTTCCAGAAGGCTTGGCTTCCCCTGACCTTTGACCCTGGCTCCAGTTGTCATCTGTTAGTAGTGTAGTGTAGTGGGCAGAGCCCTGGGCTAGGATTAGGGCCTGTCTTCCAGCACCTGCTATACCCTGGGCAGGTCAACTCCAGCTACCAGGGGGTGTGCAAGGCATACATTTCTGCTTGAGGCCTTCCAGACCCAGGCCCTGCTTCCCAGTCTTGAGAATAACCACCCCCCCCCTTTCAGATCAGCGTGCCTCTGGGGGGCCCTCCCAGACCATCCCATGACACCATGACACTTGTATCACTGGGTTCCTTCACAGTACTTTTTCAGACTTAAAAAAGTTCCCTGTTAACTTCTGTGTGTGTTCCATGGGCTTGACTGCCGACAAGGTGTCCCTTTCCTTGAGTGAGGCACAGGGCGAGCACTTGTCAGCTGGGCTGAGTAAATGAAGGAGCCACGTAGGAAGTGGGGCAAGACAAGGCTTGTCAGCCCCTGGCCTATAAGTCTGGCTCCCCCGCCCCCTCCCCGCTGGCACTGGGCTCCCCCCATGGATAGCGCCTCTGAGCTGGGTGCAAAGTAGCTCTTGGAGGAGGGGAAACAATTCTTAGAGACATAAAATAGCCAGAGATAAAGGCCTGCTGCTACCTCCTGCTCTGGACACGCAAATGAAGGCGCATCAGTGGTGGGTGGGGTGCTGGGTGGACCCAAGAATTTGTATGAAGGGTCAGGTTCCAGTCCTTCAGACACTTACTAAGCCTGACAATACTCAGGATTCTGAATAAAAGAACCCCTTCCTGCTCTCTGGAGCATTTATCCTCCCAGGCAGGGAGACAGATGCGAAAGCCATAAATAAGCAGGTATATGGTGTAAGGTCAGGCCGTGCATGTGCTGTAAAGAAAAAGATGGTGGGGGTGGGGTGGGGTGGGGGTTGAGCGAAACCTCAGTGAAGGGAAGGCGTGAGCGGTGCAAGCAGCACTCAAGTGCCAAGAGCTTCCCAGGCCTCTGCGGCAGGTGTATTCTAGGCAAGGTCGAGGATCAGCAGGAAGGCCAGTGACTGGAGAAGGGAAGTGGGTGAAAGATGGCGCCCGGTCATGTGGGGACTCGTGGGCCACAGGGAAGGCCTTTGTGACTGGTGAGCTCTGCGTAGTCACAGGGTCTGACTTGTATTTTTGAAAGACGGCTCTGGAAGCGATGTTGAGAAGCAGCAGCAGGAGGCTGAGGCGGAGAGGCGAGCTGGGAGGCTCTTACAGGATACAGGTGTAGATAGTGGTGGCTGGGCCAGAGAGACAGAGGCAGACACCGAGGTCGTTTGGGGGCCGGTGGAGCTGGTTCCTTCTACTTGAAAGGCTTGAAATGTAGTGTGGAAAAGGATCGGGACCTTTGAAGAATTTAAAGCCAGAGAGTAACATGCTTGGGTTTGCATTTGCAAAGATCCCGAGATCACGGTGGGTGAACAGCTGCAGAGGGGAGACCAGGGACTGGAAGCTGAGGGTCGGAGCAGGGATCTTAGAAGCGGGCGTGGAGAGGTGGGGGCACATCAGAGGCTTCCCATTCAGCCCTGGACCCTCATCTCTTGAGCCTTATCTCAGGACCTGGACTTGGGGACCAGGAAGGCTGAGCACCCCCTCTAGACAAGTCAAGTCGAGGGCAGGTCAGAGGCGGTCATGACCTTGGCCACCCCAAGACCCAGAGGTGGGGTGTCAGCCAAAGATTTGGGCTGAGATTGGAAGGTAGACCCTGATAGACACCCCTGTCACCTGGAGAGTCTTCTCCCGAGAAGAGGTCTCCGCCTGAACTTGGGAGTGGAGCAGACGCCTCCCAGCTTCAGACACGAAGAAGCACTCGAGCTCACGTGCAGATGACAGCCTGCGGGGCTTGGCACATCTTTACTGCCCCGCGGGTGTCCTGCATTCGGAGGTGGCGGGCAGAGAGGCCCTCACCTCCCCCCTTACCTTGTGCCTGACCACTTCGTAGATGCCAAGTCTGTTATTAAAAGGGTGATGGTTCTCAGGAAGTGCCTCAGAGGTGACAACAGCGGGGGCGGCTGGCCCTTCCTTGCCTCCCAGGTCCCCTCTCCCCTGGCCGTCTGGGGTCCCTGGGCAGGGGGCTGTGTCCCGCGCGGCTGACTGTGCCCCACCCCTGCAGAAGCGGTACCGCGCCGTGTACGACTACAGCGCGGCCGACGAGGACGAGGTCTCCTTCCAGGACGGGGACACCATCGTCAACGTGCAGCAGATCGACGACGGCTGGATGTACGGGACCGTGGAGCGCACCGGCGACACGGGGATGCTGCCGGCCAACTACGTGGAGGCCATCTGAGCCCGCCGCGCCGCCCCGCCCCATCGTCCAGTGCATTCCACGGCATCGCATCGTCCGGGCCGGACTGCCCGTCAGTGTCTGTTTTTTTAAGTCCGCGACAGCTTCTTTCTGCCCACCCTCCTCCTGCTTCTGCCAAGCGAAGCCTTGTTCTGCCGCTCCTGCGGGCTCCTTCCTCTGGCAGGTTTTCTCCTTGACCAACCTCTTGGTTTTCTCTCTGAATGGAACAGGTGTGGGCCTCTCTGGGGGAGGGCTGGTCTGGAATGGGGGACCCATCAACTCCCAGGTCTCTGTCCTCTCTCTCGCCCACCCCTCAGACTTTCCCGCTGCCCTTCTCACACACTCAAACATTCCAGGGCTGGTGAGCCCAGGCCCCCTGAGCCCCAGGGGGAGGGGCTTCCTACACTCCCACAGGGATGGGGAGCAGGTGGGGGCGGCCTTTGTGTAGGGACCAGCGAGAGGGGCTTTGCCTCTGCTTCTCAAAGACGGGCCGCTGGGCCTCCCCACCCGCGCCTCTCTCCAGGACAACAGCGGAGGTGAATTCTCGCCTCGGGATGCATTCATCTCTCCCCGCACGTGTTCCTTCTCACACTGTGATTCTGCTCTCCTGCCCGTGCAGGCCTCGTGTGGACAAGGAGCTCCCCGGGAAGCTCAGCTCGGGTTGTTCTTGCCTTTCTGACTGGGAGGGACAGCTGCAGGAAGGAGGGGGACAGGGTATTCTCTCCGCCGCCCTTTTTCCTGAGTCCCACCTCCGGTCTCCAGGACCCCTGGCTTGGAGCTGCAGTCCTGAAAGGTGGGGCCAGGAAAGGAGCCTCCCAGTCTATGCCAGCCCAGAGCCCCGAGATCTGGGTCGGGTGGGCCACTCTCCCCTGCTCCTCACTGGAAGGCAAAGGGCCTGCCCAGGACCCTCCCCAGGATGTGTGTGCGGGGGAAGGCGAGGTGGTGAGCTGGCGCATGCCCTCCTGCAGGAGACCTGCCTTCCCCTGGAGTTTTTCTGAAAACCCAGTGAGAGGAAAGGGCCCTGGGGAGAGAAGTTAACTTATGTTTTCTTTGGAGTGAAAATTCCTCCTCTTCCTCTGTCCCCCTAACAGAGGACGCCCACCTTTCCATGTGCAAGGGGATGTTGGGGCCTTGGCTTACGGTGTTGGGGGAGGCTCTGTGGCCCCAGGCATGTTCTCTTCCCCATCTCTGTCCCCTGGGCTGCAGAATAGGGGGCCAGAGGGCCCTGTTCACCCATACTGTGGGTGTCTCACTCCAGGGCCTCTCCCCCTAAAGCCCCCTAGATGCAGAAGGAGAGCTTCCCAGGCCTATAAAACTGGAAGCACAGACCCCGGATGAGGAAGGGAATGATGGTGCTATCTCCAAGTCCCTTGCTCACTCTCTGGTGGCTGTGACCCTCCTTGCCGGGCTGTCTTCATCTCTGGGCTTTCTTGTCCCCCCTCACCCTGCTCTCATTTTCACTGAGTCCAACCAGGCCCCCAGCCTACTTTACATCCTGTGTCCTGCAGGGAGGGCGGGGGCTGATGGTGCTGGCATAGTCACAGTGTCCTGGGGGTGTTTTTACCAACTGCTTTTGAGTTTACTTGGGGACACATCCCAAATCAGAAGACCGAGGAAATGACTGGAGGAGCCCCTGTCCCCCCAGTATGTCTGCATGGGTAGTGCAGACATACTGGGCAATGAGGGGGCAGGGAGGGAGCTGGTCTATTCCTTTTCCTTTGATCTCAAAGCACAACACAGATTCTGGGACCAAAGGTCAGAGACACATCCAGCTGAGGGCCTGCAGGGGAGGGTGTAAGGGCAGAGGGAGGGCCAAACAGCAGCCTGTTTTCTTTCGACTTCATCTTTGAAAACAAGGCAAGCGGACCACTGGAATCTTGCTACCAGCCCCTTACTCCTCCCATCCTAAAAATAGGGGAACTTTTCTGGTAATCCCCAGAGAGAAGAGGGACTGTCACACTGGTGCTGAGGGACCCAGGGGCTGCTGGGAGTCCTTGTTCCTTTCCACAGTCATCCATCCCTAGAAGAGCACAGAACGCGGGCTGGGCCGAACCCCAGCCTCTCCTTATAGTTCACGGTTTATTCCCAGGAAAGGAGAGGAGTCAAAGCTAGACTGTGAATATAACTTTAGTGGAACAATAATAAAAGGCAAGAAGCCCAATGGTGAGAAAAGTGAATTCTCTCAACACTGCTTCCTGTTTTCTTCCTCATGTCCCTCCAGGGAAAACTTGGTTGCTTAATTTCTGCCTTTTTTCCCTCACATATGCACTTTTGGGCCCCCTCCTTTCTTTTTACTAGCTGGAAAAAAAAAAAAACCACCCCACAAACCTGTATTTAAAAAGAAACAAATAACCATGTGCGATTTGTGTCCAAACATTTCATCGTGTGTGAAGCCGTCCTTTCATCTTTCTACTTGGGGTGGTTGTCCTTTCTTGATCTGTTTTGGTCCCCTCCCTCGTGGGCCTGTGCTTGGGAATCAAACCTTTCTGGATTAGGATTCCGAACATTTGACTTGGACCACAAGTGAATCTTTCTCCTGGTGACTCAAATAAAAGTATAATTTTTACCTGCGGACTTGGTTTTCTCCCTGGCTTTGCGGTGCTGCTGTGTGTGTGCATCTTGTTAGGGGACATTGACCCATTGTCCTACAGGGAGAGAAAGAACGTTTGGAAGCCGGCAGCATGGGAGGAAGGGAGAGGCACTTTGCCGGCTCTCCGATGGGGCCCTGGGCTCAGAGAACGCACCCACCTACCCACCTGGGTGACACTCCGAGAAGCTTCCCTGAACTCCCATGGTCTCCTACAGTTTGCCTCCCTTGCCTGTGCCCCGACCTCCCCACCAGCCAGTCTAGTCACAGAGCAGGCCAGGGTGAGGCTTACAGACAATTGTTGCACTAATGAATGAGCTCAGCTTGGGGCAGTTTTAGGTGCCTGGCATAGTAGGAGCTTGCACATCTGAAGACTGGAATGACAGGGCCTGGGACAGTGCAATGGGATGAGAAGGCCATCCCATCCAGAGCAGTTTACAACGCCTTACCAATCTTCAACACGTCCCTTTTACCTTTGGTCTCACTGAGAGAACTGTTGCAATAACCATCTTACACATGGGATTCCAAGAGACCCAGAAAAGCTGTGGTTTGGTGGAAGCTGCACAACCCAGCAGCAGGGCTGGAGTTCTAGGACTTTGTCACTGGGCACTGCCTCGCCACAGTGGATGGGACCCACGCCCTTCACACCTCTCATGTCAGCATCTCCCAGGCCCCCTACCTTGCTCCAGGTTCCCTGGACCTGACCTCTGACCAGAAAGCCAACCACCTCCCCTCTTGCTCTGCAGGGCTGGGAAGGGAGACAGCAGCGGAGAAGGAATCCAGGCCCTTCCACCCCAGCTTCATGCTGCCATTGGCCTCCTGTGCAGATGCTTCCCTCCTGGGGCTTCCGAAGGCTTCTGATGTCTGGATAGCAGCAGGGTGCAGAGGGGAAGGGCTTTCTCCAAAGTGAGTTTTTATGGTGCAGAGAAGGATGCTGCTGAGTCAGCAGGGCCAGATCAGAGCAGGGAGTGTCAGGCAGCTCGGGATAATTAAAGACAGCACACACCTGCTCCCCGCCCCAGGCCTGGTGGAAGGAACTCAGCTGGTGAATCTTGCCTCCTATTGGCCTTCTCCCTGCTTTGTCTGCAGAAATTCAGCCCCTTCTCCCCAGAAGCTGTGCTTCATTCACTTTCTGAGTAACTTAGGGAGGACTTGGGAAGATATGAGGAGGTAGTCTGCTTGGGAGGGATTCAGTGCCAAGTGTCCGGGCCCACAGAAAGCTCTATACTCTGCCTCCTGGGCACCGGCCAACAGAGGAGTTTCTAGACCCCCTTTTAGAAGTGACCTAAGTTCCTGAGGCCTAGCATGAGGAGGGGGTTACCATTGCACTTACCCTGAGATCCTTTAGTTCCTTAGAACTATTTGGGGTAGAACCAAAGGTACTAGGCCTCAAAAATGTCACAGGGTGTAGCAGCAGGATGAGCACAGGGCAGGTCACCAACCTAGTGGCAAAAGACAAGATTATTGGCACCAGCAGATGATCTACCACTTCTGCTGCCGAAGGCACTGCTCATGCAAGCGGGGAGCAACTCAGACATCTGCCGTCACATGCCAGGAGCCGTCAGGCTTCCTGGCCTTCTCCAAATGTGGTCTCGGCCACAAGCCACACCGCATCCACCCCCAGGATGCGCTCAATCTTGGATTGGCGATTCTGTACTTTGGGGGTATCGCCCAATCCTCAGGGTTGCTGTCTGCGGTCATTCCAACACTCGGCTTCCATAGCCACCAATGCGACACACAGACCCCTGCTCTCAGGCCAACCCACTGCACATGCACGTGGGTGGGGGATCTGTGGATACAGCTCTTCATGCGGCCTCTCTTGGGTCCCCTCTTTGGCTGTGGGTGCCACAAGACACGTTCCCAATGACGGGTTCCTCAGCTCCTCACCCTCACTCAAAAATGAGCGGTGCATCACCCACAGGTGATTTTCAGAGACTCACTGGCATTCTTCAACATATTTAGGCTGTTTAACAGCCGCTCAGGGCTTCCCAATCTCAGCACCAGCTTTCGCCTAAGTTGGCTTTTCCTCTGCCTGGCTGCAGAGAACTTGGCGAGGTTTCCTCCCTCAGCCAGTCGTGGGCTCTTCTACCAAGGCCCACCAGCCATGCCTTAATTTTTATCTCCTGGGGTTTATAAACAACACCATCCATCCCCAGGGTCCCCCAAAACATAACCTGCCTAAGTTCCTCCGTAAGTCCATCAGTTTTTTTTTTTTCCTTGCGTCAGCACTGGCAAGCTCTGAATCATGGTCCTCTTTCTTCATGGACTATTCTGCTGCCTCGGGTCGTTGGCTGGTCCTTGCAGGCCGTCTCCTCCTCCAGGAAAGGTCTTGTCCCACAGCTCCCGGACCTTGTCCACCTCCTGTGCTGCCATGACACCTCCAGCGTTGTCCAGTCTCAGTCTGCTACTCCTCAGTCCCTCCTGAGGTCTTCACAGGACTCCACACCGTCTGCATGGAATCATCTTGCCGACTTACACCAAACATAGCGGTGGGAGGCCACAATGCCGGGTCTCCATCACCCAAGTAGACGGGCCAAGGAGGAGTCCTGAAGCCCTCGGTGGCTTTTGTGGACTTTTATTGGGATTTACCTGGTACACGGCAGGCTGGGGCGTCTGGGGGGCCGGGAGGCTGGCAGGCCTCCTAGCACCCAGCGAATCTTCACTCTGTCCGGGCTCTCTGGCTTTCTGTTGTGGCCTTTGCTTCTCTGCTCCTTTCGCTCTTTTGTTCTGTTGTTCTGCTCTCTTGCTCTGCTGGCTTCCCGTGACGCCGCCTTTTTAAGCCCCGGTCTCTCAGCCCAGGTGTACCCACCTACATATGCCCACCCCCCCCACTCCAGGTGTCTGCCATCAGGCATGCATTCAGGACCCCAGGGATCCATCATCAATCCTAATGGTGGGAGGGCAGAAAAGCCTGATACTTTTTACCTTACGCTACACAAGGAATTTTATAAATTTAATAGGAAACAAGACATAAAGAGATATAAAAACACAAGACGTAACTAAACACCCACCACCCAACTTAAAAAATAAAACATCTATTTCTCCTTTCCCCTTGGAAGATGCCAGGTGAGTGCATTTCTAGAAACTCTTAACTCTCTGGGCAGAATGCTGTGCTGAGCTCTCTGAAGTGCGTGTAAGAGAACAAGTAGGTGGTGGTAGCCACAGGGAGACAAAGGAGTAGTCTGCGGAGGGACAAGGGACAGCTGATGCTCACCCAGTAGGTGGGGTGAAGTGAGCAACAGCCTGGTGGCTGGGCAGTGCAGGTAGGCTAGGGTCTTTCGGACTCACAGGGTGGGCTGGGCTGGAGCTGGACACCGACATACAGGCTTGCTTAGTTTTGAATCTTGGTGCCAGCCCTGTCCCATGGAACATCAGGAAGTTCCCAGTCCACTGAGCCTCCTCTATAGACAGCATGTGGGGAGGCTGAAATGACACCGTCTGTGCCATGTCTGGATGTCTGGCACAGCCTAGGAATCTCATACAAGGCAGGCACTACACCCCAGAGGAGCCAACCTCAACTGGCACCAAGCTTTTGCCTAGGGTTCCTCTATAACCAGACTGACAACTTGCCCACGGTCCACCCAACTCCCAACCATTATCTTTCTGAGATAATTTGCCAGGGACGAGTGAGAGGAAAAAGGAAGACAGGCAATCAGGACCATTCCTAGGGGTTCTGGCTGGAGAGCGGATCTCCTCCCACGTCCATATCATGCAGACTCACTTAGATTCAGAGGGGTGGGATTGGGTTCCTGGGGGAAAATTGAGCCTCTTCAGATCCTCCTGGTCTAAATCGGGCAGTTCCCTGGTTACCGGCTCCGGGCTCTGTGATTGGTTGGCTGGGGGGTAAAGGCTGATGGAGCTGCAGCATCCCTGAGTCTCGGGACCTGGGAGGGGGAGGGGACGGAGGGCTGAACCGTGAAGGGAAGAGGGAGCCATTTCTCTGCGCTGAGTGCCACCTCCGTGCTCCCGGCTCGCATTTCCCCGGAATCCAGAGGCCTCATCAGCCAAGGCCTCCGCAATGCTGGATATTTTCATCCTGATGTTCTTTGCCATCATAGGCTTGGTCGTTCTGTCCTACATTATCTATCTGCTGTAGTCCTGCAGCTGCGGCGGGGAGGCGCTGACCGGCTCCGGGGCAAGGATGAAGCTGCCGGGCGAGGCACCCTGCTTGCTGACGCACCCGTGGATTTTTGCTGCTGGTCATTATTTCGGGTATTGATTCAAAAACAAACTGAAAGCGATCCTATTTTCCTTTTTTTTTAACCTTCCTCAAACGCATTGCTGTGGCATTTCTCGGACCCCTCAGAAAAGAATGCCAACTTCCTTCTTTCGGATCTAGTTTAAAATAACAAAATTTTAAATTAAAAGCAAAACCCATAGAGTGTGGGATTTTTCGGTAGAATGGGTTGGGAGTGCTGTGCATGGTGGGGGGAACTATTCTTTTCTAGTTTTTCCTTAAAGTTAGGTGCTCAAACTCCAAGATGGCCATTTTCTACCAATAATTGAAGGCAAAGCACTTCTTTATGTCAACAGAGTGGTTTACAATTATGCCTGCATCGTTGCATCGATTAATTAATTAGTGACTCACCCTCACTGGATGATGAGACAGCTAGTGAAATTTACTGGGGAGTGGGGTTTGGGATGACATGTTCATTCTTTCCAAACTATGGGGTTTGGTGGAGAGGAGAGAAGAGATCCTAATTCTTAGTTCATGAACAGCATCTGGGAGCTGGTACCTTTGGGATCTGGTTCCTTTGCCACCATTCCCATCTGAACGGTTTTGTGTCTGGATTTCCCACAGCTCCTGGTTTCCAGTCCAACAAATGACCTCACCTCAACTTCTTCCAGAGTCTTCCAGATATGGTTAACCCTGATCAAGCTGAGATCAGAGGCAGAGGCACTCGTCTGGGACATCAGAAATTCATGAGCATGGCTGACAGATGCTACGTGGGTTTGAGCTGTAGATAGAGGGTGTCGAGAATGCACGGAGCTGAAATGTAGACTCATTAAAATTAAATTGTAGACTGCTCAAAAATTCATTTCTATAGCCTTTCCTGAGATCTGAATGCAATTGCATATTGTGCTCAATGTGTTGTTCACTTTCTCTTTCACTTGCAGGGGTGCCCTTGAAGGTTCAGGAGCACATTGTGGGTCTTCATCAATGAAGTTGTCACTTTATCTTTAGAGATTGCCCAATCTGAGGTTGAGTGGTTTCCCTTGTCTTACTCTTTAGCCAGAAGGAACTTGTTATTTGACTTTTTAAGATTTATCACATCTTCCCCTCTTGTGCCCCAGCTTCTCATTTTAAGGCAGTAACAGTTTATATGGTACTCATTCTTTATGTCTGAATGATTTATAAATTATTAAAACAAACTTCTTATTTGAAAGAAAAGAATCTCTTACCCCAAATGAAAGTTTTTTTTTATATTGTCAAATGTTCCTTTTCTGAAAACAAAAACATAAACTTCCAAGATATTTCTTTATCCAATTAAGATTGAGGAAACCAAATATTCTGGGGTCCAGAGCAGAATTAGGGCCCAAATCTGTAGTATCTATTCCTTTGAGAAGCCCATATTATTTGTTCTACATTTGATTTTTCTTTCTAGCTTAAAAATAAATGAGAAAATATAACTCGTTTTTACTCATAACATTGTATTCAATTTCCATGTTTTAAAAAGAAAGAAAATTGAGGCAGTAAGATATATGCAACAATTTAAATGGAAAACTTGCATTTAAAAATTCTGGTTAAAAAAAACTATTTTAAAAGCTGTCTTGGTAATAAATTATGTGACCTTCAATAAGTTACTTGACCTTCGGGGCTTCAGTTTATGTTGATAAGTGAAAGACTTGGACTAGAAAATTGTGAATGTCCCTTTCTTTTTAAAAATTCTACAATTCTCAACTGCATTGTTTTTGGAAAGTATACCTTTGAGACAGAATTCCCATGGAACAAACTCTTATAGTTTACCAGTAGTCCCCTTTTCTTCTCTCCTAACACAACAAAACTCAACTGCAAAACTTCTTTTGGCACCAAAAAATAATCCCATTGTGAGGAGAAAATGACAATGCTCAACTACCCCAGACATATGTCAGTGATAATTTGCCCAAGCTGGTTAGGGAATATTAATAAGAGCAACACGACTTGGTGGTAAGTAACAAAGAGGCCGTCTGACAGATATACCCATGCAGGAAGCGTGGCTGAGAACATGCTGGCATTCAGCGGCATCTTGAGGGTCTGCAGAGTCCTTGAGGTGACAGGTCTCACTACAACTTTCCTCTGACTCTGGCCTAACCTTGTATTTCAAACTAAACTTTCCTACATGAAGTCAGGGTAGCAGTTCTATATCCTTATCATAGTAATTAGGACAAACGTCACTGTTTTGGAGAGGCCCAAGTTATCCGTTAATCATGGTGTGTGTCTTCATAGTATAGTCTCTAGCCACACTCTTAAGTCTTTGATGAGGTCAAGGTTCTCTGCCTGAAGCCATATGAAATTGAAATGACTAATCAATTTAACGAAAAAAATCTGCCAATTTCAGGTATAATGCAGTAAAATATATCAGGCAATGGGTGCACTATAAGGGCAGCAAGATTACCTATCTTTTCAGTGACTTGTGAAATAAAATGATTTTAAAAAGTAAATACATTTTGGAAGAATTTTTATGATTTGTGTTTATATTCATATAATATGTGAGTTTATAACAGAATTTTGCTGTTAATCATTTCAATAAATTTTTTTTAATTCCACATTTAAACCATTTGTATATTGGCAATCTAAAACCTAATAAAACACTGAAAAGTTTACTAATTATGTATTATAAAATTTTGTATAAATTTTAACAAGTCTGTGATAAGAGTAATTATGGCCTATAAAATTGGGATTTTTCTTGCCCCCACATCACCTATAGATTACTTAGAACAAAAGTAGTGTCTAGAGTTATCTAATGGAAATAAACTTTCTCTGGGTTGGTAATATAAGTTCAGGAACATAGAAAATAGAATCATGATTATAAATATTATTATTACTATTATGGTTATTATTGTTATTTTTAGATTTACAAGAGTAACAAGATTTTACTAAAGTATGGTGACATATTAAATGTTTCTGTATTCCAGAATAAATGACTAGTTACTTGATATTAGAACAAAAATCCTATCTTACTTTGTTTAGGTGAGAAAGCCAGTATAAAGAAAGATTTGAGGAGATTGTGTATCTACTTACAGAATTCATTACAAAAAGTTGTTCTGAAGAGGTGTGAACCTATACCTCTGAATCATATATAGTGTTGTAAATCAACCTCACTTCAATAGAAAGGAACACAATTAAAAGAAAAAATAGTGTGGTATAAGGTCAAGAATTATTACATTAATAGACGCTTTCATGATAAAAACAAGGGGTTTGTAAGGGAAAATGATATATTTTACTTTAGGAAAAAGAGGATATATTTTGGGAAATAGTTAAAAAATGAAAAGTGTAAGTTAGTTACAGTCATTTAAGACTCATTGTTCTGGATGTGTAGAATCAAATCCACACTTTCTAACTTTGAAACTCAGCATGACATGACTTACTAAATTTCAGAAAATTTGCTTGAGTTTAAAAGGCTTAACGGGGCCTCCCTGGTGGTGCAAAGGGTTGAGACACAACCTATGAAGCTGTCTACAGCCACTGCCCCAAGAGTTCAATCCCTGGCCAGGGAGATACCCACATGGTGCAGCAGACCTCTCCTGTCTCGCCCGCTGCTCCCCTCGGCAGTGTGTTTCAGTCAGTCTGCCTGTTCTGCTCCTCACTCTGTCGCTGGTGAATTCTCTCACCCCCCTCCACCTCTGGCCTGTATCCCAGTTCCTGTATGCATAAATAAATAAATCTTAAAAAAAAAAAAAGGCTTACATGTAGCACTGTTCAAACTTCAAAATCTCTTAAAAGTATAATTTTAATTTTAAATTTTGCAAAATATTAGAATTTCCCTCAATAAAGCACTTAAGCATAAAGTAGAAAATTATCTGTAAATTATAATTTGCTTTCTTTAAGTTACACTGGCTTTATTGCACTCCAAATGTTTGCTAAGCTTAGTTTTGCTCCCATCTATTTTAGACCAAGATAAAACCAGAGTCTTAGATAAAGGAGGGAAGAGAAGAAGGTGTGGGCATAACTTCCATTATAAACTCAAACATGCTAAGTCATATTCAATTAGACACATTTAGGAACTTCTTGTTAGAAAAACAGTAAGCTTTTGTTGCTATGGAAAATTGCAGGTAAGTTATATATTTTATTTTATTTTTAAAGATTTATTTATTTATGCATACAAGAGCTGGGGCACAGGCCAGAGATGCGGGGGGTGGTGGGGTGAGATGATCCACCAGAGACAGAGTGGGGAACAAAACAGGTGGACTGACTGAAATACACTGCTGAGGGGAGCAGCGGGCGAGACAGGAGAGGTCTGCTGCGCCATGTGGGTTTCTCCCTGGCTGGCCAGGGATGGAACTGTGCTGCAGAGGCTGTGGATTGCTTCATAGTGCAGTGCTTAACCCCTAGTGCCACCAGGGAGACCCAATTTATATATTTTATGATATATTTTGTAACCAGTTATTTTGCTTAGAAATTTGGTCTATGAACTAAACAGGAGAATAATATGGAATACTGTTCTACTTATAAATTACTGTTCAATTTATGAATTATTGCAAGTAGATAAATTTATTTACTCATAAAGTATAATATTAAGCATTTATATATAATATATAGCTAATTGCAACATTATTTTAGAACATTTTGGCTTTTGAGCATAATAAAGCTATACTAAACAGCTTAAATAAAAATAAGTCCCTGTACAAGAAATAATTTAAAGGAATTACAAAACCAATCATTTGTATAATGACAAACTCTAAACAAGTTAAAAATGTTTCTAATTTTTATTAATAGGAATAAATAAATAAAACAGCAAATATTAAATACTTAGGTATCAGAGATATTTTACCATTGATACAAACTTTCAAAAACAACAATGCATTTTTTTCAGTGTTGTGAACTTTAAAGAAAACAATGATCTCAGAATATCTATAAGCACTAATTTTTTCCTTTTAATTTAAAAACCTTAAAGGGTTTACCTAAGTTTTTTTCAAGTCTTTAATTAAGTAAATTTCTAGTTATATTTACTTTCTTGACCAAAAAAAAAAAAAGTGCTTCTAATTCCTTGGCACTTTCTTTTTAACCTGGAGAAGACACCTATCTGCTCTCAGTGATGTCTCAATAATCCAAGGAACATGTGTCCAGAGGGTGATGTCAACAGGTTTCCCGGCTGCCTGCCAGTGGAATCAGTAAAGAAGTATTACTCAGTAATACAAAAGTATTACTTTTGTAGTGGCTTTGTGTTTTTACCCTTCACAATACTTATTAACATAAAAATCTGTGATCATGTATTTGAATACTATTCACTTAAAGAGGTTTACTCTTAAGTAATAATCATATGAAGAGGATAGGTTATTAGGGGTATAAAATGGTTCTTCCAATTGTACCTTGTGTTAGGCACCTCTTGCTTGTTCTAATCTACAAAGGTGAAAAATTACCTGGCAATAAAATCTTTGTTATGAGATCTGGAAGCAAGAACTGTATCACAGAGGCTGGAGAAGTGAAGTAGATGTCTATAGTTCAGGCCATGGAGAAAACAGCCTGACACATAACCACTTGAACTTCTCAACTGTGTTATGGTGTGATGTGTTTAGAAACAGAAAAGATAAATATAATGCTCTGTGGTTGAGCTTGCCTTCTAGTGCAAGGGAAAAATTCATTAACTAATCAAAGTCAAAGGAGACAAAGAAAATCACAATAAAAAGGAAAAAAAGAGCTAGAAGTCCAGATCAGTCTTCTAATCTGGAAAAAGGGACTGGATAAATTATCTGACCCATTATTAGTTTACACAGTGATGTTAGTATGACTGTCAAGAGTTAGAAGTGGACAGTCTCCTAAAGTTTGAAGGTTATTTATTTTGCAAACACTTCTTTTGCCAGCATTATGACTGCCTGTCCCATCCCTTAATCATCAGTACTAATAATAAAATATGCTTTTGCAAGTCAATTTCCCAATTTAAAATTTGATATCATACTTTATTCCTGATAGCGAATGTATTCAATTAAAAAAATAGACTGCTCAATTGAGAAAACTGCAAATTTGGCCTCAAATATTTTTTTTCTATTAATAATTGGAGGACAAATTTGTTACTTTACGTTTTATTGTTAACTAGATGATGTCATTTGTCTATTGAATGAATAGAATGAAAAGAATGAATCAGATTTTTTACGTTCCAAATATCTGAAGAGGATGACTTAATAATCTCATAACTATTGAGAATGAAATAATGTTAGTTTAAAAAATTACAGCAGCAACTGTGTCAGTTCAACTGTGTTAATATCTTGCTCAAAAATGTTTTAAATTAAACTATACTATCTTGAAAAGTAGCTGAAAATAACTTCTATGGAGACTTGGATAATTCAAGGAATTAAGGAAACTTCAAAATGCCAAAATTCCTTTTCTAAGTAAGTAAAACTCAAAATCTACTTAGTAGAATGTTAAAAATATTCATTATTTATATTAAAATTTTTACTTTTTCACTGTATTTTTCCCTTTTTCCTCAAATAATCCAATAAGGTATATTCTCAACTTGGAATCATCAGTGTTAGATAAATGGATTAGGTTTTCCCCAAAGCATGTATGGGAAAAAGTAAGAGAGGGAAAAAAAAGCAGATAAAGATGTTCTAGTATTTGCCAGCTTTTAACATTTATAATTTAGTTGTGGGTGAATTCTTAAATTAAGAAGAAAATGAAACAGGATAAAAACATGGACTTTAGTTTTTTCATAAATATGCAAATGCTAAATTCTGTAGGTAAAAATTCCTGCCACCCATGGAATTATAGTTGGACAGCCATCAAAGAATGGCAATTTATTTCTGACCCTCCAGAAATTAAGGTAAGAGCTTTTGTTATTGAACTACAGTAAAAATCTTATCACTGTTTATATTTTCTCCACAAATCATTTAATCCTGTAAAATCTTAGGGAGCCCCCCTTGCCCAACATTTGAGAATTTCTCACAATTTATATCCTACTTATGCGAATAATTTCTGTATCTTTTAGTGTTTCTTCCCTTCATCAGCTCCTGAGGTGAGCTAAGTAAAGGACTCAGGAAAAGAAAGTCAACTTCTGAGATGCCCAATGGGAAGGGGTGTGTCTACAGCAAAAGGAAATCAAACCCAAGGAGAAGAAAATGCGTGATCCAGGAGGGCTCCAGCATTATCTTAGCCTGCTGAGGCATGGTTATTTTCTACTTTAATAACAAAACTGGTGGTGGCAGATGCTAGTCAGACTGACATAGTCCTGGAGTTTCCTGGAATCCATTTACTGGTGTGAAGAAAACCCTTCTCCCATGGTCTGCTCTTGCTCTAACAATCCATGCTTCTAGTTTCCTTCAAGTCCCACTCTTTAAGTGAGGACTTGAAGGAAGAAAAGTTTAGAAGAAACATAAATTATTTGTAAACACTGTTCTGGCAGCAAATAACTACTTTCTTTTACTTTTTATCTTATTTGCAACATGTTACTCTAGTCCCCAGGGAAGAATGAAAGAGGATCTGGTTATATTAAGACAATATAAACCTCCCTCTATTAATAGCTACTTTTTGTATGATTTGTCTTAAAAAAGATATGTGTGTATATGATTTGTCTTAAAGAAGGAAATATGTCTTTATATACACACCTACTTCCTTTGGTTTTTGATCTGTTCATGCAAAATGTGAACAAAGTATAATGTTCTTTGTGATATGCCTAGAAGGTGGTAAAGAATGTGATTTATATAGGCACATTCTAAAACATATTGTAAATCTTCACAAAACATTCTAGGTTATAGCTACCCAACCTAAGCAAAGTGAACATGTACATACTATCTAGTGACTCTGGGTCTGCTCTAAGTATAAAACAGAATTTTCTCTTGCTTTGAAGATCCATACATACAGGTTGGCAGGCCCAAGATTCTTGGACACTAACATTCCATTTAATTTGGTGTTTGGTTTATAAAAGTCTGGAGAGGCACAGCTTGTTTTGAGAAATAATATATTCTTGGGTTTGCCTACACTTTTTTTTATTAATAATGGTATAAACGATTGCTTCTAGAATTCTATGCCACTTCTGAATTCTTAGTTATTTAGGTGATAAAAAGTTCCATGGATGCTATTTTTGAGAATGCGAAAGTAGCACTCTTCTGTTATTTCAGTGAGGCATTCCCTAAAGGCAAGGCTTTGTGAGAATTTAGGTAGAGAGAGTATTCATGGTCAAATATAAGACCTCTTTATGGAAGTTAGCCTGAGCATGCACAAGATGGAACAAATTCAAAAAGCTTCTGTCATCTTCGTCACGGTCTCCTATATGCCATATGCACGAATGGACAGCAGGGGAAAGAAAATGACAGTTAGCATTTTCGAAATGTGACTTATTTGAAACATAAGAGGTTCCACTTTTTCTAATAATATGTAGCAGAAGACTAGTTAGTGATCTTTACTAAGTCAGATAATAGCCAATGAAGTTTATTGATTTATAAATTCCATAGCCATGGAATTTTATAAGTGGACTGGAATGGAAGTCAGAAGAAAAAGACACTGTTCATATTTTATTGCTTCTAACTTTATGACCTTGAGCTAGTCTGGTAATTTTGCTAATCTTAATTTTCTCATAAGTAAAATAGGGTTGATTATTATGTTGGCTACCTAATAAAACTGTGAAGTAATAAAAGTTGAAACTATACAAACATAGGATATGGTGATGATTATCATAATTGGTAAGTGAAGAAGTTAAACTTTTTCACTGTGGAAAATTGAAATTAGTTCCTTTCAGAGCAGACTTTTCAATTTTATGTTTTCCATTAAAACCAATACCAGATTTTAAAAATGACAAAACCAGGAACTAAATATAGTTCATGGAAAAACAAACAAAAAATGTCTGCTGCTTCTATTCTTAGTTGAGAAAGAAAAGTCAATGCAAAATTATCTCTAAGTGGAGAGTAGAACGCATTTTACTCACATCTGTGCACGATCTACACATGTACTCACCAGCCATAACTGCCTGTAGCATCTCCATTATGACACATGCAAATGCATTTGCCACACTTTGCAGGAAGTTATTTCTTTCCACTGGAGTGCTAAATACTTTACAGACTTTTTGCATCATTTTAACTGCCCAATCCATGCAGTATAGTTCTTTCTCACACACCTGATTAAGACATACAAAGCATTATGGTAAATCTTCACATAAAGGAAGCTGTGGAATTTTAAAATGTTATTAACAATGACAGTTTATGAACTTATTGCACGTAACATCACATGGAAGCTGAGAAATAACCATATCTAATACTCCTTTGTTTATAGTACAATTTTAATGGGGAAATGTGTGAAGTAAAGGAAAGCCTGGTTCAAGATTACCATAGAATATTATTTATTAATATAAGAACTAATTTTGAAAACAGTTATCAAACATGAACATGACCTCTGTTCATTCATTCAATAAGTCTTTACCCAGCACATGCTAAGAGAGACAATGGCAAGCCATAAAGCTTACACATAAAGCTTAAGCATTTATCAAGAGGTCTTTTTATATTTTCAAGAGGTCTAATGAAGGTAACAGATAAATAGGCAAATTTCAATAGGCAAGAGAACTCTATGGTATCATAGCAAATTTCCATTTTGAGATATGTAGGGAATATTTGTCTCTAGTATTTAAAATGTAATTAAAGAAATGCTTTAAAATAAAGATTGCATATTAATAGTTAAAACTGACAAATGTTTTATTTACTAACATTTTAAATGACCAATTTAACTTACATAAGCAAATAATATCCAGAATGAAAATAAAATATGTAGCAGTGTGGCTAAATAATGTTAATATTACAGGAAAGATTTCTCGACTACTTATTGTGTAAGTTACAGTACCAGGCTCTATGAAAGAAACAGTTCTGGATTTCAAAGATCTTGCAATCTATTTTGGGAGATGACTGACCCCACACATACAACAACTTAAGAATACTTAGTGAAGGAAGATAAAAAGAAGACAAATCTGAAGCAATTAAGAGAAAATTAATTATCAGAGTTGGGGTGTTAAATCAGTGAAGACTTTATAGAGAAAGTTTCTTCACCCCAGTGACTTCTTTCTATCTCCTTTGCCAAAGAGACCTTCCAAAAACATAAAACAGATCTGTCTCTCCCCTTCCTAAGACTTTTCAGCAGCTCCCTATTAAAACACAGGTTCAGGCTCCACAAAATACTTCCTCTTCTGTAATCTCACTCTTCAGAAACAATACTGAATTACTTACAGTCTCTTGAATAACCATACAGTACACTTCTCTGTTTCTTTTTTTTTTTTTTTACTGAGGTAATTTGCTTAATTATTAAGATAAATATGTACATTGAAAATGTAGTTAATTTAGTAACTTCCCTCAAGTTTTCACATTTTAAAAAGAGCTACAGAGGTTTTGTTTGTGTTTTAACACTTGGTACAGATCCCATCAATTACTCTTTACAGAAGATTACTCTATTGCTTTTGAAGCACTGGTTGGTCTGGCATCTGTGATGATAGCCAAATAAATGAGATTCTATGTAACACATGCAGGTGCATGCTTGAATTATTTGCCCACTCTTCCTGCTTGTAAACTCTTACTATTCTTTTTTTTTTTTTAAAAAAAAGATTTATTTATTTATGCATACAAGAGCTGGGGTACAGGCCAGAGGTGTGGGGGCGGGGGTGAGATGATTCACCAGTGACAGAGTGGGGAACAGAACAGGCAGATTGACCGAAGTACACTGCTGAGGGGAGCAGCAGAGGGCGAGTCAGGAGAGGTCTACTGTGCATGTAGGTTGCTCCTTGGCCGGCCGGGTATCAAACTTGTGCTGCAGTGGCTGTGGACAGTTTCATACGTTGTGTATTAACCCCTTGCGCCACTAGGGAGGCCCCCCTTCTATTCATTTAAAAATACTTATTTCTACTGAAATTGGGGGAGTTTTTTCTGTGTTCTATAGTCACCCAATATCGGCTCTTCTCTGATACCACTAAACCTTGTGGACATATATTTTTCACTAATATCTCTGAATTTATTCACATATATCTTATTACCTCTTAAAAGACTGTAAGCAGATCTTGGTCAGAGATTTGTGCTATTAATTTCCATAGTCTTAGAATCTTATACAGCATACAGAAATTGGGTAAAACCTCAATTTGTGTTAGATGAGTGAATATTAATTATATTTTTATACTGTTTTATTTTGAAAAACATTGTAACTATTCTAAAGTAGGGAAATAATATAATGAACTCTCAGTACTCATTTTCCAGCTTCAACAATTACCAGTCTTATTTCCTTTCGACCACCATTCACTTCCATATCTTCTCCCTGCTGCCCACTGATAATTCTGAAGCAAATCAAATGAGGTATTTTATTTTTTTAATGAAATTTAAAAAAAGAATATAACTTGGAAGAGATGTGTAGTGGCATGAAGTGGGGAGAGTAGTTAATATAGGTAATTATTCCAAATATGATAGTTTATTACTATATTTAAAAATTTTACAAGCATATATACTTAAGTACTTATTCTTTCGAAATGTTTTGTACATATTTCAGTTCCTTTAGGGCAACTCCCTGGTAGGGCAACTATCATGTTAAACAACTTGCTAAAGAAAAACTTATTATTTGCTTACCAAAGCCAAAAAGACTATCAGTCTTGCCAGTTCGATGGCCCTTCCATTCACTGCTTTACTAGCCATGAAAGTGAAACAGATGTTGTTTCCACTTAGGATTAGGAGACGTGCATTATTCTCCAGCAGCCACTCACGGGGAACCACTTTTATCAGAGGATAGAGTTATTTAATGAGAAATTACATAATAGCTATAGTAAACATCATTAAATACATGTACTATTATATCACTTGATTGGAAATACAATGTGTGTCAAGGGAAAAGCTCAGAAATAATGCTTAAGTATTTCAATTACAGCATTTAACCAGAGGTGAAGATTACTGTCATGTCAAGGCAGCTCTTACAAATGAACGTGTAATATACTCAAAACATTTCTCTATCCATAGGTCAATAGACAAGGTGGCCCAATTCTGTACAAGGAAAGAAACCTTGTAGGTATGGGAAAATTGGTTCATCTTTTCTGTACCAACAGGAGAGGGCTTTCTTATATAATCTAGGAGGGTGTTTCTAAGAACTGGCAAAATGGGAATAATTGAGCTAATTAAATTTTAAAGTTTTTGGATAATAATAGTAATATATGCATATTTATAAAATTGGCAATTAAGGAAAGTAAGTTTATTACACACATTCTCTTCAAACATGTCAAACTCTTTAAATATTTTAGAGCATTCAGTGATTTCCCATAGGTAGTTCATTTGTTACCTGTAGAATTATCCTTACAATATTATAACTATATGCTAATAACAAATTTCTATTGCTCTGTGTGGTAAATATATATAGATAGATATATGTTTTACCTGATAGTTCATCTACAAGACTGATAACATCATCTGCTGTCCACTCTTTGGTGCCTGTGTCATACAGCAATTTTATGGCATCAGCCAAGCCTTTCAGACTGGATTCATCGGTAGGCCCTTCTATCATTTTCTGCCAAACAACCTGTCCTGAATGATAATTGAAACAAAAACTAAGCTATGACAGAGAGCTGGCTAAAGACTTGATGGATTGTTTAAAAAGGAAATTGGATTGCATAATGGAGTCCACTAGTTAGATATATGCTACTTTTATTTTCATTTTCATAACAAAATGTCAACTCTGATGATGTGATGAAGCACAGCAAGGATAGATAGCTAACTGAATTAAAGAAAAGGTAGTTTCACCAAGTGGAATATTGCTTCTAGTTTGAAGATACTGCTATTCCTATAGCAGAAATTAGAATAAACAATTGATGTAATCTTATTAAAAAGAAGTGAAACCTCTCTTTCCAACAAGAGAGCATGCTGAATTAAGAATTTCACAAACATTTAAATCAAAATTGATTAATCCATTCAATTTTTATTACTTATATGGCCTGTTATATTTGTTAATTACATACACACAATTTAATCCCAGACTGACTTTCTGCTGCTACTCTGAATACTTTAAATCAGTTACCTCCTAAAATAAGGCAATATGAGGTAACGAAATATATGCTAATCTTAACATGAATCTAAATAAAACTTAATTAGAAAGGCAAAAAATGCAAAAATTCATATTATGCATCTAAATTTAAGTAAAATATCAAATCTAACTGCTACTTTGCTTCACTGGTACCATTAGCCCCCTCCAGCACCAAACATAACCTTGAGTGAAGATAATGTCTACAAATGAAAAGCAGCTATTTTAGGCAAGCCAAAGATAATGGGAATATATACAGCAAAGGCCAACAATATAATTATTTGTCCTGAAACTTAAGTTATGCACAAGTTAATGTTGTACACAACTATAAAATCATAAAGCACAGGAATGATGAATCTGAACAGGTACAAAAAGATACACTTTCTGAAGTAAAAATAATTAACCAGTGTTAAGACAGATGTCCTTAAAAAAATGGATTCTCACCATCTTGAGGAGATATTGGTCCAAAGATGACATATAGTAATCTTGCCTGATTCACCATTGGCCATGGTTTTAATATACGAGTCAACCAAAAAGCAGAATCACTTTGATGTATCCAATGATCAAGTAGGACATTCCTACAGAACAGTCTGATTCTTAACTCCAGTTTTCGGGCACTTCCTATAAAGACAAAAGAATTGTAATTATTCTTCCTGGAAAGGTTGATAGGTATATTGCATAGGTCAAAGACATCATCAATATACTTTGTACTGAAAGCAGTATTTTATTTTCCTCTTAAAAATTTCAGATTAGCAAAAGGCTAATTTTAAAAGTTTTATTGAGATATAATTTACACACCACAGTTTACCCATACAAAGTGTACAATTCAATGTTTTAGTATATTGACAGATAATGTGCAGTCATCACCAAATAAATTTCATCACCTCAAAAAGAAACTTCTTTTAGCACTCGCTCTTCTGTCCTTCTATCCTTTACCACTCCCAGCTCTAAATGATCAATAATCTATTTACATTCTCTACAGATTTCCCATTCTGGACTTTCATGTGAATGAAATAATATAGCATATGGTCTTTTGTGACTGGCTTCTTTCCCTTAGCATAATGTTTTCCAGGTTCATCCATGTAATGGCAAGTATCAATACTTCATTTATTTTTATGGCCAAACGATAGTCTACTATTAACTATACCACATTTTGTTCATTCATTTATCCACAGATGAACATTTGGGTTGTTTCCACCTTTTGGCTATTATAACTAATGCTATTAACATTTATGTACCAATTTCTGTATTTCCATTTCTCTTGGGGATATATGTAGGGGTAGAACTGCTGGGTCATATGATAACTTTATGTTTAATCATTTAAAGAACTGTTAGACTGCTTTCCAAAGTGAATGCACCATTTGACATTCCCACCAGAAGTGGGTTCCAATTTTTCCACATTCTCACCAACACTTGTTATCTGATTTTTTTATTCTAGCCACCCTAGAATCAAATTCTAGGTATGAAGTGGTATCTTCTGTTTGTTTCTTTAACTGTTTTTTTTTTTGGGAAGTACATATAATTTAAATATTATATACTATTTAAAGTAAAGTATATAATTCAAGGCCTATACCAAAAAGATTGGAAACAAGCTGGCCTAAAAGCAGACACAATAATCAACACTGTGTGCCAAACTCCCAGCTTTCTCAAAGCTTTACTATCAATATATTTGCTTCAGATTTTAAAAACATTGTAAATATAAGGCTTCTTATGTATCACTCCCAGTCCCCTTCATCTTCTACCCCAGAGACAATCACATCTTGCATTTGAGTTTTGTCCGCCTGTATAAGTTAGGGTTTTCTAGAGAACGGAACTAAAAGGTTATGTGTATATATACAGAGAAGGATTTATCTTGAGAATAATAGGCTCACACAATTGTGAAGGTCCAGTATCTGCAGGGTAGGCTAGTAAGCTGAAGACTGTAGACCAGCAAGGAAGAGTTGTTGTTCAAATGTAAAGGCAGTCTGCTGGGAGAATTCTTTCTTGTTTGGGAGGTTTAAATTTCAGTTTAAAAAAAATTGAATTCAACTGAGTTTAAAATGAGAATGAGCAGTATGTACACGATCTACCACCTTATTAATTATGGTGGAAAATCTTGCTTCTGATTTACTGTAGCTTTTATATATTCTGAATAAAGTCAATTTAAAATTTAAAAAAATAAAAAAAATGAATTGTTAGTTCATTCGGTCTTTTTCAATTTTGGCTTTCAAATGATTAGATGAGACCCATCCACATTATGGAGGGTAATCTGCTTTATTCAAAGTGTACTGATTTAAATATTAATCTCACCTAAAAAATAATTTCAGGGAAACATCTGGATCAAATACCTGGGTACCCAACCCTACCAAGGTTAACACCAAAATTAACTATCAAATCTCCCAACTATGTTCTTACATTTTTAATGTAAAGAATATATAGAATTATTTTGCATGTTTTACATACATATATAATTAATATAATATAGAAAGTGTCCTTTTTTCTTACATTTTGAGATTTATCCATATTTACATGTGTGACTCTAGTTCTTTCCTTATAACTACTAATATTTTTAATTTCATGAGTGTGCCATAATTCATTTATCCATTCTCCTGACAATAGGCATTTGGATCGTGCACAGCTTTTCATGGTGACATGCTCTAATGCTCATCCTTACACATTTCTCCTTGCACACGGTGTAATTAATATGGTATAGGGTTCCATCATTTTAAAACGATGCAGTATTTTAGATATGCATAAAGGTTTAAAAGATATACAATGGACACCTTTGAATCTTAAGAAAAAAATATTAATACAGTTGAAACCCTCTGAGTACATCTTTCTCTAATCACATGACAGACACTATTTGCTCCCTGTCCAATTCAGAGTCTATCATTCTCTTACATTTCTTTGTTCTTTTACTACATATAAATGCAACAATTTTTAACTCTGCTTTTTTCCCCACTTTAATCTCTGTCTATGGTGAACTGTAGTTCTTTACCTGGTTTGCTGCAGACAATTGTCTGCATCTTGCGGGAGAGATTAGTCAGCTCACATAAGAAGTTATAAACACGATGGCACTCAAGTTCATCCCAACCTGCTGTTAATGTCTGAGGATAATAGAATAAAGGAAATGTTGCCGATGTTCAGGCTATCAAGTTAAAATGTAAGTCACTATTGCCTTATGAGTGTAACTGTTGTAGCACATGATCCAGGTGATGTACAGTTCTTATCCACTATGGAACTATTCAAATTAATAAAAAAATTTACATAAACAAAAGCTAAAAAATGCTCCAAAATCCAATTTCATTTTGGTTATAAAAAGAGTATTTTTTCAGAAAACCCGTAACTCTGTATGAGGAAAATAAAGTAAGGCCCAAACCCTAAAACACAGCTGACATCTAATTCATAACTATATTATGAATTAGAGTGTAACCTCTTCCCCCCCACAACTATCATTTATGATATTTCTTACAAATGATAATGATCTCATTTTAATGTGACAACAATTTTTGACATTTGGATGTAAGTAAGCAAAATGTTTTTATTAGGACAAAATTTAAGTGTTATCTTAAACCATAATGTACAGATAAACATATATGAAAAGGAAATTCAAATGCTATAGCACTATAATTAATTTTGCAAAGGTTGATTAATCATATAAATTTTTCTTAAAATAATTGAACTGAATTCCAGTAGTTTAAAAATTCATCTTAATTTCTCTGGAAGGACATACAAGAAGCTTCTGTTCAAGGGAACTCAGTGGATGACGAACACGTGTGGAACAAGATTTACTTTTCACTTTCTACCATTTTGTACCTTTTTAATTTTATATGATTACATGTGCTTATATTACCTGTCCAAAGAAACAAGCAAAAAAAAAAAAAAATCTATCTTGAAAGAGGGTTAGTAGCAGGGCTTAGTGCCTTGGAATCTGGGCATCTATACGGCAGCTGTGATAAAGAGCATGACTATTGCAAACCTCTTAAGGTTGTATGGCTTAAGTAAGTCATTACATGTAAGCCGCTAAATAATATTATTTTACTTTTATTTCTTTTAAATTCTTTTATTTTATAATCTTTTATTTCTAATAAAAGATTAGCCAAAATCTTCTCTCACACAGCTGATTTCTTTTGAAAATACATTTCTTTTTTGGTCCAGCTTATTGAGATATAATTGACATGTAACAGTGTGTAAAGTTAAATTTATACAGCACACAAGGCCTCCCCTGGTGGTGCAGCGGTTGAGCGCTGGGTTGCGAGGCTGCCCGCAGCCTCTGCAGTGCCAGTTTGATCCCCGGCCACCGGCAAGGGTCCCACCAAAAAAAAAAAAAAAAAAAGTTATACAGCACAGTAATTTTATACATAGTGGTCTACCCTTATCAACACTGGCAACACATCCCAAGATTCTCTGTGGATGCTTGAAGTCATGGATAGTATTTAACCATAGATATACTACATGTTTTCCTACATATACATACTACTAATAAAGTTAATTTATAAATTATGCACAGTAAGGGATTAACAACAATAACTAAAAATTAAGTAGAACAATAATTACAATATACTGAAGTAAAAGTTATGTGAATGTGGCCTCTCAAAATTATCTTAGTGTATGTAGTATTTTCAGACTGCAGTTGACTGTGGATAATAAAACTGTGGAAAGTGAATGCAAGGATAAGGGAGACTATTGTATGTATATATTGCAAAATGATTATCACAATAAGGTTAGTTAACACATCTGTCACCCTGCCATGATTTTTTTTTTCATGTTGATTTCTAAAATCACATCTTAAATAACTGACCCAAGACTTAAAATTGATCACACACACACACACACACACACACACACACACACACTCCTCCCTCTATGATATTTTTAGTCTTTATAATTGACTGGAATTTTTGAGAAGATTGGTATAATGCAAATAAACCTTAAATATTTCTTACCATGAGAAATTCAAGAAGAAAATTTGAGGTGGTAAACACACTATTAGATTAACACATTTTCAAATCTTTACAATTTTATCTTCCCTTTTTATATTATTACTTTTATTAAGCTATGGAAAGATAAATTACATGCTCTACTTGTTAACAATTCAAAAAGCATCCCTTTTCCTTCATTAAAAAAAAAAAAAATGTACCTGCACACCCTCCCTGGTGGTGCAGTGGGTTGAGCATGCACTGTGAGCTGTGAAGCTGTCTGCAGCCTCTGCAGCGTGGGTTCGATTCCCAGCCGGCCAGGGAGAAACCCACATGGTGTGGCAGACCTCTTCTGCCTCGCCTGCTGCTCCCCTCAGCAGTGTCTTTGGTCTGTCTGCCTGTTCTGCTTCCTGCTCTGTCTCTGGTAAATTCTCTCACCCTCCCACGCCTCTGACCTGTACTCCAGTTCTTGTATAAATAAATAAATCTTTAAAAAATTTTTTTAAAAAAGTGTACCTGTAAAAATATGCCATAACATTGTAATCCTAAACATTGCATTGGAGCTGCACAGCCACTGAATTTAAAACAGGAAACCTATAAAGAGAATATCTGTTAATTCTTCCTTTTCAGTGGAATTGTAAAATGGTTTGACATCCAAATTTAATGGAAACATGTAAGAATTTTTTTCAGTATTAAATGAAAATAAAAAGCTAAATAACTGACAAGCATCATGATATATTAGGTGGAGATAAGAAGATGTATAAAATAGTCTCTGATTCAAGGGTCTAACACTTATTCAGAGAATAGGATATACATATGTGAAATCATTTTGATAATTCAGGTGAGAAGATGACCAAATAAACACTGTATCAGAACCATGACAGAAGGGAAGCAATGTCCTGAAGTAGAGTTTAGATACAACAAATGGAAAGGATTGGTGAGGGAAACAATAAGGACAAAACTGTATAGAAGTACGAATATAAAAGGTTTATTTGAGAAGAAAGATATACTAGCTCAATTGGGTCCAAATTAGGAGGATGTAAGTTTGCATTATCAGAGAGAATCCTAAATAACAGCTATGAACTTCCTTGGACCTTGCTTCCTGAAATTGAGTAGCCACTGAAAGATTTTTAAACAAGCAACTGAACTTGGTGAAAGTGATGCTTTAGGAAGAGAACCTTGATTTATAGTAAAAAAATGGGAACTCCCTGGTGGCACAGGGGTTAAAGTCTCAGCACTATCAAGCTATTGCCAGCCACTGTGGCCTGGCCTGAGTTTGATCCCCAGCCATGGAGCTAAGCCACATGGTTCAGCAGACCTCTCCAGCCTGCCCCCCTGCTCCCCTCAGCAGTGTATTTCAGTAGAGCCTCCTGTTCTATTCCCCTTTCTGTTTCTGGTGAATCCTCTCACCCCCTGCACCTCTGGCCTACATCCCAGTTCTTTTTTTTTTTTTTTAAACTTTTTTTTAATATTTTTTATTTATTTATTTATACAAGCACTGGGTACAGTCAGAAGCGCGGGAGGGTGAGAGAATTCACCAGAGCCAGAGCGGGGAGCAGAGCAGGCAGAAGGACCGAAGTACACTGCTGAGGGGAGCAGCGGGCAGCAGGAGAGGTCTGCGCGCCATGTGGGACCCTCCTCCGGTGGCTGGGGAGCAGCCGGGGATCAAACCGGCGCTGCAGAGGCTGCGGGCAGCTTCGCAACCCAGCGCTCAACCGCTGCGCCACTGGGGAGGCCCACATCCCAGTTCTTGTATGTATAAATAATTAAATCTTTTAAAAATGTATCATGGGGCCTCCCCGGTGGCGCAGCAGTTGAGCGCTGGGTTGTGAAGCTGCCCGCAGCCTCTGCAGCGCCTGTTCGATCCCCGGCTGCTCCCGGGCCACCTGAGGAGGGTCCCACATGGCGCGCAGACCTCTCCTGCCGCCCACTGCTCCCCTCAGCAGTGTGTACTTCGGTCCTTCTGCCTGCTCTGCTCCCCACTCTGGCTCTGGTGAATTCTCTCACCCTCCCGCGCTTCTGACTGTACCCAGTGCTTGTATAAATAAATAAATAAAAATAAATAAATCTAAAAAAAAAAAAGTATCACGTAGTAAGAAATGGATGGGAAGCTGCTGCAATAATATCAATCTGAACACAATGCAAATACTGACATAAAAAAAAAAAACAGTGCATCAGAAATCACCTACTATTGAGAGTAGGAGTGAACCATCAACATTAGATGCATGTTTGGGTTTGCATAGTAAAACTCAATGTCTTATTTGGAGGTTATATTCAAACACATTCATATACAATTTCAAGTCATATATTATCATAAAAAATATATATTAAACATACTTTCTTATGTTTTTGTACATTTGGATGGTAAGATTTTAACATTCAAAAAATTATTTCATTTAATAAAATATCTAAGTCACCACTTTGAAACATTCTCAGGATTTCCATGTGGAGCAAAAATACTTTTATACTCTGATAAACCTGATAAACTTGAATGATATACTAAGTTATACATAAAAGTTGTTTTATAATAAGTAGAAGACAGATGCACTACATTTTGGTGGTTTATAATTGGAAAACTATAAAGGATTAGATTATCATCAAATAATTTTTACTACTAATTCATGAAGTCCTATTAAAGATAGATTTAAAATGAGTGTAAGACATTATTAACAGACTGTCTTTACTGGAAATCAAGATTGTGAACTAATTCAGAAGTATAACCTTACTTCTGCAAGTATCTTGTGAATGTACTTTAGTCTTTCCTTTGTGGGTAGCAGCAACGTACATCTCTTAAATAGTAGACCTGTAAGCAAAGAGACACATGAAAAAAAAAAAGACAAAAAAAAAGACAACAAAACAATTAATTAAAAAATGTCTAAAAAGCAACATAATGCTTCCTAAAAGTCAAGTATGGTAAACCATGGTAGACTGTGAGCTGATGGTTTTTAAGAGGAAGTTGGGGAGAAAGGGTACAAAACACTTAAGATATATGATGTTTACCAAGTGCCTCTGGTAAAGAGGCATTGTCTTCCCAAGAGACATTGACATAAAATCTCATTAAAACTATGACACTGATATTATAGGATAGGGATGGAAAATAATTTAGATTTAATAAGATACAATAACAAGACACAAAATACATTAGGGAAACTTTAGTCTTTATATAATAGAAAACAGATTCCAATATCTACTGAAATTAACTTTGTAACCACAAAGGAAAAATGTTTTTAAAATTGATAATGTAAAACTTGGAAAGAATGGGAAAAGTGATTTTGTATTCATTTCTTCAAAAACAAAAATTTATTGAGTTGTAAGTAACTAAATTTCAGAGGTTATAAGTAATTTTTGCTCATAGAACATATCCAGTTTGGATGAAATATTTATCTCTTCAAATGTTTCCTTTTATGGAACATGCATGTGAAGAATGTACAGAATTTGTGTTCAGAGATTTAAAAAAAAAAAAGAAACTCAATTTCCCAGTAAGATTTGTAACTTGAATTACAGTGACAGGAAGTCTATGACTTGTTTCCTCTAAGTGTTCTGTTTTCCTAAAATGGCAATGAGTTGTTAACATTCCTATAAGGACAAATGTACTGAAACTAGAAATAAGACACATGGTAGAAAAACATACACCTGAGCAGCATGACCTTCTTCAGTTTTTATCTTATCTGCATTTACTTTTTAACATAACAAGTATACTTTATGTAATTCTGTAGGAATTCTATGGGAATCAAATTTATTTTTAGAAGTTGCTATGTTTGGGTAACACATGATCAGAATTGAGTTTTAAACATAAATCCTCCTTATTTTTATACATGAGAAGCCAGTTTCGGTGTTTGGTTTTTAGAGTGAGTTATTTTCATGTTATGGCATATCATAACTGGGGAATTATAAGCAATAATTGAATGTTGGTTGTTTTTTCTAATGTAAAACTCCTATTTTTAAGGCTTGTAGTTCACCATAAAAACCAAAATGGGCTCACTTATTTTTTAACACAGGTGTCCTGCAATACCCTTTAGAAATCAACTTCCTTAACTTCAAACTAAAATAGTTAGATGTAATGTTCTTTCCATACCAGCCATCTGCTCTGTTTGTATAAAGAAGCAAATTAAAATTTATAATCTTCAGAGCTCAGGATTCTGAAAATATTATTTTAATGTCTGAAAACAAGAACAGATCAGCTAGGAATGGCAACATATGAAAATGATAAGCACATCAAGCATTTCTCTAATGAATCAGCCATAAGCCAGGTATCTATATCAAAACTAAATGAAAGGTTGAAATTATCACATGAATAAGACCATTTTAATCTGATAGCTATTATGATCAATGTATATTTGTATTTTAATCAAGTTTTAGACATATAATTGTCTTAATGATTTTTTGTTTGTTTGTTTAAGCAACTGAGACTTGGCCGGGGAGAAAAAATTCTTTCAAAAACCAAAAAATAAACTGTTACCAAGTAACTACTTTCTTTGCAACTCATGATTTTAAAAAAGCTATCTACAATAACAAGTGTCAAAAACTCATTGCTGTAGTTTATTGCTGTAGGACTATTCTAGACATAAATACTGAATCATAACATTGTAATCAGATTATATACCTTTCATTTATCTTATTAAAATATATGTCATACTGCAGGGAAGGAGGAAGAGAGGGATAAGAGGAAGGGAGGGAGGAGCACAAGGGACTGAGGTGATGATGCACAGGTCTATTGGTGAAGGAAACTCTATGGGGACTACACCTGAGTGGGTGGGGGGAAGCAAATATTGTTTAAAAATGAACAGTGATATACAAAATTTTAAAAAAATTAAAAAAATAAATAAAATACATGTCAAATACCCTTTGATGTATTACACAACTATGTGGTCTTATTTGATTACCTTATAATTAAGCATCCTGGGGCTACTAAAAAGTAATATTCATTTAACTTACTGTTATGCCTTTATTTAAATCTCAACATCACTTTCATATTTGAATTTATTGCCATGCTTTGGATAATTCTAAACTGATTTCATAATTAAATCGCTGTCATTAGTCAAGTCAAAATTAGAATTTTATTCAGCACTTCAATGGGGAATGAAATCAATAAATAGGATGACAGACATAAGTGATTACAAATCAAGGGAAGAAGGATTATAAAGAATTTCCTTTGATAAGGTTAATTTAATCACAGCAAAAGGAAACCATTGCTTCTTATAAGAGATTAAGTGATCTTCCACATGATGGATTTAAACTGTTCTATTTTAAGGACTAGATTATGGTTGAAAGGGGAAAACCAGAAAGAGAGATAAAACCTCTAGATCCACAGAAAGCACAGAAATATATCAGTTTCCTAAACTGGTAAGCCACCTAGACAGTAACAATAGATGACACTGTATTCCTATAAAATCACAAGACTGACACGTAACATTAAAGTGCATTCTCTTATCTTTAAAAATAAGTGTAAAGGACTGTTAAGCGAAAGTCCTCATTACCAAAGAGTGAAAGCATCATAGGAATATACCATTGCCCACAAGCCTTAGAGAATTGCTAATAAAATTCCCTTAATTAAGTACATTTCCTTACTTGTTACAATTTTCATTACATAAATTACCTAAAGATCTGTAGTGCTCCAGTATAGTGGATTCTTGTCTCCTGCCAGGTAGCTCAAGGTTATGAAAATCTTGTAGTAAAAGTCTTTTACTTCCCCATGAGGTTGATATATAATTAATAATGTGCTGGCTGATTGTCTTGGACACCATGCTTAGCATGCTGATATCCTTCACTACCAAAAGAAATACAAATATACATATATACACACACAAAATAAATGGTTCAAATTCAAGAATGTCACTATGAGTCCAATCTATTAATTTGTAAGTTGACTAATAATACTAAATAATGATAAAAATAAACAATAAAAGTGGGTAAAAGGGGAGAAATCTTAAAATTGTTTTTAATCCAGTATACAATGAATTAGAAATATTTTGGGATGTAACAAACTACCATATTCTTATAATTAGAGACATGCTTTAAAAAATTTGGACATCACTGTACCCCTTAGCTCACAATGATGAAACTTCATCATTATTAAGCATTCACCAAGTATTAGCAAAGCCTAAGATGTCAAATTAGTTCTTCGGAAAATGAAAATATTCAAGTATCTTTGTAGTTTACTCATAATCCCCAAGCCTCACCTGACAAATATCTTAAGATTATTTGGAATATTTCCAATGGCAAGGCCTTAAAATTTCCAAGCGTTGATAAGGGCTGAGAATCTGAATTAAGGGTGTTGGAAAAACAGCTGGATCGACGATTACTACGTCTATATTTCTCGTTGGGAATCAAAGTGAAACTGGTATTTACTCTAGATGCCATCCTTTTCCTTCTCTCATGAATTTTTCCTGGTTAGAAAAACAAACTACAAGAGACAAAGAAAAAAGGAAATTGTAGTGATGAAAGGCTATTGTTTTTTTTAAATGAGGCTGATACTTTGATGTGTAATAGTAGTGTCTATATTTACAAGCATAATTTGATATTCAATTTAAGGAGTTCCCACCAGTCTATTTACTCATCGCAGCATGATATAAAATATTAAAAAAATCTTTGCCTTCTTAGCTAAATACTCTAGATAAACAGGTTTGGTAGAAAGTGAGATGGGTATCTGGATGAAATGCGTTCTAAGAAAAGAAATATAAAATCAAAAGGTAAAACAAAAACGTAAAAGATTTTAACATACTTAATAAATTTAATACATTCAGTGTCTATCAATTAGTACGTAGCTTTTACAATAATCTTTATATTCTAAAAATATCAAAATATTAGCATAGCTTTAAAAATGTGTAGTAAGCTTTTCTATTTTTTAAAAAATTGAGTGCCATCATTTTTGTTAGAAAAATAAAAGATAAAAAATGAAGACTAAGTTTAGAACTTCTAAAATTTACAAGTTCTAATAAACTAAGAAGGCTGCATTACACATAATACACAACTAAGCAGTGAAATGAGTCCTGTAAATTAATAAGACTAGAATAAATATAAGAATAACAATTATTTCCTCCTCAATTTCACTTTTGGTTAATAATAGTTACAGAGAGCTCTATATCTCAAAGACAAACATTTCCTAAAGGGAACTTATTGAATATGACTTACTAAAATCACTGATAATTTACTTACAATAAACAATAATTCTTTTAGCATATATTATGCCTCACACAGTGACTCTGTGTCACTGCTGCTCCAATTCAAATCGCATCTTCTTTTGCACACACACATATATGTATAAAATACATATATTTGTACATGTATTTTATATATACATACACATACGTATAACCACAGCTCCAATGTAAGGCTCCTTGTTTCTGAGGTAACAACTAAGACATTTCATCAGGAGTTACAAATAAATCTTATGAAAATATCAAAATGCAGTTTCTGCTTTTGGCACAAAATTGCGAAGATCATATTGTTACTTACTCATCTTAAATGGCTACATATCAACTTACACCAACTTAAAAGACATCTGAAAATATGGCAGATATTCAGTGCTTAAAGCATTAAGCTACTAACCTCCTCTGAAAGCGCACCACAGTACTTTGCTTTAGCACTCAATGAACACTTCAATTAGTAGATACTTTTAAAATAATTAATTATACAAGTAATATGTGCATTGTCAAAGTTTACAAAACACAGCAAAATAAAAAGAAAATGGAATTCACTTAAAATAAAAACACGTTGGGTTATACTACTCCAAGTATTTTACATATATATTTTTTTAAACAAAAAAAGGGGGGTGTCACTATTCATACTAGCTTGTATTCTCCTTTTTCACAATTATAATTGTAATTAAAATTGTCAGGTCTTTCCATGCTAACAGACACGCTTCTTACGAACATTTATCTTAAAGGCGGTGTGTAATTCCACCAAATGAAGGATCTTGATTTCCTTAATCCATGAGGTTGTTTTGCACGTCACAGTAGGCATTTTAAAGCCTCCTCATTATCACAAATTACACAGCTCGCCTGGGGCTCGTCCTGCTTCCCTGAGGAGCCCGGACGCGGGCGCGCGGCTCCCGGGGGCTCAGTGACACCTGGCGGCGGCCGAGGGGCTCCGGCGCCCCCACCGCGGCTTTCAGAACCTCTGAGAGGGCGAGGGCGCGCGGCCCAGCGCCCCGAAAACACCCTCAATCTCAGTTTCCGACGTACCCCCCTCACCTCTGGGGCGGCGGCATGTTTTTCTGAAAGCCCTCGAGTGTAACGCATCCCCCGGCCCCCCCAGAGAACCCCCAGCCCAAGTAGCCATGAAACGGCGCCTCAGCACCCCGGCCCGGAGCAGGCGCGGGGCGCCCAGGCCGCCCGTGAGAGAAAATTCCAGCAGCCACTCCCGGGTGTGTTTTATTTTGACCCACGAAACCCCGTGAGGACGCCCCTATCTGCTCGGGCAGAACCCCAAACGCCTCCACAGAGGTAAACGAGGGAAACCAGAAGAGACGAACTGGCCCGGACAGGAACCAAACCTCACTGGGATGCATTTTTCAGCCCCTGCATCCATGAAGAGGAAACTGTTGGGGGGACGGGGCTGCCTGTGACAACACTAACTCTCTCAGGAAAGTACTGGGGGGATAAAGCCTCTTTTTACCACAGATTTTGATAGTTTTCCGGCTAAAGAATCACAGGAAATGGCATCTAGTCGTTTTCCCCCACCATCCTTAAGTTTCTTATATTTAAAAAAAAAAAAAAATCTTCTCAAAGGCTTCCCGCCGGGAAGAGGGAGGGTCCGTCTCCGGTTGGCTCCGGGGCAGCGTTCCCGCCTCCCGGGCGGCCCCGAGGCTTCAAGAATATTTTAGAATCCTCCCAGGAGCCCCAGCGGGAGGAAGGCCCCGCCCCGCCCCGCCCCGCCCCCAGGGGTAGGAACGCCCCTACTTCCATAGCGCCCTCCCCTTCCCGAATATTTTAGTACTCTCAGGCTCCGCCCCCTCATGAATAGGGAACGCCCCAGCTCCCTGCCTCATGAATAATTCACGACGAGGTCCGAGGCTCGGGAACCCACCCTGGGCCACCCGTTGCTCGGGTCTGAAGACAGGAAGGGGTGGGGACGTTATTGACAGGGGAGAGGGTGCAAGGCTGGAGGCCCCGCTTTTGCTCCAAACCACTTCCTTTCCTTCAAACCTAGTTTTGAACCCGTGTATGTTTTTATCCACCCCTGGCTCCATCCTATCACACACCCCAACAGGGCAAGTTTAAGAGCTAGATCCATCCGGGGCCTAGAGTCAAGATGGCTGAGTGCTTCCAACTTCTCAAGATGGAGGCCAAGACAAATCTAGTTTGGCCCTCCTCCTCAGACGATTAAATTCTCGTTCCTTTATCTGTCCGTTCAGTAGCTATTTACTAAGGCCTGCTCTGGGCCAGTCGATGGAGTAGGCCCTAAGGAGACATCAGAGGACAAGACACATACGTTTCCTGCCTTGTTGGAGTTTATTAGTCTAATGAGAAAGAGACTAAATGTGAAATACAGACGGAGGGCAGTGTTATGGAGGAAACAAGGCAACAGAAAATAAGATGCTTATGGCTCTGTGTGTGTGTGTGTGTGTGTGCACGCGCGCCAATGTCAGGGGGGTTGGTGAGCAAGGTCCCTTTAATTTGAGGAGGTTACATTTAATTTGAGAACTAATGAACAAACCAGTCAGAAGAGCTGGAGGATTTTGCCCTTGCCAGCCACATCAAATCTCTGTCATTTCTTTAGCTGTCTCTAGTGGATTTTTTCCCTGTTTGCTCATTCATTTGTTGCATTTGATCCATGCCTACTTTCTGCCAATCTTAGTGTTAACTGCAAGGTTAAGTAAATTTCTGCCTTTCAATGACTTGTACCCAAACTGAACTAACAGGTACTCTGTGTGCATGTATTGGGGTGAGGTGGGTGGGGGGGGGGGGGGGGGGTGCTGTGGAGCAGGTGGAGAGGATTTATGGAAAATCTATCTTCCACTCAGTTTTGCTGTTTGTCATTTTATAGCCTGAAGTCTCTTAAAATAGGAAAAAATTTAAGCAGAATCACTTTGTTTTCTTTTTTTCTAGCTTCATTCCTGAGCAACCTTGAGAACTGTGTTACTTTTCCATCAGAATTTTCTGTGCCACTCCATAGCTAACAAAAGCATCAGGGCAAGTCTCTGCTAGACATTAAGGGCTGTTAGCCTCAGAGGAACATTATCTGCTGGAAAAGATAAACATTGTAACTCATGGTGCCTACTCCCCTGGCACCTCCCTGGTGGGAACAAGAAGCCCCTCACTCCCTTTATGTCCTGCATTTCTTCACTTTCCTTCCCTCAAATAATCACGGCCTTCCCCCTTCACTTGGGAAGCCAGCAGCATTAGTGAGCTAATCCAATTGCTGACTCCCTTGGTGGGCACCTCCTATAATAAACTCCTTGTGCAAAGACATCCTCGTCGTTCAGAGTTTGACTTTTTGTGCATAAGGGAAAGACCTGGTTTGGTTGCTTACATTGTGAACCTAAAACTGCTCTAAAAAATTACATACAAATACATTTGTATATATATTTACATATATATGTCATCACTTAGCTTTTATTTTAGGAAAAAAACCCTAGACTTTCCAGATACAAGACAGATTAGAAAAAACATGTATATATATGTATTCCAAGTTGCATATGTGTGTATGTGTATGTGTAAGGGTGTGTGAAAGTAAATGAACAGTGTGTCCTTTTTTCTTTTTTTAAATTTTTTTAAAAAAGATTTATTTATTTATTTATACAAGTACTGGGTACAGTCAGAAGCGCGGGAGTGTGAGAGAATTCACCAGAGCCAGAGCGGGGAACAGAATAGACATACTAATGAAATACACTGCTGAGGGGAGCAGTGGGCACAGCAGGAGAGGTCTGTGCGCCATGTGGGACCCTCGCTGGTGGCTGGGGATCGAACCAGTGCTGCAGAGGCTGCGGGCAGCTTTGCAGCCCAGCGCTCAACCACTGCACCACCAGGGGAGGCCCAGTGTGTCCTTTTTTCGAAGCACAATTCAGTTTTTTAATTTAAAATTTAAACATTCTTTAAAAGATACTTTAAGAAAAATATTGTTGGTTCTATCAAATACATCTATCAGCTCTCATGAATGCAACACCAAAGACAATTGGAAAAGCAGATTCCCAGTGAGTAGAGTTGGCAAGACAGGCGTTGCAAAACACTAGGCAAGTATAAAAAATACTTGCCTGTTGGAAATACTGCTAAAAAATTAATTTCCAGATGATCGAAGTTCAGGCTTGCCTCATTTGTAATATTTTACAACAGAAAACACTGTGGCTGGGAAAACTCAGAAAACGATTGCTATATGGCACAAAGGAAACTTGGACACCAGGGCAAACAAGAAGCAGGTTTATTGTACTGGTACTGGCCCGGCAGATTTGCATCCAAAGTCTGAGCCCCATTTGTAAGCAGTCAGGGGCTTATATATACTTTTAGTTTCTACAAGGTTCCAGATGGGTTCGCATTGGCAGCTATACATGGTCAGATATGACATGGTCACAAACCAAGAAGTGACTTGTATAGTTGCACACCAAGAAGTGAGTAAAGGGTCAGTAGTCAAGTGACTTTTCAGGTCCATCTTGCTTCTTGGTTAACACTGGCGGCGTTACATGGCATACCAGGAACCGAGCAAAAAGTTGTTCAAGACCCCTGCTACTTATCTCAGGTCACCATGCTTCACTATGAATTCTTATTCATTGAAGTTACTAAGTAAACAAACCATGGATCAACTGACTAGTTATAGAATAAAGCTTATTTCAGGCAGAAAGATGTGCTGTAATTTTTCCAGCAGGTGGCACCAGAAAGCTGTATAAAATTTTAATATTTTCTCCAATTAGGCAAGGAAATGCTAGAGGCAGAGGACTGAAAAGCACCTTAGCTGTGACAGAACACCTTAGGTTTGCAGATGAGAAAACAGAGCTCCACAGATGATCTGACCTTCCTAAGGCATAACTCTTCACTAAAATCAATAACCTAAAATATGTCAGACTAAGCAAATTTCATTTAAAATTACATACTCAATGCAGACAAATCTAAACAAGGCAAACACTCAGAATTTTACATGGAATAAGTTATGATTTAAAAGATCCTTTCAAGGATTTCCAGAACCTTCCCCCCTTTTGAGTAAAACCTTAAAAAATAAAGGAAAAAGAAAAAGGCTGTCTGAAAGCTTTCTGACGGGAAGTACACTCCAGGGGAAAAGTATAGGTTTGGGAAGTAAATCTGAATTTGATTCCTCATTCATTTGACACTTGCAACCTTACCTTGAATAAATTACTCAAACTCTGTGTTCACTTGTAAAATGGAGTAATAATGCATACCTCATAAAGTTCGTTGCAAGGCTCAAATGAGATCACACTTGCAATGCAATTGACTTGAACATAACAGGCACTCAATACACTTCCTCTTCTGGAACACTCCAGGGCACACAGAGGTGGAGAGACTGGGTACTTCCACATAAGTATGCCCTGACTTTTGCATGGCACACTCTCATACTAAAAAAATTACTTCTTGTTTATCTAAAAATTAAACTTTCACTGGGTATCCTGTAATTTTCTTTGGTAAACTTGGCAACCCTAATTTTCAAAGGCTCCTGATTTATTACACAAGGAAGAAACACCAAAGCAATGAATATTTACATTTAGTAAGTTAAAATGCCAAATCAGGGCCTCCCTGGTGGTGCAAGGGGCTAAGCACTGCACTATGAAGCAATCTGCAGCCACTGCAGCAGATTGATGCCATCCCGGGCTGGGCTGGGCTGGGCTGGCCTGGCCCACCAGGGAGCAACACACATGGCACAGCAGACCTCTCCTGTCTCACCCGCTGCTCCCCTCAGCAGCGCATTTCGGTCAGTCTGCCTGTTATGTTCCCCTCTCTGTCTCTGGTGAATGCTCTCACCCTCCTGCACCTCTGGCCTACACTCCAGTTCTTGTATGCATAAATAAATAAATAAATAAATCCTTTTATGAAAAAAACAACAACAACCAGTTGTTTGGTCATTTTTCACTCCCTAAAAGCTGTAAAATAGTTATTTTGTATCATGTTTCTGATAATTCCTATATCCAAAGTCCTTGCAAATCTGATTCTCCTGTCTGTATTTCTGCTTCTTTGCCCATGGTGCCCAGTTTCTTTGGGTTTTGTGATTCTTGACTGTGAACTTGATGGGGGTGCTGAGATAAAGGTGGGTTCTTCTAGAGGGAATTTGTGTTTGCTTTCAGCACTTCGGCAATCAGGACTACTTTTAAATTCATCCTGGTGCTTTTCAAACCATCCAACTAAATGACTCTGGGATCCAAACTTGTGTTAGGGCTAGCTTTGGGTTACCCACATTTTCATTGATCTTTTTATTTTCCTGCGGTGCCAAGAATCAAGATAGCCCATTTGGGTTGCAGGCCCTCCAGGTGGAGGGATTAGATATATTTCAAGATCAGCCTAATTGAAAGTATGCCTTTAGGGCCTTCCCTGAAAGCTAGGGTATCAGTAGAATCTCTGCCTTGGGCAGACCCTGGTTTGTGTCTCCTGTCCCCGGAAGACTGAAAATTCACTGGTTTGGAAATTGCTCCAATTATCTCTCTAGGTTCCTAGCATCACACAGTTTTGGCTGAATTCTCACTTTCATTCATGCATTTAGAAGAAGATATTTTTAGTACTTTATCAAGAAATTTTAGTTGTTTTCAGCAGGAATGTCAGCTAGGGTCCATTATATGGAAGTCTGCATCACTTATTTTTCAATAATATCCAAGTTTGTCTAGAAAGTACTCAGGCTTTTATGAGCATTGCTTCCCAAA